ACAGATGGAGAAGCGTGCTCAGACACAGCACTGCTTAGTTTTCTCAGCTATTAGGATTAGTGGCTTTTCCTATGAGGTATGGATATAGAAGCCTGTAATGCTGGAATTGTTCCTCCTCTCGGGGTGGATGGGTGCTAACACAGAGCATGGAGGAAAGGGGCAAGTCAGGCTTACAATGGATTTCATTTCTTCTCCAGACAAAAGAGCTCCTGAATCACTTTGAGCACACTTAAATCCCTCGCTGAGCTCAGCTGGACTTGCCTTTACATTCCAATTACACAGATGCTTAAATGCTTGGCTAAATCACAGCTTCCCAATCGCTCACCATCTCCAGCACCTTTCCAAGTTATCCCCCAGCCCAGCCGCATTTTGGGTCCAGAAAGATGCAGATAATGCTGATTTCAGCAAGATCCTCTAAGCCGGGCCTAAGCTCAGGCTCTCACTCAGTTCTGCCTTATGGGTGCCTTCCCCGGGCAGCTCCCGCATCCCATCTCCACATCAGGTTGTCTTGTTAAGTGTCTGGTTCTAATTTCTCTCAATGAGGAGCCGGGCCCGAGCAATTACATTGAAGGACCTATTCATCCAGAGGGAGAGCAGGGATCTAGGTTAATTGGGCTGACAATTGAACCCAATCCTTTCTGGTTTTGCCCAGCTTTCCTGTTCTTGCTCTCTCCTCCTGCACTGTATCTGCAAAGCTCTCTGCCTCGTTAATTAAGAAGGTAACTGCACCCCGAGGGCTGTTTTGTTCTCCCTTCCCTCCTTTAACAGCAACACTAGAAAAAGCAGCAAGAATCAGCTAGTTTGGGATGAAGCAACCGCCTCCGAGCAGGATGGAGCTGGCTGGGTCTGACTGGGGCAGAGCGCATTGAGCTGCTGCTGTTCTCATGGGCTTTGGGGGAACAATGCATGGTGAAAGCAGGTGCTGGATCAGAAACACTCCTCCAGGCACGCTTGGTGTGTTCTATAGACAAAGCTGGGGAGCATGGAAAACATCAGTCTCTAGGGCTGGGTGGGTGCTGGGTTATTGCTGGGGTTTCAGTGCTGGAAATGAAGGGGAGAGATGCAGGTTTATGGCTTCTTGGAACCGCATCCCTAAAGGTTTGGGTGCTTTTGAAGCGGTTTTAGTCCACAAGAACTGTTGTGAATGCACAGGGGTCTGATGGGGAGAGGATGCTGGAGTTCAGCATCATGCCCCAAGGCCATGCCAGGCGAAGAAGCAATGAAGAAACGGGTGTCTGCACATGGAGTGGCCTGAGATCAGTGTCCTCCCCTATGATGGGCATTTATGGAGCTGGATGACATCCCTGGAACCCTTGCATCCATGCCCCAGTGTCTGCTCAGACCCTTCCCCTGCTTGCATCCCTGCTCCAGGCCCATGAACTGGGAACCTCCAGGAAAGAGCCACAAATGGGAACAGTGGGTGAGGTGGCCTCATGCTCAGGGCTTCGGGTCCCAGTGGTACCCGCAAGTGCAGCATCAGCAGCCAGGTTTTGGCAGCTTTAAGCCATGGGCCTGGCCCTGGGGATGCAGGGAGGAGGAGATGGCGTTGCTCACGTCTAAATACACCGTGTTCCATAAGTGTTTGCTATAACACGGCCGCAAACAAACACTTTGTGGGATGTTTGCCAGGAGAACGGGCTTCATGTGTGGAGCCTTGAAGGACATGAGGAAAGCTGATGCAGCCTATGGCTGCGGGCTCTCATGTGGCCTCCCCAGCACTGCTGGGCCAGGGGAAGCTTTATTGCCCTCTGGGGAGTGCATTACTTAAGTCCTTGTGTACAAACTGAGCAGCATTAATCCTACCAGGAGGGAAATGGTATCGTGGTGCTGGGGGAGAAGGAGAGGGCAAGAAGAAACCAACTATTGCCCTGGTTCTGCCTTCCGTTGGTACACAAGGCTCTGCCCCCCACCACAATGGGCTCTGGCTTCAGGGTAAGCAGAAGGAAAAAGCCAAGAGCCCTGATCCCTGTGGGATTTTGGGCTTCCAGGGATAGAATGAACAGTTTCATCCCTGGGAGAGCTGTGGGGACATGGGGGTAAAGCAGGGACCAGGAGGCATGGAGGAGACTGGGGGATGCTCTGAGCTGTTGGGGGCATCTTTTAAATGTAAACCCTGTAAACCCCTCATTCCTCTTCTAACCCACAGGCTTTCATGCTTATGCCCATCCCATTCTCTGCCCCATCCTGCTGGGAGGGGGCTCTGCAGCTGCATTCCCAGTACCCCATAGAGCTCCATTTGCCCCGTGTGAACTGCCCCCCAACCCCCGGTTTCAGTGCCCAGCGGGAGGGATGCTGAGGGCATTGGGAACCTGGATTGGGATAACCGGGAGCGCTGAGGGCTGGAGGAGGATGGCTTTTTACAGGCAGAGGAGCCGGATCCTGCGCTGCGGTCCCTTCGGAGGCAGCGCGCTCCTACACGCGGTCGCACAGTCCCCTCTAGTGGATGTTTCTCCTGCATCACAGGGTCCTCCTGCTCTCCATGCATGAGCTCCAGACCCTGATCCCGAGCAGCGATCCCAGGGCATCATCCTGCTCCTGTCCGGTAACTGGGCATGGTGGAAGCAAAGCCCATCACCGTGGGCTGAGCCGTCTCTGCTGCTGCTCCATCTGCAGCTGTGTATTTGGCTGTCCCTGTCCCAGCTCCATCCCACACCATTCGCTGCCCCTGCATCAGGGGTGGACCCTGCAGCTCTTACTCTTCCCCCTTATCCAGGCTTTACACTGGCTTGGAGCTATTTGGGCATCAGCCAACATGATAAAGAGCTAACGAATACCTGCATGGGGACAGCTTCCGAGGGATCCAGGCACAAGCATCCTTTGCTCCCACCCTGCTGGGTCATGCAGGCTTGGACTGAGGTGAAATAGGCCGCTCTTGGGGTGAATTCCCTAAGGATTGGTTGCTTGCACCCCCAGCCCACTCCTGGGATGTGAAGGATCCCATCACCACCAGCCTGCAGTGGTCCTCTGTGTACAGGGCCAGGGCCAGGTCATGACCACCTCCTTCCCACTCCTCTCCATCTCTGCCTGCCTTGGAAGCTGTGCTGGTCACCTGGAAGGTGTGTGGTACCCTGAGGCTTTGCAAGGGAGAATAAGGCGGCAGTGGATGCAGCTGCAGGCCCACAGGTTAGCGTGCATCACTGGGTTGTGATGCTCCATCGGAGGGATGCGATCCCTCCCCCTCGTTCCATCTTATACTGGGAAACATGGCCCTGGTCCCAGTGCCATTGCCTGGCAGCCCTGGGGGAGAGCCAGCTCCTTTTATAGCTTCTGGCACAACACAAGACACACTTTACAGCTTTATTTGTTATAAAACATCTTTAGGAAGCTGGTCGCTACCTAAAACCACCCCTTGGGCTTGGTTCTGCCAACAGGGACTCTGTCTAACGGGGTAACAGCACAGCAGGGCTGGTTCCAGGCTTTTTGGACCCCCATCCCCATGCAGAAGACAGAGAAACTGCAACCCCCAAACTGCATTTCTAGGGAGCTGGATGCTGATGAACCCCAGTGTTTATTGCAGTGCTCCTCATCCTCCTCAGCTTTATAGATGTGCCTTTAAAACCAAAAGCTCTGTGCATCTTGGCTGGCCACAGAAGGGCTTGGATGGTGAAAGGGCTGATCCGTTGGGCAATGGGAAGCCACCTCCTGGTCCTGAACTTGGCAGCAGTGAACGGACCAGCTTCCTGCTTGGGATTTCTGTGCATCCATTCGGAGCATCATGGATGAGAAACCCCAGCCCTGCTTTCAAGTGTATTTAGTGTGAACGCGTGTGGTCTCTCCAGCATCACATGTGCTACCAAGGGGAAGACAATGGCTGGCCCTGGAGACCCACATCCCTTGGCTCTGTTCCAGCCATGGGGGAAGATGGTTGCTTTGGGGCAGCACATTGCAAACACCCCCTGAACCAAACCCATCACTGGGAGAAGCACACAGCGGTTTAAACAGGAAAGAAAGAACATCCTTATGGTATGTAACCCACCACTGTGGGCCAACCGTGCTGTCTTCATGCTCCTGCCCCATCCCAAGATATGGGGCAGCAGAAAGACCCAAGAGGATGCAGGCTTCATCCCTGGCCCTGCACAGGTTCAACAGCCCCAACTCCAGTAGCCCCTCAGGATGTGATGGGCTGGCTGCTGCTGCTGAAGCAGGTATTTGTTGGCTACGTAGCTTTAAGCTTATAGGTTTGAGCTCACAGGGGCTATAGCAGAGAGGAGAGGCAAGCCAAAGGGATGAGCAAGCAGCACGGGGTGGCAAACCCCAGCCAAGCCCTGGCTACCACCCCTGCCCATGGGGCTATGTGTCCCAGTGGGGAATTCCACTCCTGCAGCCAGCAAGTCCTTGGACCAGGAGAGCAGGAGCACATGGTGGGATCCCGGATGGCTAAGGGATCATGGGCTCTGCAGTGATGCACATGAGCCATGATGCAGCCGGTGCATCCCTGGGGCACTGCATGGGGCACCGGTTCCCACTTGGGAAAGCCAGGCTGTGTCCTGCCCTATAGCAGTGCCATGGGCAGGGATGGGACACTCGGCTCTCCTCAGTAGCTGGGATGTCTCTTCTGGGACCAGGCGGCTGCTTTCTGGTGGTGCTGGTGCCAGCTCAATCACTGCAGTTTGAAGCTGGATTGGTGCAGAGTCAGGGAGGCAGGAATGAGCCAGAAAGGGGAGGAAGAAGCTGTGGGCACTGCTATGCAAAAAGCATCCTTCTTGGAGCTGCTCCTTCATCCAAACGGTCCCTTTTTGGTACCCAGCTGCAGCTCCCCTGGCTGTGTGCCTGGCACACACACTGTACACGCTGCAGCCTGGTGGGCATCTCTGATGGGCTCCCCAGCCTTTAGCAGCAGTGTCCCCCCAGCTTCTACCCTTGTGGTAGGTAAAGACTGGTCACAGCATCCATGGATGTGGCCATGACAGTCCTCCACCAACGCAACCCTCAACTTGCCCCTTGGACACTTGTGGTGCCTCTGCTTTACCCACTTCCCAGTGATGCTGTAGCTTCTCCACCAGCAGCATCTTCCCAGTGGCCCTGCACTGAAGGCTTTAGGATGCTCCGTGGCATTAACATCCCAGTTGCCTCACCATGGTAGGGTGCAGCACCCAGGACTTTCTGCATGGAAGCAGTGTGCTTGGTGCATGCACACCCAGAGCTTTCCTGGTGTCAACACTGCCAGGAGGAGGGAGATGGGGTGATGTGAGCGTGCAGCCTTCATGTGCAGACCTTCCTGGCTTTGAAATCCATGGAGCTACCATTGGATCAATGTCTGTCAGGGTGAGCCATGAGCTGCCCTGCTCCCAGTAAGGGCTGGTGCTGGCACTGCTGCTGCCTCCTCACTGTCCCGGAGATTCCCTGGATGAGCAGCCCAAGAGCAATGCAGAGTCCTCCTCTTCATCCCAAATCAGCTCTAAAGCTGTGGCACTCCTCAGGGATGAGGGCAAGCAGGGATCCCTCCCATCAACTGGAAGATGCCTCTGGATTCTCTTTCCATAGCCAGATCCACAGAGGAGTGGTATTGTCCCCATATCACACTGCAGGGTCTCTTCCTGCAGGGAAGCACAAAGCTGTCCTGTTGCTTCAACTGAGCTGGTGCAGGGAGCCTGGGCAGCATCTGCCTGCTCCCCCTGCCCTTCCAGCCACCTGCATCCCAAAATCCAAGTACGAAGCCCTGTGAGGACAGAACAAACCACCCGTGTGATCCCTGACTGTTAACACAGAGAGGAGGATGGAGAGCTGGTCTGCACCACACAGACACACTGAGGGTGACCTTGTCCATCAGAAACACCAGGATGGCCTCGCAGAGGATGCAGATGCAGCACATGGACCCCAAGAACCAGTGGGATATGCTCCTGTTGGGTCCAAGGTGCAATCCTGCTGCTGCAGCACAGCTGGGCTTGCGGGTTGTTATGTGGGTCCGGGTGGCCGTGGTGCTTCAGCTCGCCCTCCTCTTCCTCTCCGCAGCAGGGACAGGGTCTGTCTGTCTGTCCATGGTCTCACCCTTCAGCAGGAGTGGCTGCAGCACCGGGATGCTGGTGTTTAGGTGGCCTGGCCAGGAGGCAGGCGTTTGCTATCCAGGATGGCTTTCCAGTCATCGGTCCAGGACTGCAGCCTGCGGCTGGGGGGCTTCAGCTGCAGGTGCTTGTTGTGACAGGCTGTGAAGAGCACGTGCTCCCAGCTTGGGTTCAGCTCGGCCCCTGCAAAGCAAAGAGAGAGGCTGGTTCTCTGCACAGCTCCTCTATGGGACACAAAGGGTGACCTTACCCCAACACAAGGAACACCAGAGCCTCATCAAGCAGGGAGGGACCAGCACCCATCACACCCCTGGATGCTCTCTGCCCCTTGGGGCTGCCTCTGGTCACTCCTAGCACCCTGAACCTCCCTTACCTGTTATATCAGGTCTGTCATCTATCAGCAGGTCAGCAGAAACCACCGTCTTGTCTCGTGTCAAAACGATCTGCTCCAGAAACTCGGGGCCGAAGTGCTTCTCCACCCAGGCATACTGGAAGGTGAGAGAACAGTGAGCTCAGGGAAGGCTGATGGACAGGGCTGCTCCATGGAGCAGCAATAGAGCACAGCACAAGCCCTGTGCCCCACACAGAGAGGACACCTCTCTCATGAAGGTCACAAGTGGGGAGGATTTGGATGCTGCTGGAGCACAAGCTCTTTTAAAGCCAAGCAGCTTCTGATGTTGTGATGAGCTACTGGGACCAAGCACCTCCATGCATGCAAATGGTAGAGGTTGGGCAACAGCAGGGCTTTTTGAAGATGCTTAAGAACAAATGGGGTGGAGCAGGGAAATACTGCTGCTGGTTTACAGCTGGAGGCATGCAGGGGTCAGCTGGCTTTCACTGGGCAGCACTGTATGGTAGAGGGGTTGGGATTTGGACCTGCTCACCTTCTCATAAGGGCAGTAGCGGTACTTCTTGATGGGGCTCGTGCAGATGAACACATCAGTGCTGCCGGGAGGAGGAAAACAGGGGCAGAGTGTTATTGGTAGCCACTGCTTCACCCCCCATCCATCCCAACACCACAGGCGGGTTGCTACTCACTCGGCCAAGTTTGCCATTTGCTTCACAGCTTCCACAGCCCCGGGGAGCGGGTCCAGCTCGATGAAGAAGTTCTTGGATTCCCAGATGCTGATGGCTTTCTCCTATGTAGGAAAAGAGAGCAGTTACTGCGCAGGGCTTCTCGCTTACTCTTGCACATGCATCTTCCTCACCCTTTACTAGGACAGAGGATGGTGACATTGGGAAAGGTGGGAGCGCTGGCTCCAGTCCCCTCCTGCTAACCCACCTTGCCTACGGGTGCCTCTGTTCCCCACCAGCCAGCCTGCACCCATTCCATACCATTTAGACTGGAGACCCTCTGGAGCAGCTTAGTTTTGCCTGTGCAGCCCCAAACACAGAGGGAGCAGCGTGTTCCTTCTTATCAGAACACAAGAGATTGTCCAGAACCAAATCGTACCCTGGATGTGCATCCAAAGGGGCGCCTTCATGTGGGTCTGGCAGATGTACCCTGGTAGCCCTGCTGTAATGTGGTGCTGTTCAGCCACAGATGCTGCCTGGCCTATTTGTCTCAATCAGATCACTTTAAAATAGCAGCTGGGCTGCTCTCATAAGCGAACACATATTATAGGATGAACTACATGTCAGGACGAATGCAGATGCTCATCCTCAGGGATGTCTGGGCAAGGTCTGTCAGGCAAATAGAGCACCTCCAGGCAAGGGTTTGAGACACTTAACATCCAGGTCAGCAGCCAGGCTGCTCATGGCACAGAGCAGAAACTACAGGGAGCAAAACCTTGGGACCAGGGGCTGCATGTGATGGGATCCAGCTCTACGGGACAGCATCCATCCCCTGCACTCCCTCAAGCAGGTTAGAACTCAGCTGCCAAGCACAGACACTGGGTCCCCAGGGAGGAGAGAGCCTGATTGTGCTGCAATATGGCTGTGGGGAGCAGAAGCAGCCCTGTCCTGGTGTTGCAATGCAGCCAAGTAGCTGTAAATGCAGCTCGGAGAAGGTCTGAAGGGAGCTGTGTCCTGAAGGACTGATCTTCATTTTAAGCAGCTCTGCTTCTGTATCTGAGGTAGGAAAACAGGGACAAAAGGAAGTTTAAGACTATCCCAGCCTTCTTGTATTGCAAAGGGATGGAGGAGCCAGCAGAGCATCAGAGTAGGAGCAGCCTCCGTGATGCTAGTTCTTAATGCTCATAGGAACAAATAGGCTGGTTGGACATGTAGGCAGCTCCCTCCTGCCTGCTAAGTGGGAACCTAGTGGGTAACCACCACGTTATGCCTTTAATACATTACTTGGGGAAGAAACTTAAAAGAAGAGACTACACACATCAGCTCTTGCTCTCTTCCCCTTTGCCTGCGCAGCAGCAAACCTCAGCGGTTCAGAGGAAGGAAGAAAAGCTTCTTCATGCATGTTAAATATGTATGAAGAGACGTACATATATATATGTATGCACTCTGATTCAGTGCAAGAGAGCCAGCAGAGATGCCTCCTGGCACCATGACAAGAACAGCCACCCTAGCAGTGCCATGGGGCCAGGCAAACACCCCATGCTCTGCTTTAGGCCGGTGAGCAATGCCGCTTTACCTTAAGATGCTGACTGTAGCTGCACAAGAGATGCCTGAGAAGTGAGGCCCGATGCAGCAGAGCACTTCAAGCTGCTCTGAAGTGTTTTCCTACAGCAAGGACTTCCGCAGCTCTTTGGCTTCCACTCATGTCAAAAAGCATTCTGCAATCAAGTTTGATGGGGAAAGAGCTAAGCGCATCTTGAAGGGAAGACCTGCTTGGCTCCCAGAGCCGGAATAATTCCCTGTGGCAGCACAGGCAGCAGCAGATGGAAAAATCCCCAGGCTGGGAATCCCATCACATGCCAGGCAGGACAGACCCTCACTGTCCTATGTCTCTCCATGAGCCATTTTCCTATCCATCCAAGGCTCCCCCATCCTTTCAGCTCTGTATGCTCAATGTATTGCTGAGCCGTTCTCCCTCTCAGAGCTGGGACCTCCAGCTCATTGGTCTCTTTAGCTTCTATTTCCCAGTCTCCTACAGCAGGTCAATGGTGCTGTCTGATGTCTGGAATGGTCCATGGCCTTGCAGCCACAGAGCACCTCCTACTCTCTTTATCCCTGGGCTGAAATCATGGATGAAACCAGAGCTGCCCTGATGTCAGTCTGGGGAGGTTTTGCTACGTGTTCAGCGCAAGGTTTTAATGGCTTTACATGATCACAGCAGACACAAAAAGAGCTCACTTCATTTAACACATCCAAAGTAGTTAAGATCAAGGAGAAACAAAAGGGTTATCACGCTCCTGTCATACTTTTAGCATCTGCTTTCCTGCATGAATGATGTCCTCCATTCCCCTCTCATCAGCTAGAGGACACGTTATTCCTTCAGCTCATCAAACTGTTGAGGTCTTTGCCAGTGGCAGAGCCTTGGACCTTATTCACTTCCCTCCTTTCCTTGTAGCCATCACACCTCTAATGATGAGTACTTTTATTTGCCCTAACACCATTCAACTACCACAACTGCAATCTGCAGGTGAGACCAGAGACATCCCATTGAGATGGGAAACTGGTAGAGGCAGAAACCACCTTTGTGCAGCGCTCAGCCCTCTGCTGAAGGATAAAGCACAGCATAACAAGAGCTTCTGGTTTTAGGCTTTAATGATTAAAGGCAGCGCAATATTTCTGAAGCAGGGGAAGGCTTGGGATTGATTTAATATTAAGGAAGCCCTCACATGAAGCATCAATTGCATGGTTTGCTCTCAAGTTCTCTGTGTCCCACTCCTCACATGGCTGTTGAGGAACTAAATCATCCATCCAGGAACATTATCAATCCATGCAGCTTGGCCGTGTCAGAGCTACAAAACCCCAGCTATGCAATTAAACCAGCTCTCCTCTCTCCTTGCATCCATCTCCATCCATGCATGCAGGGAAACAGATGTGCATGGAAAACACTGGATTTCCAGGAGCAAAGCACCTCTGGAAGCCCTCCTGCATGCAGCCCTGCGTTCCAATGGGAGCTCCATCCAGCACCCACAGCATTGCACCTCAGACACGGAGGAGTTAATGGGGTGGGGTGGGGGGGTCCCATAGGGGCCAGAGCTCCAACCACACAGCACAGAGCAAACCAAGAGCCACGCGCAGAGCCGGGGATGATGCATAAACTCACACTCAGCTCAGGTCCCAGGCGCCCGTATTGCTCCGACACCCAGAAGCCCCTCCGGTCCTCCAGGGCAATGTAGGGCTTGTCGGGATACCTGGCTCTGAACTTCTTGAGGAAGCCTCCTTCGAAGTCAGCCAGCACCCCATCCATGTCCACCAGCACCCGCAGCGCCCTGCGGGACCCCGCTAAGGGGCCGGGACCCCTGCCCAGCCCTGCGAAGGGGCCGCAGCGCCGAGGCCGGAGGTGCAAGAAGCTGCTCAGCAGGATCATGATGGAAAGGGGGCTTAAGCAGGGGATTACGGGGGGGGGGTCTCCGGGCAAGGGGACGCGGGGGGGGGGGCTTTATTTCAAGCACGGCCCCTTGCAGCAGAAGGGAGGAGCGGGAGGGTACAAGGGGGATGCAACAGGGAGCAGAGGGGCTGCAAAGGGGGGATGCAAAGACCGGCGCTCGCCTCCTCCCCGCCCCATCCCTCCCTTTGCAGCGCAGCAAAGCGGCAGCGGGACCCCGGTGCTCGGCGGTGCGTTCGCCCCGACCCGGCAGTGCAAAGCCCAGTTCCTCTTCCCGGTGCCCGACCGAGCCCGGAGCGGCGGCACCGCCTTCAAGCGGCACAAACGCGGTGCGACGGCGCCGATCCCATCCGCCCGCCCCTTCCCCGCAGCGGGGGGACTCCATTGAGCCCCTGCCTCAGTTTACCCGAGTCCCAGCCTGTGGGGGTACCCACAATGACCCCCTCCAACCCCCGTCCCTGCGAGCGGGTGCTGGGACGCCCATAACACAGTGATTTTTGCAGCTAATTTGACCTAAACCACACCAATTACAACCAATTCGTGCTCTGCCCAGGATCTAGCTCGGTGTGACGCCAATCTGTCCCCACGGGTGACAGTGGAAACCTTTAAAAGGCAAAACTAGCCCCAAAAGGAGCGCTGGGGGCACATCACGCTCTGTGCATTCTGATACAGGACCATGGATTGCTGCAGTCACAAAACACTGCAGGGATTTGAGCTGCTAAAGGAGGGGGAAGCCTCTGAGTGTGACTAACGGGATTAGGCAACCGCTGAGCTGGGAAAGATCTCGATCGGTGGCAATAATACAGCTTTAGCAATTGCAGAGTATTCCATCTTTTAATTGCAGTGTGTTCCAATAGAAGGCATCGTCCTTGCTTCACAGAAAGGGCAAATGAGAGATCGGGTGGTTTGGGAGGGGTCACGGCGTGAAGGAGAACCGGCAGCCAGGCTGTACGCGGTGGTGAATGTTGACAGGGAAGGAAAACGTGCTAAGTTTTAAGGCCGAGTTCTGCTTTCCCTTGTGCCAGAGGCATTTGTGTATGGGGAGGAACGGGATTTCAACACAGCTTGATGTGTCTGAGGAAGCAGTGAGAGAACACGCACACATCCCACAGTGAGACCTTCCTTGTGGTACGGTGAAGGGTACGTCCCTGCCCACCAGCTCCCGTAGTGATGGAGCACACAGAGAGAATCCCAGACTGGGCAGGGTTGCAAGGGACCTTAAAGCTCATGCAGCTCCAAGCAGAGACACCTTCCACTAGAGCAGCTTGCTCCAAGCCCCTGTGTCCAACCTGGCTTTGAACACTGCCAGGGATGGGGCAGCCACAGCTCCTCTGGGCACTCTGTACCAGCGCCTCAGCACTCTCACAGGTAAGAACTTCCTTATATCCAACCTAAATCTGTTTCAGTTTGAACCCATCACCTCTCGCCCCGTCCCTGCAGTCCCTGATGCAGAGCCCCTCTCCAGCATCCCTGCAGCCCCATTCAGACAGCGGCAGGCTGAAGGAGGTCTCCATTCCCTCCTCCAGGCTGAACAGCCCCATTTCTCATCATAGGGATTATGTTATTATCCCATATTATCCCATAGGGGCGAACCGTCGCCAAGATCAGCCTCCGGTCACCCCCTCAAGGGGACAACGTGCACGGACCCCGCGTCGCGAAGAGGTGACGCCGTCGTGACGTCATCACGCAGCCCTGCTGAGTCACGGCTGCCCGCTCCTCCCTCTGTCTTAACGCGGGGCTCGAAGGGGGGGGAAAGGCGGTGGTTGCCATAGCAACCTCTTTTCCCGCGAGAGGTGGCGAAGCGGCGGAAGTGACGCGCAGCGGCGGGCGTCGCGCGGCTCCCCGCCGCGGCCGCTGATTGGCTGGCGGGAGGTCGGCGGCGGTGGCGGCGGTGGCGCCCGTAAGCGGTGCCTCCTTCCCCGTGCGCGCTCCCGCCACCCCCGCGCGCGGCCGCGCCGCCAGCCGCCAAGATGGCGTCGGCCCTGGAGCAGTTCGTCAACAGCGTCCGGCAGCTCTCGGCCCAAGGTGACCGCGGGGCGGGCCCCGGTGGCGGCGGGCACACAGCGGGGCTTTGAGCGGGAGGTGGAGGCCGCGGGAGCCTGCGCGGCTGAGGGGGGCGGGCCGCGGCCTTCCCCCTTTCCTTCCCCTCCTCCGCTTCCTCACGGCTCTCCCTCAGCCTCCTTTCCTGTGGGGCCTTTACCGGGCTGTGGCCTCCGGGGGGTCCCGGTGGGGTTTGACAGGGTCCGAGGGTCCGGCTGCCAATGGTAGCGATGAGGGAGAGGTCCCGGCGGAGTGCGGTGAAGCCGGCAGTGAATCTGAGCCTTGAAAAGCGAAGGGGAGGAGCGGGCACCGCAGGGGCTTTAACGAGGGTTCTGCAGCCCGGCCTGTCACCTCAGTGCTGGGCGCGCAAGCTGCGGCATGTGGGCTTTAAAATGCGTTTCACGAGCGGTATTCCATGGGGATAAAGTGGGGCATGAACAGAACAGTATGGGAGGAAGGCTGAGACTTCACCTCAGAGTTAGTATAACCCAAGCGCTTAGGAAATGTTTTAATAACCTTAGTTAGAATCCTTTCGGTTCTTCGCCAAACTCCTGCTTTCCCTGTGCATGGACACAGCGGTTTCTGGTTCTTGAACTTTCCTTGTTGATGCTTCCTAGAATGTGTTCTGAGGGTTGCTCCGTATGGGATGTTTGCTCCGTGGAACTGATCACGAGTTGATGCTTTCCTCTGTGGCCCCAGGCTTTATCTCTGCATGGAGCCTCAATTTTCTCTTACATTGGTTTAATTTATTGAATATAGAGTGTTTTTACATGGGGGGTATCGCATACAAGAGACAAATTATACCTAAAAGGTGTGGGTACAAAGATGATTCTTTGTTTAGCTGGGGAACTTTTTGCTACAAAGCTTTGCAGATGCAAAAGGGATTCTGGTCATCTAAATGGAAGTTCTTCCATTAGGGTTAAGCCAGATAGTCATTCCCTTGAAGAAGTAAATCCAGGGACACTGCTGGAGACTGGGAGAGCCGATGGGAGAAGTCTGTGTGCTCGCGGTGGTGGTGTTGGTTTCTGGTTCTCAGCATTGGGCTGCATGGGAAGTGACATAAATGGATTGGTTGGGCCTGGTGTGGGTATGGCAGCGTACACCGCAAGTTGTTCAGTGATGCTGGTGGGTAGAAGGTTGTTCAGGAGGGGTTTTGGCTTTGGTTTATAGGGGAATGCCAGGGGATACCTGTCATATGGGAGGATTTCTTACTAGGGAGCTCATCAGAACTAAGGTTTCCAACCTGTTATCAAACTAGAGAGCATTTTACAAGCCCTATCTCTTTCCATGCTTGTGGCTGGAATTTGAATTCATAGAATCATAGAATAGTTAGGGTTGGAAAGGACCTTAAGATCATCAAGTTCCAACCCACCTGCCTGTGGGACACCTCGCTCAAGTTCCAACCCACCTGCAGGGACACCTCGCTCTAAACCATATCACCCAAGGCCTCGTCCAGTCTGGCCTTGAACACCGCCAGGGATGGAGCATTCACAACCTCCTTGGGCAACCCATTCCAGTGCCTCACCACCCTCACAGGAAATAATTTCTTCCTTATATCCAGTCTAAACTTCCCCTGTTTAAGTTTTAACCCATTACCCTTTGTCCTGTCACTACAGTCCCTAATGAAGAGTCACTCCCCAGCACCCCTGTAGGCCCCCTTCAGATACTGGAAGGCTGCTATGAGGTCTCCACGCAGCCTTCTCCAGGCTGAACAGAGGGCTCTTGTCCCTTGATTGGAACTTCTGATCCCTCTATTGCTTCAAATCCAGCATTTCATTGCTAGGGTTTCCCAGGTTTTCCTTTTTCAAAGGAAAAGGCCAAGAGAGTTGAGGATAATGTAGCAATATGAATGGAGGCACTATTCCTCTTTTTGTGAAGATTTTTGTAGGGGTGAGAGAACCTCTGCTTTTTCTTTCTAATCTACAAGGATTGAACATTCAAAGAATCCTCTGCTTCAGCAAAGGATAGTTTTAATTCAAGTAATGGTGGGGAAAGAGTTTGAAAGCAGTTTGTGACAATTGATCTGCTTTCTTTGTAAGGTTTCTGGGCTTACTGTACCTTCCTGATTCAGAGTAGTTGCCTTTCGTGCTGTGTTCATGGCTCACAACAAATAGAACACCACTGCAGTTTTAATTACACAAACTAGATTTAAGAACAGATCTTTAAAGCCTTTTCTTGTAGGCGCTTAGTTGTAATGTTAATGTCAGCTTCAAAGAAACATGGTTATGAGCAGAGCTGGAAAGTGGTAAATAGGGCATTGGAGAAGCAGCAAGGAACAAACTACGGTATTGGGATTTTTTTGGAGAGCGGAGGAGACTGGTTTTGGCCCTGTTTTATCCTGTTTTTTTCCCTTTACAACACCCAGAAGGTACAAGGGGGGGATAAATTTATCCATCAGGCAAAATATTGCATGGCAATACATTGGTTAGAGTTTGGTAGACTTGGCTTAGGAGGAGGTTGGTGGTGATGCAAGACCGTGTAGCCCATCTCTGAGGTGAGCTGGTGCTGCTTTTCCTGCTGGGTTTGTGTTCTAAGGGCTTCCTTTGCAATTGCAAAGGCCAGAGCTTCACTGCCACATATGGTGGGTACCTCACTGTTGAAAACTAATGCCCATTGTATGAAAGAAAAGTAAATTCTCTGGGTGATGCTGCTTTTTCCTCAGGTTATATAGGGCAGGAAGAGTGTCATGAAGTATGGGAATGTGTGAGTGTTCTCTAATTAGAGTCTGACAACATGTTTTGTGTTTGTGTTTCAGGGCAAATGACCCAGCTTTGTGAGCTGATCAATAAGAGTGGAGAACTGCTGGCAAAAAACCTTTCCCATCTGGATACAGTGCTTGGTGCCCTGGATGTGCAGGAGCACTCATTAGGTGTTCTGGCTGTCTTGTAAGTGGTGCTTCCTTTCAGTTAAATATCTTAGTATGTTGCTTGGAGTTTTAATACTGAGTTGTCTCCCAAATGTTTTTCTTTTGCATGTTTTCAGTCTGTGTTTGTTAGAATGGTGCTTAGTGATGCACATTTAGTAATAAAAACACCAACTCAAACTTAGATTTTCCAAAGGAAACCTCTGGAGGTTGTAAATGCCATTACTGTCAAGTGTTAATATTAGGGTTTGTTTTCCTTATGGCTGTATCTATAAGTATTTTTCCATATGTGTGCAGCAAAAAGGTATAAAACTGACTTTTAAGACTGTGTGAAACAAAACTTTTCTTTTCATGGGTTCTTCTGACAGTTCTTGGCTGTTTGTCTCTGGACAGCACTGAAGCTCTTACTGTTGTCTGCATTTTAAGATAATACTTGAATTGGTGATGCTGAGATAAAGGTATTTGGCCTTGAAGCTCCAACTGTTGTTTCTAGCTGTACCTAACTATAAGTGGAGCATCTACAGGTTTCACTGTTACTTAACAGTTCTCTTTTTAAAGGAAAGATCAGAATCCTGGTACTCATTCTACCACCCTTTTGAAACAAAATTACTGTAATACATAGAGATAATGCTGTTTAGTATTACAATTTAGCATCTCATAAAAATGCATTATGGACTTTACAACAAGCAGGGCATCAGTACTGTGTTAGCAGAATTGTATCATGGGGTACATAGAAACAGTCATTAAAACGGGTAAAGAGATAAGTGTTTATAGGAAATAGAATCATAGATTGGTTTGGGTTGGAAGGGACCTTAAAGCTCATCCAGTTCCAACCCCCTGCCATGGGCAGGGGCATCTTCCACTAGAGCAGCTTGCTCCAAGCCCCTGTGTCCAACCTGGCCTTGAACACTGCCAGGGATGGGGCAATAGTATGTAAAGTGTATTATTTGAAGAGATTGTATCAGCAGAGAGTACTGATAGCATGGAACAGAGGGATTTTCCCATAGGTTTCTGTGGCATTTCTTGGATGCAGAGGGATTCGTTGCCCTGAAGTGGGCATAATCATGGCTCATCCTACAGAAGCAGCAATGTGCAAGCCTATAGGGTGCTAAGGAACCACCAGAGAGTGAGGAGAAAATGCTCCTAACAAGAGATACACATCTAATAATGTAATAGCTGAGATAACCTTGAGCACATTCAAGCAGGAGGCGGCTGCGGGAGGGGCAAAAGTGGCCAGAGAGGTTATGTGGCTGAGTATTACAACTCATCATCATTAGCCAGTGTTTCTGTTCTGATTGTAACTATTGTAGCAGACAAAATGATCTTCGTTTGCCATAGTTTGTTCTAAATTGCAGTTTGCACTAGATTGAGAATGGGGGTGTGCAGGGAAAGCGTATTTTCAAACCTTGTGCAGCTCGTCTGCCATCTGTCATAAACACTTTGGATTTGTTTGCAAGCATCTACATGCATCTACAGAGACTTAGTAATGAAGCTCCAAATGTGAAGTGCTAACCCTTTTGTTTGTTTGCTTGGTTTAGGTTTGTGAAGTTTTCTATGCCCAGCATCCCTGACTTCGAAACGTTATTCTCGCAGGTGCAGCTTTTTATCAGCACTTGTAATGGAGAACACATCAGATATGCAACAGACACTTGTAAGTTAAGTTTACTTTCAGACTTTATATGGGGTTTTGATAGTTTTATTCTGATTTTTCACTGTATTGTGTTTTTCTGTGTGTTTTCTTTTACTGTATTTAGTTGCTGGCCTGTGCCACCAGTTAACAAATGCCCTTGTGGAGAGAAAACAGGTGAGCAACTATTATCTAGTACATATAAGTTACCTACATATCCAAGCTCTTCAAAGGAACATGCCTTGGGCAACATGGTCTAGTGTGAGGTATCCCTGCCCTTGACAGGGGGTTGGAAGAAGATGATCTTGAGGTCATTTCCATCCCTAACTGTTGTATGATTACAGTCTCTTACTTGCTTCATAAAGATTTGCCATGAACTTCATGTTACGTATTTTTGTGCAGCTCCTTACTTGTTAAGTTTACTCAGAGGAAATGAACCTGAACCAAGATTTTCCAGCTTTCTTTAATGAAAATGTAGGGAAGATGAATTTTTAGGTGGAGAGTCACCTAAAAGCGTGCTCTCTCTCACAAAGTACGGAATATGTGGTACCCAGAATGTTCTTCAGGCAACGTATGCATGAGTAGGAGAGAGCTGCAACAATTATTAGCACTGGTGAGTAAGTGATACTGGTTTCAGTGTTCTCACCAGTGTTATATAATGTTCTTAATGAAATGCCTCAAAATGTAAAGGAAACTTGATTAAGAAGTAGTTGACCAATGTTTCTGTTGCTAAGATACTGATTTTTTCAGGCTACTTCAGTAAAATCTAGCCTGAAGGAGAAGCAGAGATCAAGTCTGGTCTAAGTGGAGCAAATCAAGAGCCTTGCCTTTATTACTTGGTCGAAGTCATGTCATGGAGTCAAGAAAGGCTTTTGTATCAATACCAACTCCTGTATTCCTGATGAGGTTGGCTTTGTGGAGCTGAATTGATGACTTCATTTAGCTTAGCAGGAGAAGTTGTATAGCCCAGGTTAATTTTACTGTTTGAGGGACTGCAGTATCCTACACAAAGGGAACCTCAAGTTAACTATTACTGAATGGAACCTGTCAATTAGTGTTATTTTTCATTTGTAAGTGTCAACATAAGATCCAATGTGCTGCCATCTATGAGAAATTGTCTGAAAGAGATGTAATTTCTGACAGCCCCTGCGAGGAATTAGCATTCTCAGACAAGCCATAGACAAGATGCAGATGAACACAAACCAGCTGACCTCAATACACGCAGATCTCTGCCAGGTAAGGGGAGCTGTAAAGGCTTTTGGTGAGAGTAAAAGCGTATTTTATAAGCAGAACCCTTTGAGGAGATGCATGTTCACGTATTCCAATGTTAAAATGCCTTTTAACTGGTCTCCTGTCATAAATAATGATACACTGAAATAAAATGCCCTTCTATGCATTTTAAATGTGCAGTGCATGTCCCCAGATGTTTGGTTTTGTTGATGACTCTTGAAAGTCCTTTGCCATCTCTTCTCTCTGGGCTGAAAGTCACACACAGGCAGTGTAAGTGTAATACCCAGATACCATTTGCTCAGATTTGACAAAGAGCCAGTTTGTCTCGGTGTCTTTGGCCTGAATTTGCTCTTCTGTCTCATTTCTTGGCTCCTGGGACTTAGGGTTGGACAGGAATGTTTAGTGCAATATTTAGTGCAGGCAGTCTGGAAGGCCTGGAATTTCAAACAGCTTTGTCTCAGTCTAATTCCTTTAGCATTCATATAATTTATAACAGCTCACAATCTGTGTTAAAGAATAATCTGTGTTACAGCACTACCACATACCCTGTTTGTCACTCTCGGAGGAGTGAGATTTATTGACTAGTACCAAACAAATTTAGTTTCAGCTTCTTCCTCCTGGAAATTTGAATGGAAATGGCTAATTTATGACAACCTGATTTATTTTCTTGTAGCTCTGTTTGTTAGCAAAATGCTTTAAACCTGCCCTCCCGTATCTAGATGTGGACATGATGGATATTTGTAAAGAGAATGGGGCATATGATGCGAAGCACTTTTTATGTTACTACTACTATGGTGGGATGATATACACTGGGCTAAAGAACTTTGAAAGAGCACTCTACTTTTATGAACAGGTAACTTGAAATCAAATGGTAAGTCTCAAGTGTGATCACTTGAAAGGCAATAGTAGTGTATTGTAGCACTACTACGGTAGCATGTGTAGTAGTGCTGAGATAACATCATCTCTGAATTGCCACCAAGGAGAGCAGGCAAAGCTGTGAACCTAACACAAGGCACAAGCAGTCACCAGTAATTTTCATTCTTAACCTTAAAGATATGATTCTACTAACAGATCTGTATTGCTGCTCATCATTCACATGGGGTTTGGTGTTGTGTGTGTGTGTGTGTTCATCATAACAATGCATACAACTTGAGTTGGGTTCAGGTTCGCTACTAGCTCCTTTATGACAGGTACAGCCTGAACGGTGGTACTCAGCATGTAGTGAAGTAACAGCAAGCTGTCCTTAGAGGTGTTTTCCTTTAAGAAGGTCTCTTCCAGCCAAGTAACTTGCACCATAAAACTATGCATCTCAAAGGTTGATGTTAAATTTATCTCACTATAAATATTTTTCAGATGCTTGTTTATTGCTGCTGGCATAGCAACGGCTTCCAGGCTGACATGCACAATTGTGTGTTCTTAAAGCAAAACTAATGCAGTGGTTTTGCCTAAGACCTTTGCTAATTTTATGAGGGGAGTTACACGTCAAGGTTTTCACAATATCGCTTTCATTTTCTCTGTGAAAGAAAAAATCTCCAAATTGGGAGGACTTAGTGTATGTATGAGAGAAAATGCTGCCAAATATGTGGCAGTTTCTGTATGCAAGTGTCAGTCCTTGAGTAGCTTAGCAGCATCACAGGAAACTGAAATCCCTTTTCCTGATTCTGCAGGCCTCTTTCAGCATAATTAAATATGAGATCTGATGGTGTAATAGCTTTATAAAACCTCTTTAGGGATCTGTGTGAATCCAGGTTCTAAGGTGTATAATCACTCCTGGTAACAAGTAGCTGCAGGTACAACTTTTGATATAGACCAAGGAAAGACATTTAGATTTGATCTTAACAGGGTTATTTGAAGGTAGGCACCACTGTAACACAATGCATTTTGAGCAGCTTGCTTAGAATTTAATATATTTTGGATGATTAGTTTTGACAGAAGCTAGTTTAAAGCTTTAATGCTCAAAGGTGAATTTCATGTCATTGTATCCCTTCCACATGCAGCTTGAAACTGAGATTTTTTACTTAATGCAATAGCTACCAGGATCTGTCAGTAAGTATATTAAATTCCTATTCCATTTCTTTCTTTCTTGCTTAGGCAATAACTACTCCAGCCATGGCAGTCAGTCATATTATGTTGGAATCGTATAAAAAGTATATTCTAGTTTCTTTGATACTACTTGGCAAAGTTCAGCAGCTACCAAAATACACTTCCCAGATAGTTGGTAGATTCATTAAGGTAAGTCTTTGTGAATACAGTTAAATAACAGAGCAATAAAGCTGAGTTTATGTTTCCTACCCTCATTTGATGGTACTTTTTAACATTGCAGATCATGGTATAACGTGCCAGAGGACAACCTCCTGCTGCCTTTCTAGTGTACAATAGCTAAAGAGTGTCTTGTACAAACTTTGTTGTTCATATTGGGATACAGGTTTTTAAACCTAAATTTGGAGGAATTTTAGGGTTGAATAGTACTTACCAGTATTCTCTTCACTGATACTGCACATCCCTTGATAATGATTTACGTTAGAACTTAAACGAGACTCGGCTTTTGTTTGGCTTTCAGTGCCCAGTGTCCTTGTAAGAACATTCAGCCCATAACTTCATCTAGTTGAAGTATGAAATGCTAAATGGATTATTCCAAAACCCAGCTTTATACAGAATAAAAGCTGCTGAAAAAGCTGCAAGTTTGCAGTCTGTAAGCATGGAGATTAGGAGGTGTAGGGTGGAAGAGAAAACTGTTAGTGAGAGAGTTCTGATCCTCAATAAGTAACACACTTTTACTTCTTATTTAACACTGAGTTTATTGATTTGTGACCAAAATTGTAGAGTCCCCAAAATGTTGTAACTCCAGATATTAATAAGCAAACTCAAACAGTTGCTACTTTAAAGTGAACAAGTCTTCACCCTCTGATTCTCTGTTGGCCCTGCTGTGATGCATTGTGGTCAAGGATGACAGTGTCTTATAATCGATGGGCAGTGACTACGCACCTTGAATTCACTTCACTTCATACACTGTTCAGCTAATGGCCTTTTCCTTGCACTTCCAGAACTAGAACTGTCATACAGAGGTCCTTGAATGAAGTTTATTAAATCTTATATTGTAGTAATACAGATGTAGCATATGAGGATCTTATGCTGCTCTAATGCCATGTACTGGCATCATCTATTTGGTATGAGAGATGCTTGAACTACTTAAAATCTGCTTTTATGCCTGTGTGGCTTCTAATGTTGAAGTAGTGAATAGAGGCTGGTTGAACAGCATGTTCTTTATAAAAGATTCTCATTTTTCTAATTGCAGCCCCTTAGCAATGCTTACCATGAACTAGCACAAGTTTATTCAACCAATAAACCCTCGGAGCTTCGAAACCTGGTGAACAAACACAGTGAAACATTCACAAGGGATAACAATATGGGGCTGGTTAAGCAATGCTTGTCATCTCTCTACAAAAAGAATATTCAGAGGCTAACCAAGGTAAGACGAAGGGGGTGGTTTTGCTGAGGTTTTGATTAGTTTTTCTCGCAGAGTATCTCTGGAATGTATTCAATTCAGAGCAAAATGATACTGCAGTAATGTCATGGAGAAAAGAGTAAAGCTGAGATTTGTGTCTCTGAAACAAATGAGGCTAAAATGTTCTATATAGAACACCACCTCAGGTGGCTACTTATGCTTTATTTAAAAGGTGGATAAATGTGTCTGTCTATCAAAGGGGTTTGCCCATGAGATTTTCATACATATTCAAAGAAGTTGTGAGCGCAGCGACCCAGTGACCTTCATCTCTGTTCAGAAGAAAAAACTGAACTTTACAGGCTGCTTGATTAGAGAACAGGGAGTGAATAGGACAGATTTTGGAAGTACCTGAAGTAAGGGGAAAACCAGAAGCAGTGGTTCAATGTGCTCCTTCATCTGAGAGGTCAGATTAATCCTTAAAGATGATCAAGGGAAGGCTCTTTTTTGGCCAGCGCAAATGATGTTTGCTGCAATATAACTTAACCTCAGAAGGAATCCAATACATGCATCTCTTGAAGGAGATTCAAGGGATGGACAGCCACCTTATCCATGTACAAAGGTGAGGGAAGAGGTTGGGCATGGTCAGGACTGTGCTTGGGGTAAAAAGGAATAGCAGAAATGGAGTAATGACTGTTAGTTTGGTCTGTGTATGTGAACAGTGTAATAGATTCATGTCTTCAGAGGAAGAACGGACTTCTTTCTCGTGGGGCTTTTATAAGTAATAACTGTGTCCCACTTGCTTCTTCCCATTGGGTTTCACAAATCGGTTTAGAAAAGTTCTTCACATCTAGCTTTAATGGTTTGATACTTTTTACATTTCAGACGTTTTTAACATTGTCATTACAAGACATGGCAAGTCGAGTGCAGTTGTCGGGGCCCCAAGAAGCAGAAAAATACGTCCTCCACATGGTGAGACTCGAGACTTGGCTGAACTCTCCTCACTTAAAACTTGTTCCAGTGTATTTAAGTGTCTGGGTTGGTGGTGGGTGTTCTGAGTGGCTGAAGAATGGTTCCCTTTCAGGGTGAAGGAAATAACTGTCAGTCTGCTGTGGTGTTTAGACTGTTCTCAAAAAGTCCTAACAGGATTATCCACCATGCAGCATTTGTCTTTGGGAAACTAATAAGAAATAAGAAGCAAACAAGATGATTCCACAAGGAGCCTGTGTGCTGTAGTTACTCAGAATTCTCTTCTTGGTGATGCCTTACGTTAAACCTTTTCTCATTTCAGATAGAAGATGGTGAAATCTTTGCAAGTATTAACCAGAAGGATGGTATGGTCTGTTTCCATGATAATCCTGAAAAATATAACAATCCAGCTATGCTCCATAACATTGACCAGGAGGTAAATCTTTAAGATCTTAACTGCTTTTGGAATTGCTACCAGAGTACCTTAGCCTGTAATCAGAGAGCTGCTGGGAGAAGCCAGTGTAGGTGACTTACATGAAGAGATTGAGGACTATGAATCATTATTAGACTATTTCACAGTACTGGTATTTAAAGGGGGTTTAGATTGATAGTCAGTTACTGTCAACATGTTCCCTATTGTATCCTCTGTACAGCTTGAGATGTTTCAGCAGATTGACTGCTTGATGTTGATTTGAAGTTAGTTGAACTGAATGCATTGGAAAGATTGGGTTTAGAGTTTTAGGCTTCAAGGATCACTTCCAATGGCTGTCAGTAACCTGCCTGTAAGCTGAGGTGGTTGACCCTCATGGGGCTGTCTGTCAGTGGCCTTGGGAAGGATTGTTAGGAAGACGAGAATCAAAATAAGGGAATAAGAAATAATGGACACTTCCGAGAGATGAGGGATAAGAGCATTTTGACATGGAACTTCGGTGATGTCAAAAGTTATTGGTTCTACACAACACAGCTGTGAAGTATCTTGAGCAAGCTGGACCAAGTAATTAACTTAATATGTACTTTTAAGATGCTGAAATGTATAGAGCTTGATGAACGACTGAAAGCCATGGATCAAGAGATCACTGTGAACCCTCAGTTTGTGCAGAAGGTAAGTGATTTAATGTCTTGCAAGAGATTCAGTGCAGTGTGTATTGCACTGTATGTCAGTATACATAGTGTTAATAATAACATATTAATACAAGCATAAACATCATGCTTTAAAACACAAAGGAAGCGCATGTTATCTGATACGCACTTTATTTTCCTACCTGCTAACTTCAAAGACCTGTCTGTCTCAAAGGTAAACCTCAGACCTGTTTGTGAAACGAACTAACTCTCTCCCTTGCAGAGTATGGGCTCTCAAGAGGATGACTCAGGGACCAAACCATCCAGTTATTCTTGAAATTAATGTTGCTCACCACTCCGCTTTCAAGTAAAAGCTTATGAGAGAATCACGCCTGGAACAGGGCATTGAGGAGTTCCACGAAGAGAGCAGAGAGAACTGAGCTTTGCTTTTCACCTGGACATTAAGAACATAAAGAACACCCTCTCAGTACTGTATAATATCAGAAATATTCTCTGCAAAGAAAAAGGAAATCTCAAAAAGAAACGTAAAAGTCTGTTGTGGATTTATTTATCTTCAGATTAACATCGTTAATGCATTAAATAATCTACCTTTTGTTTTAAAGGGTTTGAATGTTGCTGTGTTTCTGTAGCAGTCCTTTATTTCCCTCCTGCAAAAGAAAAGTGTTATTCAGGGAAGAATACAAACTAGTGTTGGTTCACATCCAAGATACTTCCTCGTTCTTTACTCTGTATTTAAAGTTGGCTCAAAGTACAGATGTGTATGTATGGTGGGGGGGAGAGGGCTGGAGTTTCACGCTCTACATGATGATTTGCCTATGCCCGGTGTAGCTGGCTGCTGTCTATTAAAGGATGAACTAAGACCTGTGTTCTTCCCAAAAGGATGAGCATATTAATGAGTCCTTGTGAGGTGGATGTGCTGAAAAACCCAAATCACTGCAGGGAATCTGGACATGACAGCTATTGATGGTGTTAAGTTTCTGGTACAGAATGTCTCTTAATATTTCCTCTTGGGTCTGACTTATTAGACCTAAACAAAAGGATATTTGGAAGAGCTCAGTGTTCTGGAGGATTCTAGATAGTATGTTTCTTATGCTGAAAGACATTTAAATCTTTGTTTCTATCCAGTTGGCATGAAAGTATTCAACAGGCTGGAAATCAAGTGAAGGTGATGCTGTAGAGCTTTGTTTCCAAAGAAAAGAATTCTCCATGGAACATAAACAGAATTATTCTTTAGAGCTCTCCAAAGTCAGGATTTTATTTGGAAATAACATGCTGGAATCCTACCTGGGTTTTAATTCACTGTTTTAAACATAAAAACTCAGTGATTGGATGCTCCACCACTTAAATCAGTGGGCTCTTTTTCTGTAGTTCTCATGTATCTGACGATTCTCGCTGTTCAAACACCTTTGACACACTTCATGTAGGTGCAAATCTCCTACTATCAGGCATAAATAAACCTGTCATCAAGTCAGAACATGAGAAGCTCAGCACCCAGTGCTTCCTACTGAAACGCCTGACTAAGAGCTACTTGCTGCTGTTAACCTGCCAGCTTTGTTTCAGGTGCTGAAGCAGAAGCTGAGCTTTTGTGGCTGTTGCCATGTGAAGCTTGTACATATTGAGGTCACCCATGGTTGAAAATAGCCCATTTGTGCTTCCAACGCTGATACAGACCCACTGGGATTTGCACTTGGAATTGGTGTCTTAATTCCAGTATAGCCTCTGTGACAGCGGGTGCTTTCTAGTAGAAGGGATATGTCCCCAGGTGCTTGTCTAGGTGGTGAAAGATGTCTTTAAAAGTCTAAAATCGCAGTTTAGTATCAAACATAGCATAATCCCTAGTGTTAGTAGCTCACCACTGAGTACTGCTGCTTCCTATCATAGACACGTCCATATTTAAAGGCAACTTTTCCACCTTAGGTTTTTGCATCACTTGCCTTACTGGTCTTGCAGCTATAGGTATTTATCGTTTTTGAAGGTGTGTTTTTCCTGGTTAATGCTGCAGTGACTTCAGGGCTGAACATGCTTATGCAGTTCTCCTCTGGTACCATGGAAGTGTTAAATTAGTAATTGCTAATGCTGGAGGCTGAAGCACAGAGCTGCACTGTCACAGTGTTCACAACTGGGTGGCAGCCATTGAAAGGGCTGCAAATGACTAACCCCAAACTACTACCTATAAAAGGATGTGGATGGCTTGTCTTTCACTGCCAAGGGCTCAGACTGTCACAGCCAGGAATGTCCATGTTGCAGTGGCTGGGCTTTTACACCACCAGTTGTTACTTGTGAGTGTGGACTTCAAATCTCAGAGCTTCAGGATGGCTTTGGAGCCATGGAATTAGAAACAAGCTAATAGATGCAGTTGGCAAATAGCAACTATATTTTCTTCTTTTTATTCTTGCCTAAAGTAACTAAAATAAATCCATGCTCACATCAAAAGGATGGTAGAAATAGCAATGTAATGGATGAAATGATATATTATACTATATTTCTTAACCTGTTTTTTTAAGGTTCCTTTTCTAGTTGTGCTGTTGAAGATTCAAAGTCAGGTCCCACCTGTAGGATCCATAGATAAAGCATTCACCAAAAGTGCTCCAGGGGAAGGGCTTTTAAGTAAAGAGTTTGATAAACAAGAGTCTGGCATCTGCGTGGCTGGAGATACTATTGAAATTAAGTCAGATTTCTAATGAAGGAGCTCATTCAAGTCTTGGAACTGCCTGCATGGGCTGTGGTCAGCCGAGGCGCTTTGAGAACGCTTGAGCTTTCTGGTTTTAATTTGTATTTCTTGCAGGGAAGGAAGGGCTTTTGATCAAGTGCAAGAACTCTGCGTGCTGTGCTCCTCTGAGCTGAGGCTCTCTGAGGTCCTGTCTCTGGCGCTTCCCATCGTGCATGGCCACAAAGATGTGTTCATGAGATAGTGAGTGCATGCTTTGATCTCTGGCTCCTCTTTTCATGTATCTTAAACAGCAAAGAGAAAATGCAGTTGTGAAGGTAGCTGAGGACGTGCAGCTACACTGCTTAGCCACAGGAGGGGTGTCTGATTCATTTCCTATTAGTAGGTATTAAGATGTATTAAAGAAGAGGTGTTAGAAGCTCTGTGTGCAACCACCCGTTCTGGTTTTGTGCTGCAGAGGAGCCTTGGTTGGTGACCTCTGCTCACACACCCGTGCTTCTGCCTAACTCCAGCTGCCTTCTCCAACCAGGTTAGACAGAGCCTTGGGTGCCATGGTTTAGTGCCCATGGCAGGGGGGTTGGAACTGGATGATCTTAAGGTCCTTTCCAACCCAAACCAGTCTGGGATTCTATGATTCTATTCTATAACACTTCACAACAACCACCATGTGTTGTCATAGGCGCTCTGTATAACCTAGGAGATGTTTTCCACCCCGGCTGAAGAGGTTAGTCCTAAGCACTTGTTTAAATGTACCATTGGCAAATAAAGCTGACAAACGAGTCGTCCTTAGTTTGTCTTAAATGAGACAGAAGGTCTCTTATATTGGGCTTTGCCTTAGGGGTTTTGGGGGGGTCTTTTACTCCTGTTGCCTCTCAGGATGTATGATTTTGGCTGACTGGCTGCTAGCGTGGCAGTGTCCTCTCTCAGGGCTGGTTCAAACCCCTTGTCCAAGCTCTATGGAATTACCTTGAGTAGAAACAAGTTCTCCTTGTGCAGGCAGTGCGTTTTCCTTGGGAAGTGATGCTACAAGTGTCCAGGATGGCCTCCAGGATCGGATGTTGGATCAAACACTTGCTTTGATATCTTTGTGTGCCAATAATCCTCCATCTGAGTATTGTTTTCTCCAGAGGCAGAATTTAGTCCATGCATGATGGATCCAGAGGGAAATGTTGTAGTGGTATTGGTGACAGCTGCTCTTTCTTGGGATTTAAGTACATTTTACTCAGTGGAATGCTCTATCCTGTTACCTTGTGGAAGGCTTAACTGCTGCTGTTCAGAACTGGGTGTTTAAAGGGGTCAACTCCAATGTAAAGCGAATGGGGGGGGGGGGGGCTCCAGTACTTCGTTATTCTGAAAGGATGAATAGTTCCCATGGAATTTGGTTTATCTTTCTATCAGTTTTCTAGGGATAGCAATAAAACTTGACTCGGTGAAGAGGAACTGGGGTAGTTTAATGGAGAATTGGCATCGAAGAGTCTCCAACAAGCATGTTTAACTGTGTCTGCTCCCTTCTTCCACGTTCTACCCTGCCCTAACCCTGGAATGTTCACAGTTTAATGAGTTAATACCCATCCCGTGGTTTGGTTTATGGGAGACACCGCCCTCACCCTCCGCTGGCGCCCTCCATCACCTCAGCGCGGCCCCTACCGCGCACGGCGCCTGCGCGACCCCGCCCGTGAGCCGCCATGCGGCCCGCACCATCTGGTGCGGGGAGGGGGGGAGCGGACCCCGCTCTGGGTGCAGCCCTTGCGGGTTTGCAGGAGGCGGCTAGTCCCCTCTGGGCTCCTGAGCAGCAGGCACTGTTTTTGGCTTTCTGCGGTGAAACAGCGGGACACTGGACAGCGAGGGAAGGAAGGAGGAGTGTTCCGGACCTTCTCATCCTCCCCCTCTCTTAGTAATGGTTTTGCCCAGCCCCTGTGGAGAGGGCGGCCGTGGGCCGAGTCACTGCCGCACCGTGGGGGGAGTGGGGGATCGTGTGGAGAGCAGCGGGGAGGCCCGGCTCTGTACCGCGGTACGAACTGACTCCCCCTCCTTCTCTCCCGCTTTCAGCTCCTTCTCCTTGCCGCTCCTCGTCGGCGGCGGTTGTGCAGCCGAGGAGCTGCCGGCTCCTCTTCCCCCCAGCTGCCGGTAGGGATGGTACGGGCCGGTGGGTCAGTCAGTGTCAGGCGCCCGCTGGCACGGGACGGGCCGGGGCGGGGGAGCAGGAGCCGCGGTAAGAGCGGTCGGGGCCGGGTCGTCGGTGTCCGGGACCGGGGAGGCCGGGGACCGGAAGGGGTGGCAGGCCCGGGTCCGGCTGGGCCTGAGGCGTTCGGGTCCGAGGGGGCTGAGCAGAGCCGGTTACCCCCTGAGGGCCTCCGGGCACGGGGAAGCTGCGCTGGTGGTGTCCGGGCACGGAGGTCTGATCTGACAGACCCTAGCCTGACCCGGTAAGAGCAGAGGTATCCGGTCACAGGGGGTCTGGTCCAGTCCCCCTCCCCACTGGGGCTAGCGGTGTCCCGGGTTATTGTCGTTGACCCGTGCTGTTCCCACCCTGTCAGGGTGCGAAGGGCTGGGCCTTACTCAGGTCACCCCGTGGTGGAGCTGTGCTGGTCCCTTAGGCTGAGCTTAAGGGCAGTCGTTTCTGTAGGGATACAGAACAGGACCTGTGGTGACCAGGCCAAAGAGATGCTTTAATATCCGTTGTTCTGATGTTGTGTGTTTTCTCCCTTACCCGCAGGAGGCCTGACGCATGTGCTGAGCTCTCACTATGAATGCTATTGTTGCCCTCTGCCACTTCTGTGAGCTCCACGGCCCTCGCACCCTCTTTTGTACTGAGGTTCTACACTCACCGCTCCCCCAAGGCGCGGGCAGCGGGGACATCTCCGGGCAGAATGAGCAGGCAGAAGAGGAAGAAGGTGGCATTCAGATGAGCAGCCGCATCCGCTCGCACAGCCCAGCGGAAGGTGCCAGCGCTGACTCCAGCAGCCCAGGGCCGAAGAAGTCAGATATGTGTGAGGTAAGAGTGAAGATCTGTGTGTGGACATCAGTGTCCTTTGGCTTAACTAAAGTTAATTGGATTCTCCAATGCAAATCCAGTTGTTTGAGAGAGGAAAAAAGGTGATCTGCGCTTGTTTCATATGTGACTGCTGGTGCCAGAAGATCTCTGCTTCCTCCTAATGATCTGTGACAAAAGGATAAGGAACTGTTCAAGATGGTGTCTTGAGGTCTCCTTAAGCCTTGTGTTTTGTGAATCTCTTGTGTCTGGGAAGTGCTTTCCTTATGCTCGAAGAGCGTGTATTTTATAGGGTCTGATCATTTATTAATAGTCATTTTAAGAGCTGTATTGATTAGGAAACAGGAAAGAAAAGGCAAAAGGCATTAAAAGAGTAGAGTAAGCATATGTTCTCAGTCATTCTTGTCCTTGTCTCCTATTAGTGCTTGTTCTGAGGTACTTGTTACTTAGTTTCCTTTAGGTTTTGGCCAATTTTGTTAGATCAGTTGGTCTCAGAGCTGCTGTTTACTGAATTTTACCACTTGTAGAGCCAGCACCAAGTTCACAATCAAATTAAATAGGGGGAAATGAACATAAGAACAAAGGAAGTTTATCACACAAAGTTCTGTGTGAGGAGCCGGGTCCAAATCCTCACCCTGGCTCCTGTTTCTTGTCTTCTAAGTAATTTGTGTTGTCATCAATAGGTGTAAGTAACATCTCCCTATGTTTTGAAGGGAAACCTTAGACAACTGCATGCTCATTTATGGCTGGATTTGCTTTTCTATCTTCAGGGTTGCCGCTCTCTTGCAGGAGGACATCCTGGGTATGTCAGCCACGACAAGGAAACGTCGATCAAATACGTCAGCCACCAGCACCCAAACCACCCCCAGCTCTTCAGCATCGTGCGCCAGGCCTGTGTTCGCAGCCTGAGCTGTGAGGTAACTGTCTGGGAGAACAGGGAGGAAACCTGGTCATGGCTTTAGGTATCAGCACTTTGCTCATCCTGACTGCTCTGTGCAGCCTGAAGCAAGGAGGAAAGGCAGACACACAAGTCTGCCCGTGCCAGGTTTGATGGTAGTTTTTAAGGTTGATCTTTGATAACTTTGAGGGTTCCTTCCTCTCACCTTGTAAGTCTGAAAGTTTCCCTTTCTTGATTGTGCTCCTAGATGTTCACTGTTTTCCTTTGTAAGATAAACTGGGTTTGTAAGAAGATTGGAATCTGTTGTTTAGTGCCAGGGAATATTTGATCTTTGTAGACCATTAACGTTCAACATCTCGTAGAAGTGAAGGGAGAAGCATGCAGATCAGTGAGCATTTGTGTGTCAGGATCAGCAAAACCCCTTGTGGATTCTCAACAGTATTGTCATTGAATAGAGCTGAGTTCTTAACATGCTATTAAATTGAAGCTTTTATAGTGTTTGTAGGATATCTCTGGAGGTCTGTTTGACCATATATTTTGGATAGCAGCCTAAAAAAGGCTGGTTTTCTTCACTCAGAGTAGGAAGCTTTGTGCAGTTTATTACCATTTCAGCTGTGTGATCTGCTCAACCACTTTGGTGTATGTGACCTTCCACTTCAGGTCTGCCCAGGACGGGAAGGCCCTATTTTTTTTGGAGATGAACAGCATGGTTTTGTGTTCAGCCACACCTTCTTTATCAAAGACAGCCTGGCTCGAGGCTTCCAGCGCTGGTACAGCATCATCACCATCATGATGGACCGGATTTACCTCATCAACTCCTGGCCTTTCTTGCTGGGAAAAATCAGAGGCATCATTGATGAGCTTCAGGGCAAAGCACTTAAGGTGGGTCAGTGCACAGAGTCTGTTTGACTCAACGTTAGTAAAACATCACAATAGCTGATGTGCAGCTGAGTCAAAAAGCTGATCCAGCTCATTGCAGTCAGAGTGGACGTTAAAGTTGACACAAGGGACAAGAGGCTGGTGTGTATCTGGGGGGTAGGAGAGAAGGAACAGGGTGCCTCTGACATTTTAGACCAGTCATAACACACTTCACAGAGCTACCTGCTAGAAAGTAGCTCTGTTAGAAATTTAAGTAACTAAAGATGAGAAGGATCATGCTTTTGGAGCACTTAATGGTAATTTTAGTCAATCTGAGAATAAGATGTCCCTTCCCTCTCTTTTCCTGTAATTTACAGTTTATTTGGGATGATTGTATGTGATGCACCTTTTCACTTTGTACTTCCATTGAGTATTTTTTGGCCTATCTCTACATAAACATCTCTTTCAGTCTCTTACACTGCCCTTCTTCCATGGTGTAGGTGTTTGAAGCAGAGCAGTACGGCTGCCCTCAGCGTGCGCAGCGGATGAACACGGCCTTCACTCCCTTCCTGCACCAGCGGAATGGCAACGCAGCCCGGTCCTTAACGTCACTGACCAACGATGAAAACCTCTGGGCATGTTTGCATACATCCTTTGCTTGGTAATGAAGAGAATACTGGCATGTTCTGAAAGGGTGGAAATGTGATTTGAGTGGTTTTCTTCTTGATGTAGGAAGTTGGACTTTGCTAAGTAGTCTCTGAATTGGAAGGAGCTAAGCACAAGAAGATGGCAGCCTGCTGATGACTTTAAGACAAAAGAAATCTCTTTGTTGCTGTGAAATAATCATGGAATGGTTTGGGTTGGAAGGGACCTTAAAGCTCATCCAGGTCCAACCCCTGCCACAGACAGGGACACCTTCCACTAGAGCAGCTTGCTCCAAGCCCCTGTGTCCAACCTGGCCTTGAACACTGCCAGGGATGGGGCAGCCACAGCTTCTCTGGGCACCCTGTGCCAGCGCCTCAGCACCCTCACAGGGAAGGATTTTATTCATAATATCCAGTCTAAATCTCCCCTCTTAGCTGCTGTAAGAACTTCCCTTAAGGAGCCTGCTCTTCTCCAGGCTGAACCAGCTCAGCTCTCTCAGCCTGGCTCCAGAGCAGAGCTGCTCTGGAGCAGCATCTCCATGGCTTCCTCTGGACTTACTCCAACAGCTCTGTGTCCCTGTTGTGCTGGAGGCCCCAGATCTGGATGCAGTGCTCTTGGTGGGTCTCATGAGAGCAGCGTAGAGGTGGAGAATACCCTCCCTTGATCTGCTGGTCATGCTAGAGATGAAATAAACCTACTAATGTGACAGCTAATGGAAGCCATGTGTATCTAGATGAAAAACCTCTGCAGTATAAAAGTAGATATGGAAGAAAGCATGGAAAGATGCTCCTACCCTCAGTGTGTTGTACCTTGGATTCACATTTGAAGTACAGTGAGTGGTCACCTGGAAGTGCCAGAGTATTGTGATAGGCAGTGTGGGAGGTGCAGCCGTTTGGTACAGTAGCATGTCTGTGGCAGTCCAGTTGCTCCAGTGCCTGACTTCCTCATCAGACTTCCCTGGAAAGATGCCACAGAGAGGGTTGCAACACCGGCATGTGGCTTGGGTGGGAGATAAGTGTTTTGCAAAATGGTAGTCCTTTTGGTGACTGTGTGTGACAGTGGTTGTAAGATGCACTGATAGTTACCACACTGAGGAAGGCATAGAGATGTGTTGAAAGCAAATACATATTGGTTACTGGTTGGATTTTTGTTGAGCTCATCACACCAAGTGTCTTGCTAGGCTTTTGCAGGTTTAATGAGTGCTGCTTATGTTTCTTTCAATGTTTCCAGGCTTTTGAAAGCTTGTGGCAGCCGACTTACTGAGAAGCTTCTGGAGGGAGCACCAACAGAAGACACCCTAGTTCAGATGGAAAAACTTGCAGGTGAGAGAGGGATTTCCAGAGCTGGAAGATTCTCTCTGAATGCTTTGGATGGTAAAACACCAAATTCTTTCATCATCAGCATCATAAGCACAGCCATCTCTCATCAACTTTAGTGGCAGCCTCTGCAGTAGCTGATGTGCTCTCACATGTAGAGATGACTGACAGGAGCATGAAATCCTTGTCCTCGTAGGCTCTCTGCATGCACACATGATCTTGGTTACTTGAGTGGGAGTGTTGCATCATCCCCATTATTGTTCTCTCTGGCTGGGTTGGCCTTTCCAATGAATCTTTACAACCAGAAGAATTTGCAGTCACAACTCATAGGCTTTTTGCTCCTTTTTCTACAACATTTCGAAAGGGTCGTCATTTATTTCTTGCATTGAATTATTTTATGAATCCATTTAGCTTAGAATCTCCAAAACCTGCCTCCAAGCTTTGGCCATGCCCTTTAAAACAAGAGTAGAGAAGTGGTCAAAAGATGTGATTTTGTGTTCTGTAGAAGCTGAAAATTCCTTCCTGAAGCTTCAGTGCTTATCTTCTATCTGAATTCATAAACTTTGTTAAGACTTTGGGTGTGTCTGTGGTGCCAGTACTTCCAGTTGCTGTGTTCTGAACTCTCTCTTCCCACATCCAGCCAAAATCCATTGGCTGCAGCTTGTGTAAGCAGTTCCTATTCCTAGAGAGCAGCAGTTCTTCCAACCTCTCTGCCCTTCTTTTGCTAGATCTGAAGGAAGAGTCAGAAGGCTGGGATGGTTCTGAGGAAGAAGAGAAACCTTCTTCCCAGGCAGATGCTGTGGAAGGGCAAGAACTATCTAAATGCTCACCTGAAACATCCCTGATGCCAGATTGCAACAGCTGGAATGTAGCTCACAGAAGGTTGTCTGTCTTTCGCTCTCTCAGGCACATGAGGCAGGTAAGAGAGGAGCATGCTACTGATGCTGAATTCCCATGCTAGTAACCTCTTTTCTCCTGATTGTTCTTTAAAAGATACATTTATTTCCTGCACTCTGCACTTCTTCCCTGGCTCTGTGTTCAACACAGAGCCTGCACAGCTCATAACACTGTGTTAACTGCATCTAGATCATGTGGGCTTCCAGTGATCATCAGTCATGTGGGATGGGATCATATGATTTCCATCCAATTCCGCACTCCTCTTCTTCCCAAAAGCAGTGACAGTAATTTAGCACAGAGGTCGTGCAGCATCCCCAAAGCCAAGTATTATTTGCTTAAAACAAAAGTATTTCAGAAGGAAAAAAGACCATTTACAAGCAAAGCAGATGATTCTGTACAGATAATGCTTCTCTCCAGTGCTTCCAGTTACGTGGCTGAGGGGGAAGGTTCAGTGCATTTGACCCACAGCCTCTATCACACCAGCTTGTTTTCCTGGAAAAGTACCTGCTTTATGTCTTCAGCCTCCTTTTGTTCTACTGTCTCCCAGTTTAGAAGGCTTGAAGCTGTGGAACAGCACCACTGTATTTCAAGTGTGTGCCTTTGGAGGCTTGTCTGAGAACACTGTTTCATCTCTGTGCATAACCCAGATCAGAGAAATGCCTGAAAGTTGTTACCATCTATCAGGAGCTGTTCAGTCCTGCCCCAAAACGCTTGATCTTGGTGCTGTGGTTTAGAGCTACTACTCTGTGTACCAGACCTGCTAAATTCTCGTGTTTATTTCTGCTCTTCAGTCCTAGCCATGTTCTTATGTGGCAGGCATGGTTTTAGTGGACATTTCACTGGTTTTCTTAACCAATGCAGAATGGTTTGGGGTTTTTTTCCAGGTTCTGGGGGCATCAGCATTCCGCATGTTGGCTTGGCATGTTCTGATGGGGAACCAGGTCATCTGGAAAGCTCGAGATACGGATCTTGTCCAGTCTGCTTTTGATGTGCTACGGGTAAAAGCTTTTTCCTTGTGTTTCCTGGCTGCATATTTTTACATATATTTCCTTAATAATCCAGTCTTCATAATAGCCTGTCTCTGACATGTAATCTCATGGAGAATGTGGTCTGAATTAATGGGTTTGAAAACACAAAACCACCAACAAAAAGGAGCCACCAAAGAAAGGAGACTCAGCCTTTGGATGCTGTGGTTGTCCTCAGCAACTTTCAAGCTGATCTGGGGGGATATTTCTGATCTTCCCCCAAGCAGTGCTCCAAGTCTTTCTCCTTGGAAGTCAGGAAGAAAATTGTACTGTACTCCTTTACTTCCAGTGTTTCTCCTGATGTGTTTCCTTCCTTCTCCAGACTATGCTGCCTGTTGGTTGCGTGCGGATCATCCCCTACAGTGACCAGTATGAAGAGGCGTATCGGTGTAACTTCCTAGGGCTTAGCCCACACGTCCAAATCCCATCCCACATCCTGTCATCTGGTAAGACCCTGGTGCAGAGCCCTCTCCTTTCCCTGTCATGTTAAAGGGCACAAGATTCTTATTTTATTTATGGAGTGTTGCCAGATAGTCTAACAGTGCTGCATGAACTAAAACTTGTACCGCATCATTTTGTTTGCCCTATATCCCTACCTGAGCAGTAGTGGAGAGGTGCGACACCTGCTTTAAGCACTGATCAGACATAGCCAACAGTCTTGGTTCCTATGGGGGAAAGGTTGATGCTGGATCAAACGCTGACAGAGCTGTGTTTCCTCCAAGCAGGGTGTGGAGCTGTAGTTCAGAACCTGGACTGGTTCAGTTCATGTTCTCTTGGGTTCTTGTCGCTCTAGAGTTTGCGGTGCTTGTGGAAGTTCGTGCTGCAACCCGATCCAGCCTCTACCCAGCGCTGTTTGATGAGGAGCAGTCCCTCAACAAGTACGAGTTTGTTGTCACCAGCGGCAGCCCTGTGGCAGCAGATCGAGGTGGGTGATCTGAAAGCAAGAAGAACCTGTATCACGGAGACTAAACACACATCTTGATTGTTAACTGCTTTTATTCATGTACTAGGGTCAGAAAACAACTGGGTTGAATACTGAGGTGAGGTTTACCGCAGTCTGTTTAATTATGAAGGGTTTGTTTTACCAGATCAGCATTTTGCTTAACTAAAAATAGCAGTACTTGTAGGGAAATTCTTGTGTAACCCAAGTGAACACTTTATATCCTGGAATACTGGGTGTTTATTTGAGTACATCTACCTTACAAGAACTATGACATTATTCATCTCCCACGTTCCACATGGCAGATGGCTAAATCCTTCCTGCTCTGTCCTCTGAAAGTACAGGTGCAATGCAAAGCAGAGACTTACTCTCTGTGTAATGCATACTGACAGTATAATTACAATAGTCTACTTCCCATCCAACCAGTGGCATGTCCAGAGCTTCTGGACTAGAATAGTCACTGAAATGTCATTTCTCCACCACAGCATCAAAGTTATTAGGCTGTGGACTGCCAGGAGAGAAGCCTCCTAGGGAATTCCAGTAAGTGGTCAGGGAGAGGAATGCCTTGGGATGGTTGTTGGTTTGGGTTTTTACTAAGTATCCTGGAACTGCCCTTAAGAAGAGGAATATTGAATCAAGAGTAAGCAGAGACTTCAAAACTGAGGGCTTATATTTTTATGTGTATTATATGAAGTAGGGAGACTTTTCACAACTTGGCATTTTTTAAGGAGCTTTTGACATGAAACTAGAACCAACAAAATCTAAACAACAGTTTAAAATGGGTCTGAAGAAAACAAACTTTGTCATAAGTCCCATTCCTTCTCAGAATTCCATGTTGCTTCTTGGATCAGGTGTTCCTATAGTGGGATGAACTTTAGTTCCTCTTGCATGGAAGCGAAATCAAGACAGGCCACTGGGGGGAACATTTTCCTCCTTATGGAGTATGCAGGTTTCTTCTGGACTCAAGGGAGATTATTATCTATAAACTAAGAGAGCTAAATCTTATGTTGAAGTTGGCTGTGCTGTTACTAATAGTCTAGCTTTCTCCATACAGAGGAAGCTGCATTAATGCACCAGACCAAAGCACTGGTGGAAAGAGTGTGCACTTAAACAGAATAAGAGGTGGAACAAATATGTATTCTTGTCTGTAATTCCAGCAGATATCCAGGCCCTACAATTAAATGGACTAGTCCTTGCTAACAATGACTAGTAAAGGTGTAAGCGGGTAACCTATAGTTTGTGTTCTCTTTCTCACCCTTTTCCCCCTCTTTTTGCCGCTGTAGTTGGTCCTACAATCTTGAACAAGATCGAAGCTGCCCTGACCAACCAGAACCTTTCTGTAGATGTTGTGGATCAGTGCCTTGTCTGCCTGAAGGAGGAGTGGATGAAGTAAGTGTGACTGCATTGCTTTCAGAGAAACAGCTTTGGCACTAATCCCAGAACGGTTACAGCAGAGTACAGGGAAAACGTGTAGTCAGGTAACTTCTGCTGTAGTGTTGACAGTAGCTGGCTTTGCTGTTAGGAGCTAGGAGTATCTGAGTGGTTCTACTCTAGTCAGAAATCCCAGACTGGTTTGGGTTGAAAGGGACCTTAAAGCTTATCCAGCTCCAGCCTCTGTCATGAGCAGGGACCCCTTCCACTGGAGCAGCTTGCTCCAAGCCCCTGTGTCCAACCTGGCCTTGAACACTGCCAGGGATGGGGCAGCCACAGCTTCTCTGAGCACCCTGTGCCAGAGCCTCAGCACCCTCACAGGGAAGAACTTCTGCTCAGTATCTAATCCACATCTCCCCTCTTTCAGTATAAAGCCACCCCCCTTGTCCTGTCCCTACAGGCTTCTGTCAAAAGCCCCTCTCCACCTTTCTTGTAGCCCCCTTTGGGTACTGGAAGTACCTTGAAGAGTAGTCCTTTTGGCTGTCAGCAGTTCTTAACCTTTATGCTTCAGTTCACACATCTGTAGGTTACCTACATGACAATACTTGTCTGCCTCATACACGTTATGAGGATTAAGTCTGCAAATCCATATATGCCTGTCCATGTGTGCTATATTCCGGTGCGGATAACATGCCAAACAGATGTCATGATTGTGCCTTGAGGCACTGTGTTTTAAGGGTGCAGGTATAAAGGAAGACCAGACAGTCATGTGCAATAATTCATGGAACGTTAAGATTCTATGGATTTACCTTAGGGCCTGACTGGCACAAGATGTGTCTGCTAGGGAGGTTCCCAGTTGTCACAATGAATTGTTTTACCTTCGACTAGAATGAAGAAACAAGCTAGAATTGTGCATATTACGAGTGGAAATGAGTAATCCCCCTTTTCTTGTACTCTTCTTCATTCAAAGCATGCGAGGTTTCCACAGAATACTGTTTGAAGCTGTTACTAACATTCCCTTGCAATAGGTCCTGAGAGAAGCTGCAGTTTACTGCTCGTTCCCTCTTTGACGTGTGCAAATCCATTGTAATGACAGGAGTTTCTTGTTCCCGTAGCAAAGTGAAGGTCCTCTTCAAATTCACTAAAGTGGACAGCAGACCCAAGGAGGATACCCAAAAACTGCTGAGCATCCTGGGCGCTGCTGAGGAGGACAACGTCAAGCTTCTCAAGTTCTGGATGACTGGCTTGAGCAAGACATACAAGTCCCACCTGATGTCAACAGTTCGCAGCCCCACATCCTCCGAGTCCAGGAACTAAAAGGTGCCCAACCTCACTTGCTGCCTTCAGATAACCACAGGGACCCCGAGTTACCGCTGCTGAGCCCGCAGCATGTGCATCAGGTGGATAGTGCCACTTCATCACTGTTCTCCTGGTCCTCAGACTAACTTGAAGAGCCACTTGAGTCTTTTCTAATTGCTGTGAGACTGGACTAATACGTGCTAATAAATAGTGCTGCTGTCTGTCCTAAACTCAGCTCTGAACCTAGACCCGCACACTCGAGACTAAAGGGACACTCAAAGAATCAGTGTGAGTTGATTCAGATCCCATCCTGCCTCACTAAGCACTGTGGTGTGGCAGTAGAGCTCAGTTTTAGCTTTCCATTGGCAACACTTGGCTACCTGTGACAACATCCAGATCTCCTGGGGATGGATACGGTTCATCTCTCCAAATCCCACATAAATCTCCTGAATACCTGAGAAAACAAGAACCAAAAACCAAGTGACAACGTCACAGGGTCTGGATCCACGTGTAAATTATTTCAAACCACTCTCTGTTTGGATTTACAAGAGACTTCTTTTCTGCTGTAGCATAAGTCAGGATATCCCATTGGAGTCCTGTCGCTCCACTTTATTTATTTATATCTTAACTTGAGACAGTTTCAGCATTTGCTTCGGAAACCTTGTTGAGGAGGGAGAATTGTAATATAAGGAGTCTCTAAAAGCAGCCTGCTTGCCTCTCTAGAGGGTAAAACACTCGCCTTGTTTTGCCTGCAGTTGCAAAACTTCCAGGTAATGAAGATTACCTCGTCAGGATCCGGTTGCTGGTGGTTTCCTATCTCCAGAAAGAGTTTTCTAGCTTCCTAGTGAAGTTAAGCAGGAAAGATCCAACCTGTAGGTGCTCCCTTATCTAACTCTATAGTAGCCATTTTTTTGCTTAATAGTTCATGGAAACATTGGTGCATTTTTTTAATGACCTAAACCAGATTTTTTTTCCTTATCTGTATTGTAAGGAATTACTGTTTCTGTTGTGAAGTCTTCGTTTTGTTGTTTCCTCTGGATCAACGTTGGGAAAACTTGACATTACCACAGACATTTGTACCAAGCTAAAGGCAGGTTTTACCCAGGTGACCTTCTACACTCATTCAAACAAGACTCGAGCTCAGAGGCGATGTTCCAACTTGTCGTGAGTTCTGTTCTTATATATATATATATATATATATATATAAAATATGCAGGTTGATTTTTTTCTGTGTCTGGAACATCTGTAAAATGGAGACAGGCATTAAATCTCAGTAAGAGCTATTTTTGTAAATGGACAAAGCCTGGGTTTGTGTTCATTTTCTGTGTGTGTTGCTGTGGGGGAAGCAGCAGTTGATCTGTGCCTTAGCCTAAATCTGATTTAATAGGCCTTTTCCTCTTAACTTTGTATTAGTTTCTAGTACATCTAGAGCAAGAGATGCTCAGATACATCAACTAAAATTGCTTGACTGGACATAAAACAACTGCAGGAGACTGAAGCAGCAAACATGCTTGGGCAAAGGCATTACTCTGTTACTTCAAAGCACTTGTTTAACTTCAGGCTTTGGAAAGAAGCTGGCGTTTCCCCATTGTGAGAAAGGAAACGGGAGATGGAGCTTTGAGTAATGCATGCATCTTGTTTCCTATGTGCTAGTCATGAGGGGAGAACAAAGCCCACTGTCAGTGGGGTGAAAGCAACAGAAGTAATTAGAAAGGCACAGACCAGTAAATCAATTTCCAGTGCTTGCTCTTGTAGCAATCTTTTATCAGATCTTCTTTTTGCCCTTGAAAGCTATTCTGCTCCAATCCAGAGCTGTGTAACACAGCAGGTAAGGCATGACTTGGCATTGTTTGATTGCTGAACTGGTTTTATCTTTCAAAGACCAGCTCTCCCAAGCAACCCAGTGTTAATACCTAACGTCCATCAAACCCGCTACTGGTGCATGAGCATCCGGTGTTTCTGAACAGAAGTGTGGTTTCTTCTGAAGCAGCAAGTAGGTGAGCACAAGGTCAAGACTAAGGCTTCATCTTCTTCCTCGTGCTTGTGTAAAGGGTGAGTTGTTTGCAGTGTCACTCTGTCTCTGTCCTGATCTGTGTCACCAGACCCTGGATAATGCATCATTCCTGAGCCAGGGCATGGAAACCACTAACTTGGTGCTTATAAAATGCCCACAGAAAGGAAAGGGGAGAGCTGCTAAGTCTGTGAACACATAAAGCAGATGCTCCTGCCTGCCAGAACAGATCTATACATGGGATTATCAAGTAATTGCCTGGGCAAGTTCCTGCAGCTCCCAGATTATCCCGCGGGCGCTCCTTTTGCTGTCAGTGAGAGCTGGAATGTGCACAAGTTAATTAACCAGAAAGCATGTCTGCAGCCATCTTTCACCACCCTCCTCCATCGAAACGCTACGCCTTGAAGACAAACTGATGGAATCATAGAAGCATAGAACGGTTTTGGACCTGAAAGTTCCAGCCTGGAACACCTTCCACCAGAGCAGCTTGCTCCAAGCCCCTGTGTCCAACCTGGCCTTGAGCACTGCCAGGGATGGGGCAGCCACAGCTTCTCTGGGCACCCTGTGCCAGCGTCTCAGCACCCTCACTGGGAAGAACTGCCTTATATCCAACCTGAACTTCCCCTGTTTCAGTTTGAACCCATCACCCCTTGCCCTATCGCTACAGTCCCTGATGAAGAGGCCCTTTCCAGCATCCTTGTAGTGCCTTTAGTCACTGGAAGTTGCTCTAAGCTCTCTGCACAGCTTCTCTTCTCCGGGCTGAACAGCCCCAATGGCTTAGCCTGTGCTCCATCCCCTTTATCATCCCTGTTGCTCCTCCGGCCTTGCTCCACCAGCCCCATCTCCTTAACGCTGGGCACACCAGAACCACACACCGCAGCGCCTCATGGAGCCAGGATGTCCTTTATCCCATGCGCTGTTCCACCAGCACCGAAGAGGGCGATGGATGCGGGTGAAGGATGCTTGGAGCATCCCTCCCATGCTCCCAGTGCTGCCATGACCCGCGCTGAGCTCAGGGCATCGAGGGGCTCCCCTTGCGGTACCCTCCCTGCGGCGCATCGCGCATGCGCCCGGGGCACCATGTGGGTGCCGGGTGCAGGGGGGCGGCCGGGCCTTGCCGTGGCCATGGCGGCGGCGGCGGCGGCTTGCTTAGCCGTGGCCATGGCGGCTCGGCGCTGGCGGCGTCGCCCCGTCCGTGAGGTGCTGTTCTTCCCCTCGCCGCCCAGCTGCACCGAGGAGCTGCTGGCCGAGGCGGCGGGGCCCGGCGCTCGGGTCCAGCCCTGCCCCTGCCCGCTGCCGCGCAGCGACTGCTCCCTCAGCCGCCTGCTGAGGCGGCTCCTGTCCGCCCGCCGCTCGCTCGACATCTGCCTCTTCGCCTTCTCCTGCCCGCAGCTCGGTCTCGCCGTGCGGCTCCTGCACCGCCGCGGCGTCCGCGTCCGGGTGGTCACCGACGAGCAGTACATGGGGCTGCGGGGGTCGCAGATCGGCCTCCTCCGGCACGCCGGTGAGGCCTAGTGATGGGTGTTGGGGGGGGAAGAGCGGGGCGCTGCGGGGCGAGGGTTGTGTCTGTGGCCGCGGGTTCGAGTCCCGCTGAGGACGTGGTTGTGTCTGGGGCCGCGGGTTCGAGTCCCGCTGAGGACGCGGTTGGGTCTGGGGCTGTGGGTTCGAGTCCCGCTGAGGACGCGGTTGTGTCTGGGGCCGCGGGTTCGAGTCCCGCTGAGGACGTGGTTGTGTCTGGGGCCGCGGGTTCGAGTCCCGCTGAGGACGCGGTTGTGTCTGGGGTTTGGGTTCGAGTCCCCTTGAGGACGTGGTTATGTCTGGGGCCGCGGGTTCGAGTCCCACTGAGGACATGGTTGTGTCTGGGGTTTGGGTTCGAGTCCCGCTGAGGACGTGGTTGTGTCTGGGGCCGCGGGTTCGAGTCCCGCTGAGGACGTGGTTGTGTCTGGGGCCGCCGGTTCGAGTCCCGCTGAGGACGCGGTTGTGTCTGGGGCCGCGGGTTCGAGTCCCGCTGAGGACGCGGTTGGGTCTGGGGCCGCGGGTTCGAGTCCCGCTGAGGACGCGGTTGGGTCTGGGGCTGTGGGTTCGAGTCCTGCTGAGGACGCGGTTGGGTCTGGGGCCGCGGGTTCGAGTCCCGCTGAGGACGTGGTTGTGTCTGAGGCCTTGGGTTCCAGTCCCACTGAGGATGCAGTTGTGTCGTTGTAGGGATCCAGGTGCGCCACGACCAGGGCCACGGGTACATGCACCACAAGTTCGCCATCGTGGACCGGAGGATGCTCATCACGGGGTCCCTCAACTGGACCACGCAGGCCATCCAGAGCAACCGGGAGAACGTGCTGGTGGTGGAGGATGCTGAGTATGTGAAGCCGTACCTGGATGAGTTTGAAAGGATTTGGGAGGAATACAATCCCACCAACAATAGGTTTTTATGCCAAGGACAGTGATGGAGCTGCCTCATACAGCTGGTGGAGTATTAGCAGATGAGAGCATTCACAGCCTATATGGACATCAGTATAGTATCCACTTGGGTGTAATTTAGGCAAGCTCCTGAGAAGCCAAGTTCTCTCTACCCTGAATGACCCGCTTTGCTGTGGGCCATTCCCATGCTAGAGGGAACCACACAGCTATATGGGAATTGTGTTGAGGATAGCTGTGACAGGGCTGCCTTTGTAGGGCTTAAAGCAGGCAGGCTCATTGCTGTGCCCTGGTGCAGTATGTTCACGAGGTGCTTGCAGGTGTTTCAGGGATATTCCAGGAAGGAATTGTGGCCCAACACAAAGAGTTAGCAAACATAGAGTTGGTATAGAGATAGAGTTAAGCACCTTAGTTATGTTTCTTCGTTATGTGTTGGCTTTAATTGTTGAGAGTTTGTAATGGAAATCTATAGACATAAGATGGCAGAGATTAGAAGTGTGTTCTGATTGAGAACAGGGTTCCTCTAGTTTAAGGTGAAGGTTTAAATTGAGCAGAGCTCCAGTTTAAAAGCCTGCAGGTCGCAGGTGCCAATGAGCCCTCATCTTCCAGCAGGGAAGTATTGGGATATCTGGGAAGAACAAAGATATTCTTTGGGATCAGTCGGTCTCGAGTGCAGACGTGGCTGCAGATGACAGCAACAGGATGAGGTGCAAGTAAAAGGGAGGGAGTGGAACACAGATGGGTGCACTTGACCCTATTAAAACCCTACCTGCCATCTGTGTAAGAACTGCTTAAACCTGAGTATAAAGTGCCTCAAAATCTGGCATTTTGATTTGTTTTAAGGTTTTGCCACCAGTTTTTGCTTTGATACAGCAGGGCCGTGATGGGCACTATCAAATTAACTGCGTTCACAGAGAACCTCAATGTCAGCATCTGGGTCTTGTGCTCCAAGCAGTCCCTGTGGGGTGGTTGTTCCAAAGATCCAAATCATTAACAAACTCCTGTGGATCCTTCAGTGTTATTTAGGATACGTGGAATAACATCATCAGAGAGAGATGTTCTATTGGAGAAAGCTGGCATGGGTCTGGGGGAGAAAGCATCGCTATTAAAGAGCACCAATGGAAGAGGCTGGGGAAGGTGGTTGTCTGTTAAACCCCCTTCAACAGCATTAGATTGACACTGCTTCAACCATATTACTGCTATTAAATACCCCCTGTTTCAGTAGTAGTGGTGACTGTAAAGGCAAACAGCTCTCGTTTTCAGGCTCTGGCCTCTGCTCTCCCTGTAGCATCCTCCTCTTTGGAAGAACACACCTCGGTACACGGCGTGCAAAGGGTGGTGCAAAAATAGTTTATTAGGATACAGTTAATGTAAAGTTAGGTAAATCTATTTACAAAATAAAAAGGATCAGCTACATCCATGGGCACCTAGCATGTCACACAGGGCTGCAAGGAATAAATACGGTGAGAAGTGACCTGGTACATGTGGGGAATGGCGGCTCTTAAGCTCTGGAGTAAACTGGAGCAGAAGGGAGAAGGGAAGGAGAGAGGAGCTCGCACATATTGAGGAACAGGAGCCTCCAACACCCGCTCCTCTTTCCAGAGGGGAAAAAATGACACGTGAGATGCCATTTCCAGGAGTGATCCATGTGGAAAATCCCCTTAAAAGAGACTGTTCTGCCCTATGGATGGACAGAGGTTGAGGACAACTGTGTTCCCTCCTCTCCTCGGTGTGAGCCTGCCTGGGTTTGAGCCACTGTGCTCGGATAGAACCAAGGCAAGCTGCCTGTTGCTGTTAGGATGAAGGAGGAAGATGGGCAATACCACTCCAGGTACCACCACGGACTTGCAGAACTGCCCTTTTCCTCCCCAAAACTTCATCGTTTCCCATAAATCTGAGTCTTTAAAACCATTCCTTAAAATCCCAAAAGACATCCAGAACTCCAGGTCCCAGGAGGGTGGGCACAGGTCAAAGCCTCTGTATTCAGATCTGCTTCCCACTTAACCATAGTCTCTGGTATCTTCCAACCTGCTTTGCCATCTCTGGTTTAGAACAAAGGGTGTTCTTGTCAGCACATGAAGAAAGCACAAAGAACACAAGAGTGGTTGCACTCATCCTTGAGTTCATGGCCAATTGGCTTTGTTCAGTTGGTACCAACCTGGCTCTTGGCTCTTTAGGGTTCTGCTGGTAAATCCCACACCCTTGGTTTCCTTTGGTAGTCACAGGCTGATGAGGGTGAGCCCATTGCTCCCTGCTCCTGTGCATTGGATCCTCTGGTGTGATTTCTACTGCAGGATCCCAAGTGTGTTGTACTGGAGGTTACATCTGAAGTTACACACTGTGAGTAACGACGTGCATCCTTTCTGCTGGAGCACGTGTGTCTGTTCCCTTGTGACATCCAAGAGGATCTGGAATGTGCTGCACACGTGAATTCCAGCACTACAGCAGTGCCTCATGGGCCCTAACCCAGTGCACAAGGTGCGTTCCATCACCAGGTAGCTCTGTAGTAGCACACCACCAGGTAACAGCCTGCACACGTGTGATGTGCCACATAACATTATGGAGCAATCCATATGGAACCATACCAACCTAAGTTTATAGGTTACAGTTCTCAAACCCACTGTGCGTGATCTTTGGATGAGGATCTTCAGAACTAAAGGTAGAGCTCAGCAGAAAAGGTTTGTAAAGACATTTGTAAGAGTCATTCAAACCAAACCAGGCCAGTTTATAGGGTGGGTTGGCCACATCACACTCATTGCTCTTTTCCCAAAGTGGGGACATCTGGGTTAGACCAGGATTTAAACCTCAAAACCCACACCGTAGGCACAAAAAGAGGCCCCTCCACTGATTGCTGAGTAATAGGTACAGTGCGTGCTCTGGATACTATAATACAGGCTTTAAATTAATCTTTTCAAAGACAAGAATAGCAAAATTTGGGGTTTTCTCTTAAAAAAGGGGGAAAAGATAACAGAGCAAAGGCAAGCTGCAGTGAGTGTGCTTCAGGGGTCACAACACAGGTACTGCATCCAACCAGGGCTAAAGGCAAGGGGTTAGTGGAAGTGCAGAGCTGGTACAAAAGGGAGACACTTTAACAGTGCTGGGGATAGTGCTATTGATGCAGAGACTTCCCTGGGTTGCAAGATGCAGGGTTTGAAGCGAATGAACACGATTTGCTGCTGCTTTTATACGTGGGGCAAAGGGAAAGGTCCCATTTACAGAAGGATTCAGCCTGTTTCAGGGCAGACAAATGGTAGGAAAACCTCACACAGGGAAATCGTGACTCAGAGCCTGTGTCTGCACCATCCTCAGGTTTGACTCTTCCCACACCTCACATTTCAATGCTATCAACAGCACAGAACTGGGCAAGATGCAGCAGCCTGGGTTTCACGTGCTGCTGTGTGGATGTGATGCCCTGGAGAGCACCTGAAGCAGTGGTACCGTGGTACCACACACCAAAGGGTGATGCTGGGCAGCGGGATAATGCAGGTAGGGAGCTCACTTTCCTTCCCAATACTTCCACCTTTCCACTCATTTAAATTGCCACTGATTTATCTTGAAAGATGAGGGAAGCAGCAACAGGATAACTACAGCACACTGCTATGGGTAAAAAGCTTCCCAGTTGGCTTTCTGCTTTGTTTCCCCGTATTTAAAGCACCGCTCTCTGCAGAAATAGATCTGGTTTCAGCTGTTTATTGGTGCTGCAGGTTCTATCTATGCCTTTAATGCCTCTTGCTTTGGAGAGATGCTTAAAGACTTGCCAGGCTACAAGTGAAGCACAGCCTAAAGCCTGCAGCTTGCAGCCACCATTCACAGCAGTCTGCATCCCACAGCATCCTCTCATCTCCCGTCTCTCTTGTACCCTCAGAACTCACAGCTACCACCATAGGACATCACATACAGCATTCCCACCGAGTCTGTGCTGCTCCAAAGGGCGCAGGTGATCCTGAGGATGCCAAAAGGCCCCTGATGCCCTCTTGGCACAGCACAGCCAGGCTCTCTCTTAGCTTTCAAAGGAACCTAATTCTGCAGTGGGAGACGGCTGCTCCTACACACTGCAGCACGAAACCACCACCAGGTTCATGAGAGACCTCTCTGCTTAGGAATAAACACTGTGAACCCACACCATCCAGCAATCAGATTCATTGATGTATTAAACATCGCTAAAACCATGGCAAAGGCGGCCAGTCCCACTGCTCCCTCATGGACCACATTCCCTGTGCTGCCCTCCTGGCTTATGTCAGCTGCATCTGTTGTTAGTACCAGTTTATACCATTTATCCCCAGCAAACCTGCCTGCTCTGCTTTCCTCAGCCATCTGCAGGTCCGGAGCAGCTGCCAATGTTAAATGAAAGCATCCTGATAGCATCGGATCCTCCGCATCTGGTCCTGTCCACACCGGGGTCCTAGCAAACCTCAATTCAAATCCCTTTACAGGTGCTTATGGTGACCATAGGATGATGGGGAGTGATGGGAAGACTGGTGTTTTCTGTACAATAAGGTAAAAACACAGGAAAGAGTGAAGAAAATCGAGCTGCATCCCTGCAGCACCTCACTTGGGCACATCCATAGAAGAAGGAAGAGCTGTACAAGTGATCCTGAATGACTGCCCCATAAACATCAGTGTGTATATGTATATAAATAAGAACACTGCACCCCCAGCCTCTCTTCACAGGGTAATGGAGAACCAGAGCCTAAGCAGAAAGCGCGTCTCTGCACCTTCCCTATCTCCTGTATCCCTGTTTTTACCCCACCACCTTCTGCCTTCCTGCCCCATCCACCACCAAAGTGCTGCTGCAGCACCTTCCTCACCCCTCTTTACCACCCATATCCCATCAGTGTATTTCCATATGAGCTTCACCTTATGACTCTGGTGCTCCCTCCACTCCCTATGTTAAGGCTTCGAGCGGAAGCACTGGCAAAGAAACCAAGTGCTCCTCCTCAATACCCAGGACACCAAGAGAGGATTGCTTGGTATGAAATCATCCCTCCCATGGAGAGCCTCAAGATGCTCAGTAGCATGATCCCGGATCAGAAAAGGTCCATCTTGTGTTATCCACACCACCCGAGTGCCAATGCAGATAGCAAGTACGTAACTTCCAATCCCCATACTTAATTAAGTGCTCCTGAGCAAATGAAGTATGCAAAGAAAAAGCAGGATTTGCTATGGGGATGCAGGGTCCACATGGTGAGGAGGAGACCAGCACACATCCTTCTTAGCTGGCTAAAAAGGACAAAGTCCCATCATATGTCGAGAGAAGAGGAAAAGGGAGGCATCCTGGAGCCAGTGATGTCTTGCAAGGGGAGAGCACAGGCCATGCTCCTCCATGGTGGGATGGCAGGACTAAGGCAGCTGCTGGTTGATGGGTTAAAGCAAACGGTGCAAGGAGCAGCACTGAGACTCCTGGAGAAGGCTGGTGGCTGATCCGATGTGGTCCATGTGGGTCATGGCTGGAAAGGCTCCTGGGTCCATCCAAGGGCACGTGCCTGCTGAGGAGGGAAGAGCCTTTGTATCCGAGTGGTTGAGCATCCCTCCTGCCCTGCTCCAGTCTCCAGGATGTCTGTCTACACCCGGGCAGAGATTACAGAGCATCGCAATGGGAGAGCATCCTGGTGCACCGCTCACTGCTGGCAGCTTGGCTGGGGATGCATGGGGCTCCTATGGGCAGGACCAGATGCTGCTACGACGGGCCAGGCTGAGCACTTGGCCATGGCAAGGCCACACAAGCTGAGAGCCTGATTCATGGTTCGATGAGGCCATCTCCTGCTGAGGGTCCCAGGCAGAAACTTGCTGCTCTGATGGAAGGATGAAGGTGAACGCTCCAGAATGGTCCAACCTGGCAGGACTGGAGGTGCCTGGAACCAACGCCATGGTGCTCACTGCTCCAGGGCTGCCGTGAGGGTTTGCTCTACGGGCTGTGCTTGTACAACCACCTAACAGCCCCAAAATCAGCCATGAAAGCACTCAGAGCTGCCTCAACCGTGTGTTAAGCACCTGATAGACAAGAGGAAGCTCTGCTCCATGTGAAGCCTCAGGTGCATCTTTAGCAGCCCAGCACAATGTGGTTGTGGGTCAATGAGCAGCTCAACAGGGCCAATTGGGATGCCAACGTGCCAGAGCACTGCTTTAGCTCTGCTTGGTGAGGCAGGACCAAGTGGCACCTTTAAACTCAGCCCAGGATGAAGCAGCACAGGCTCCCTCTAGGAAGACGACCTCTTGCGCTGCATCCAGTGCTGCATCCATGGAGCAGCCTCACGGTGCTGAGCTGGATGCTCTTAGCCTACAGAAGCCATCAGGACTGAGAAGGTCTGAAGCACAGAATGGTTTTGAGATCTTTATTTCAGGAAAAAAAACAAAAAAAAGAATTAAAATAGGAGCTGCCCTGCTGACAAGAAGAGTTTGAATTCAAGAAGCTGATAAAAAAGGAGCATTATATGCATTGAGCACTGTGCATTTTCAGTCAGTATCGGCTCTACTTCTCTACTCTACTTTCCTTTGACTAGGCAAAGGGAGTTTCACATGCGCACAGACCCTGGGATACACGGGACTCAATGAGAGGAAGGGAGGAACAGCAATAAAACAGAGTGCTGGGCTTGATCTAACAGAGGCAAAGAAGTGATCTTACAGCTCGGGCCCCCCAAAACACCACCTCCAACCACCAGCGAGATGGGAGGCAAAGACACGCCGCTGGGGCAGGCTCGATGGTGCCCTGGAGCATCTGCAGCTCCCTATCCACAAGCACTGCAGCCACCAAAGCTCCACCAGGCTCCGGCATCACCCACATTCAGGATACGGCAGGAGAATCACTTCTTGCATCCTTCTCCAGTGGGATGTCAGTGTTTGTACCTCCAGGCTGCGCTCCCCGACGGCGTCCCCCAGGCTTTTCCCCTCCTTGTAGGTGCAAGTAATGCAATCGAGATCCAATGGTTAAGATTAGGCTCCTGGCGTGCTCTGAGCACTGGGTCTCTTGACAGCAGTAAGGGCTGGGTATGGCTGACACCACCACCCAGGCCCTGCTTGCATACCAAAACGGTTGGTACGACAGAGCTAGCTTATTAACAGGCTACTGAGCCTTAATACTGACACTTAGTGTAATGGTTTACAGTAAAGGAAGGATTCTCCTACAAAGCGCCAAAGAGAGGAGTGTGTGTGGGGGGGAAAAACGCCCCACTCCAATCCCTTCCTCTCCCTCTCAAGAGTCTCTGGAGCATCTCACAAGCAAAGGAAAGGAGCTGGGGAGGCAAAGGGGTGGCACCATCACCGCGGCGCCGGGTCCCGTCGCTGAGAGGAGGGGGGGAGCATCGAGACGAACGACAGCGAAAGGACAGTCGTTAAGGAAGGAGAAGACGAACGGTGCTGGTGCTGTGCTGCCTCAAGCCGGGAGGTGCGCGTGGTCAAGCGGAGCGGGGAGAACTAGGCATTCTTCAAGTCCCTGGATTCAAAAAGCTTCAGGCGTTCTTGCACAGTCAGGCCTTCCTTCAGACTCTGGGAGAGACAAAAGACACAGGGGAGGTGGGAATTGGGGTACCATGGAAAGGGGGCGATGCTCGGGGAAAGATGTTAGGGACTGTAGTGACAGGACAAGGGGTAATGGGTTAAAACTGAAACAGGGGAAGTTCAGATTGGATATAAGGAAGAAGTTCTTTCCTGTGAGGGTGGTGAGGCACTGGAATGGGTTGCCCAGGGAGGTTGTGGATGCTCCATCCCTGGTGGTGTTCAAGGCCAGGTTGGACAGAACCTTGGGTGCCATGGTTTAGTGTGAGGTGTCCCTGCCCATGGCAGGGGGTTGGAACTGGATGATCTTAAGGTCCTTTCCAACCCAAACCATTCTATGTGGGCAGCAGGAGAGCAGCCTCGTGGTGGAGGGATTAGTGGGAAAGGCTAAGAGAGAACACAGGGTTATTATGGAGGGTGGTTATTGGTGAGGAAAGCCTAGAGAGAGGGTGAGATTGCAGATGAGGGCCATGCTGCAAGCAGGGTTAGCTCCACATGGAGAATGACCCGGAGCTTGCGGTGGTGATTTCAGTAGAGCCCATCTGCTATGCTTTAAAGCACTGTGCTGCTGAGCAGGACCTGCAGCCTGGTGCTCCCCCATCACTGCAGCATCAACGGAATGTGCATCCATATGGGATACTCCTGGCTCAAATCAATGTAAGGGCTGTGCTCAAGCAGCCCTGTAACTGCGTTCTTATTTCCACAGACAATCCCACTCTTTCTCTAAGCCCATTGAGGGGCTCTCCCAAGCCAAAGCTGCGTCTACTGCTCAGGGTTAGAGAGAGGACACACTCAATGCCTGCTTTAGGTCTAGCAGGATGTGATGGCTGATCCAATTCGGATGCAGCATCCAGACTGCAAGGCACAACACTCAGACAGACACCAGAAAGCCCATCCTGCTAGTCCTCAGCACGTGGATTTGTGAGCTCTCACTACACGTGGGCACCCAGAACAGGGGTAGAAACCCAGAAGCAAACTGCTTGCCCCTATACAACACCTTTAACCTGACACTACCCCTAAGCAGATGCACAAGCCTAACACCAACCTTCACTCCATCCTGCAGCCCCAAAGCTGTGGCCTAGGCTGGGTCATGATGGGCTTTAGAGACCACAACAAGGCAGGTTCAAAAGGCACTGACCTGAACGCAAAGTCCCTTCTATTAACAGGCAACCAGCTCCCCTTCTGCTTGTACTTCCCTATGTACAATCATAGCACAGGTTAAGATTTGGGGCTGGGTTTCTTTAATGTGTTTATCAAGGCAGGAATCCAGGATGAACTTGCCCCGAGGCTGTGCAGATTCCCATGGTTACTGAACTGCTTTCCCTGTTCCTCCTCCCACAGCCCCATGGATACAGAACGAAGCAGCACGGAAATGAAAGCACTAAAAGGGATTGGGCTGAATTCCCAAACGCTGTGTGCTCTCTCTTCAAAGGGCAGCAGAGCCTCTTGGGATGTATCTCAACACACGCTTCCTAAAGGAAGTTTACTTTGGGCCTCGTTAAATGGGCAGCAACCCACGGGTTCCAGTTGGTGCATCTGGTTTCCAGTGAGATGGAAGGAGACAACAGGAACCATCAGCCTGCTCTGCCTGCTGGTACCAAATTCCAGCAAATCCACCCCATAGGCACTCTCACAGCCCATTCAAGTTGAGCCTGATGAAAGGAGACTAATGTAGGATGATAGCTGGGATAAAGGCATCCTTCATCAGCCTTGAGGGGCTCTCCATCGAGCTGGGGAGCTCCCCTCCCTTCCCTAAGCTCCCTGTGCAGGTGCTCTAACTGCAGTCTTTACCATAGGCCAGGAAAGCAACTATTGCTCCAGTTACTCAAGGGTCATTAGGATCTGCCTCACAGCTCCCTCCTTTTGCTGGCTGAGCTCGGAAGCCTCAGGCCAGCGGGATGGAGATGCAATGCCAATAGGGATGGAGAGCAAGTAGAGTGGACACTGGGAAGCAGGAGGAGGAGGTTACTGTGTGAGGAAGACTCTTTGCTCAGGCACAGATCAACCTAAAGAAGCAGCAACTATGAGTAAAGGAAATATAGGGCAGGCCAGAACATCCCCTCTGCAGCTGAGACCGGGGCCACCACTTTACATGCTCCAGGCCTGTGTGGGAAAGGCATTTCCAGGCATCCCCAATCCACTCCTCATCCTGGCTAACAGCAAACGGCTGCTGCCCTACAAGACCCGGATGCTGCTGAAGTTTTAGCCCGAGGCATGCAGAGTCATCCAAGCATGCACACTCAGCATCCCACGCTCCCAACACAGCCAACAGGAACCGTGTTCCGTGATGGGTAGCTGTGTCGGGGAGGGTGGGAGGAGCAGGAAGACAAGGAACACGTTCCCTATGGAAAAGAGCTGCATTTCATCTGCATCCCGGGTACACTGACTGCTCGCCTTCCCCCTCCCGCAGTGATTAGCCATAGATAAACCACAGTCATTAAGAGTAGAAGGGCTCTGGTTTGCCATGTGCATGCAAAAGTGGCCGCTCCGGTGGTGGTGGTCTCGGTGGGTGCTGGTCTGTTTACCTACGTGGCAGGGAACCTGGACTCGGGTTCATTTCAGTTATCCCATGAGACCTGCTCAATAACGGACTGTCAAAGGAAGAGGCAAAACAAAGAGAAACAGAAACACAACGAGAAGCTCATCAATCTGGGTGCATTGGTACAGCCCCAGCCTCCCCCCCCGCAGCGATGCCAGCAGGCAGAGCCCATGCTTGCTCTCCTCTCCTTCCCCACCAAGCAACACACACAGAGCAGGTACCACTCCATAAAAGGGATGAAGTGGTGAAGGGAAACCCAACATCAGACCTGGCCCAGCAGGTCTGGGCTGCCTTGAAATGCATGAGGATGCTCTCTGCATTCACTCAGTGCAGCACAGCCTGTATCCCCTGCATGGGCATTGAGCTAGAAGCCTTCTGCCTGCCCAGCTTCTTGCTCCACACAAGGTCCCAACCACTTCAAACATCAGCATGAGACACCAGGTATCCGGTGGTGAAGGCAAAGCAGGCTTTGCCCATGCTGATCTTCCTTCAACTGACCTATGGTTAACGATGCCTTGAGCAGATTTATTTGCCCTTTTCATCCCTGTGGTCCCAAAGCAACAGCCAGTGTGGAACACGATGTAACTGTGGCTGTCAGCAGGCCAAGCAGGAGAGCTTGGCACAGCATCACTTGGCTTTGGGACCAGCAGCCAGAAGAACACAGGGCCATCTGCACTGTGTTAACACACAAGCAAAATGTGTGTTAAATAGACCCAGGAGCAAGGCATCGCTGTTCCACATAAAGACCAAAAACCTTGCAGTGATGAGCACTAAACCCTAGAATGATGTGCCTGTTTCCACCTGAATTTCAACTGAAAACAGGGAGCAAACACTGGCAGAGTCCTCCTGTGAAAGACCAAAGAACAGGGTGAACCTCATCCTTCAGGTGGGGAGCAACTTCACCCCTCCATCTCAGAAGGGTCAGGAGTGTGTGTGGGTATCATGGGGGGCTGCTCAGCCAACCATTTCACACTCAAAAGCTCACTTTCCTTCTCAGTGACTAGCACTAGTGACTGGGAAACTCCCAGTTTTCTTCCCCTTCCATTCCTTCCCACCCAGCACCCCCATTGGAGAGGAACACTGGGTATTCCCATCATATGGGGCAGGAGATCCGTGCTCACCTTTGACCTGATATTCCTTAGTTGCCGGCTAACACTGGATCTGTCTTTCTTCAAGAAATCAGGGTTGCTTTTTGATTTCATTATATCTGGGAAGAAGCAGAACAAGTGGTGTTAATGTGGTGCCCATTGCATCCCTGCAAGGAGCGGACCTGGGGCTCTTCTGCCCTCCCATCCCAAGCTGGGCCCAACTCAAGCAGTGCTGCTGTACGGGGCTCTCAGGGGGCTCCATTCTCCTCTACCACCAGGTTTTCCCAATTCACAGTGCCAGAAGGCTTTCAAATCCCATCGACTTCCCATCTGTGAGCTGGAAGGAGGAACCGCCACAGGAGGGCAGCTCCACTGCAAGGAGTGGAGGTGGGAAGCAGCATGAAACAGCAAAACAGCCTCAAGGCAAGTCCTGTACTTGGACTTATTGCTACACAAGGGCTTGGATGCCAGGATGCGTGTGTTAAGCTCAGGAAACCCACGGGGGAGCACTGACCATATCCCGATACAGTGGTGTTCACAGGGGATTTCTCTCCCTGAGCTTCTGTGGCTGCTTTCAGCTGCTCTTTCAACCTGCTGATATCACAGTCTGCCTTGGCCTTCACGATGCTCAGCTCCGTGTAGATGTCCTTGTACTTGTCGCTGGCGTATTTCTTATCCTGGCAAAAGGAACAAGAGCAACCCCATGGAGTCAGACACGCAGCTGGAGCCAAGGGGGTTGTGAATGCACTGAAGAGGAGCCTGGCAAATGCCCATGGAGGAAGAGCTGGCAACAGCTGGGGCCATGCACGCATTTCAAACACACCCTCAAAGCTGCCTCTAACAGTGGGACAGGGACTGGGAGAGGCACAAAGCTCTTAAAGTGGTGAGCATGGAATCGTGGAATGGTTAGGGTTGGAAGGGACCTTAAACACCCTAAAAGACCTTAAAGGGGAAGAGCATACAGCACTGCCCATGCATGTAGCCCCTTCGTTACCGGATTACTTGTCTGTGCTTCAGCAAAGACACAGAAATCCAGCAGAATTCCCAGAAATAGGCTTGGCACAGAGGCCACCCAGAGCAAACCAGATCCAGTGCTGGGAGGCTGGGCAGATCCCTAACACTGATCCTTTCTACCATTTAAATCTCATCTCATGTGACAGGAATAGGGGTAAAGCCCTGGAGGGATGTCTCCCACACGGTCTCCCTTGTGGGGTTAAGTCCTAAGCTGACACGGTTGTGGAGTGCTTTACTGATGACACCAAATGGGTATTCAGCCCCATGCAGGGGAAACATCAACTACTGCTTCAAATCTGGCTCTAAGTGAGCTGAAATGCAAGCACACAGAGGACCAGAGCACGTAAAAGGATTGCAGAACCATCCCCAGCATTACCCTCAGTGCTGTCTGCAGCTCGTCTTTGAGGGAGCTGATCTCCTGCTTCAGGTACTGGATTTCTGACTCTTTGACCCGCAGCAGGACCTGTGGGAACAAAAGCAGCCCATGTCCACACCGAAGAGATGCAGCATGAGCCCGAGATGCTCTCCCGCTATGCCTGGTGACACCGGGGCACAACCTGCTCCATAAGGCTGCTGGCTCACCACCAAAATGAGCCCTGGGTCTCTTGGGAACACGCCCAAGCTCCTTGCACACCCCTTGTTTTCTGTCCCCACTGCTTTGTATGGACTGGATCGCAGGGGACAAACAGGCTCAGAAGGGTGTGTGTGAGAAGGGAACATCAGGACTCCATAACCTCATGTCCCGATGCACTGCACGGAGCGATGTGGATGGCTGTGGGATGCTCTCAGGGGTCCAAAGATATTTGTGCTGCCCCTTGGGCACCAGCAGAGCTCACTCACCTCCAGCTCATAGGCATCCTTGCCCTGTGTAAGAGGCGACCCAGCAGCCTCTCCCCCGCCCTCCCCGGTCAGCAGGGTCCTCAATCGCGTGATCTCCGCAGCCAGGCGGTTATTCAGCTCCTGGGGGAAGAGAAGGAAAACCGTGTGGGAATGGGGAGCACGGCCACGGCTTGGTACCCACCGTGCTGCCACCCCCCCTGCACTGGGCACGGTGGGGATCTCACCTGGTTGTGGGCATTGAGCTCCTGGTTCTCGCGCTGGCACTGGCGGAGGGCCTGCCTCTCAGCCTCCAGCGCCTGCGCCAGGTGAGCGTTCTCCAAGCACTTCTGGGAATACTGCTCCGAAAGCACCTCCAGCTCCCGCTGCACCGACTGCAGCTCCTCCCTGTGGAACACACATGGGCAGCACCCTCCCTGTATGCACACTCTGCTGCCAGCACCCCGGGGCAACACCACTGGGATCTGAGCACTGGCACAGGGTGCCCCAGAGATGCTGGGGATGCCCCATCCCTGGCAGTGTTCAAGGGCAGGGGCTTGGAGCAAGCTGCTCCAATGGAAGGGGTCCCTGCTTGGAGCTGGATGAGCTTTAAGGTCCCTTCCAACCCAAACCATTCCATGATTCTAAGCTTGCTCTGGGCACTTGGGACTGGAGTATTTGCACACTTACACATCCCACATGGATGCATCAAAGTTAAAGCTGCTCGGCTGTTTTGCTCAGCTTCCACATAGGGATAAGCCAAAATCAAAGGGGAGAAAGGGGTGTCCCACATGTGTGATTTCCTTATGTGACCCAGTGACAGAGGATGATGATGGGCTTACAGGTATTGCCTTCGAAGGGCCTCGATGTCGGCATTGACGCTGCTGATCTGGGAGCGCTGGGACTTCTCCAGCTCTCGCTCCAGCTCCTCCCGGTGCGCGTTCTTCATGGCTTCAATGGCTGTGGGGGACAGCAGAGCATCAGCACCCAGCACAGTGCTGGTACCCAGCAGAGCATCAGCACCCAGCAGAGCATCAGCACCCAGCACAGTGCTGGTACCCAGCAGAGCATCAGCACCCAGCACAGCATCAGCACCCAGCACAGTGCTGGTACCCAGCACAGCATCAGCACCCAGCAGAGCATCAGCATCCAGCAGAGTGCTGGTGCCCAGCAGAGCATCAGCACCCAGCACAGTGCTGGTACCCAGCACAGCATCAGCACCCAGAAGAGTATCAGCACCCAGCACAGCATCAGCACCCAGCACAGTGTTGGTACCAGCAGAGCATCACCACCCAGCAGAGTGCTGGTGCCCAGCAGAGCATCAGCACCCAGCACAGTGTTGGTACCCAGCAGAGCATCAGCACCCAGCACAGTGCTGGTACCCAGCACAGCATCAGCACCCAGAAGAGTATCAGCACCCAGCACAGCATCAGCACCCAGCAGAGCATCAGCACCCAGCACAGCATCAGCACCCAGCACAGCATCAGCACCCAGCACAGCATCACCACCCAGCACAGTGCTGGTGCCCAGCAGAGCATCAGCACCCAGCACAGCATCACCACCCATCACAGTGCTGGTGCCCAGCAGAGCATCACCACCCAGCACAGTGCTGGTGCCCAGCACAGCATCAGCACCCAGAAGAGTATCAGCACCCAGCACAGTGCTGGTACCCAGCAGAGCATCAGCACCCAGGACAGCATCAGCACCCAGCACAACCTGCAGCTGTAGCGCCCAGCACCACTCCACCTAAGGGTATTCTGTTAGAGCTTTAGTTTGGTTTTATAAAGGAACAAAAGCAGGCTCATCCCCATGAACCTCCCACTGCTTCAGTCTGTGTGCCTGGCTTCTGCCCATTTTAATGAAGTCCAAACAACTGTCCCATTCCCATGTTTTTTCCTGGGCTGTGGCACTCCTCATGCAGAGCCCTGGGCTCCAGTGCTTTCAAGCTCCCTGGGGCACTGAAGAATGAATTCAGTGTGAAATTGGCAATAAATTAAACCAGAGGAATGACCAATGCCTTTATGAGATGGAACAGAAAATAGATCAGAACAAGAAGGGTACCAAGGCCTGGAGAAGGACCAGGAGATGGGTTAGGGCCTCCATCCACAACATCTCTCCCACCAGCCTTTTCCCATCCCTCTGTGCTGCTCACCCATCCCATGCTCTGCTCCTCTATACTGGAGCAAACACCATCCCCGTGTCCCCATCAATACGGAGCTGCCCCATTGCAGGGGATCCTGTCTCATGTCCCCATACCTGAGATGGTGGCAGCCGTCTCCTCTGCCAGCAGGCGGTCCTTCTCCTCCCGCAGCTTCTCCAGCTCCCGCTGGTGCTGCCGCTGCAGGTCCTCGATCTTCTTCTGGTGCGTCTCCTCCATGGCTGCAAAGCCCCTTTCACATGTTGCCTGCAAGGAAGGGACGAGGGGAAGGGGTTGGCCTGTGTGGGGCTGGCATCGCAGTGGTGGTGAGACCACCAGGAGCCACGCTGCAGCGGGTAGGTTGGTACTCATGTTCCATCGTGGGGATGCTCCATCATGGGGATGGACCTCACGAGGTCAGGACTTGTCCTGCAGCCACTAGACCCTACTGTGCTCCTTCTGCTCTCTTCTGCACTGCCTGATTCCACTCTGGGGTGGACAGCAGATGACTCCTGACAGCAATAGGACCGTAATGCCCACTGAGCATTGCTTCCAATGCTGCACAGGCCATTATCTGCTAGTGGAATTAAAAGGAGTGAACTCAGGCCAGGAGATGGAGCAGTGCTTTGGGGAGCCAGGAGTCACCAGGGGTGAGGATCCTGCACTCCAGCACGGTCCTTCTGCCCCAGATGCCTGCTTCCAGCTCAGCCAGCAGCCTGGCAACCCCACTGAGGGCTCCGAGATCCCAATGGACACACAGCTGCAGGACAGCAAAGCCACAGGCAGGCTCAAGCTATGAGCTGGGAAGGGGCACGCACTGAGGACAAGGTGCATGAGGGGCTGGGGGCAAACCTGATGCTGGGCACTGCACTGGGCTTTTGTCTCTCTTCATGCTACAGGCTGCCTGTATTTCCTGATGGATTCCTTCTGGACTCACATTTGTGCTTTCCAGGGGGAATTTAAGGGGGCCAGAATCACCCTCCTCCAGGGACCACAATGCTCATACCATTGACCTGCCCTCCTCAGCATCACTTTTTGTCCTATGCTTTGTAACCTATGCCTATTCTCACTGCCTATTTTCAGCTCTGGTGCTTTTTTTCCTCACCTTTAAGCTTTAACCCCAAGGCATTGCTCACTTCCTCAGCCTTACTTGCTTTTGGCACTCATAACTCAGAGCCAGAACCTGTCTGGACTTGTCTTGGAGTGGCACGAAGGAGCCTTGCAGAGTTCTCCATTACACCTCTAATGCTGGAGGAAAATGCTTCTCCATAGGTCTGGCTGTAGGTGCAGTATTTAATGTATTGTAAATGCATTGCTATAAATCCAGGATGTTTGAACATGTGCAACCCAGCACCTCGTGTTACTGATGCTACATTCTCCATGGGGTTCAGATGGGAAGAATCAAGCACATTTAAGCCTGTAAACTGGGCAGGTTTGCTATAAGGCTTCCTGGTTAGCCTTCTAGCCAAAGGAAGTCCCTCTGCTTCCTACCAAGGTGCACAGAGAAGCTGGCTCACTCTGCTCTCCTCCTGGATGCTTTCTGCCTTCTTCCAAAGCAAGAACATCCCTTGGTACCAGCACCAGACAGGGTGCCTGGCTCACAGGACAAGGTTATCCCTGTGTCCTGCTGACCTGAGTGAGGGGTGCAAGAAGGACTTTCCCTTCCTAAGGGTTAAGATGGAGGAGACAGCATTGAGTGAGCACCACTGCTTCACTCTGCTCTCCCCAGAGCACTTCATTCATACAATGGGATGCAGCAAAACTACTGCTCTCCCCAGGTTAAAGCCAGCTTTTGGCTGGAGCTGAGCCACACTTTACCCCCATCCACTGAGGATCTCATGGCTGGAAGGAAGCTTGCCTGTACTTCTGCTGACTGAAGAACTCCATGGAAGCCTCACCAGCACACAGCCTGCCCGCTGCCCTTTCAACCTGGTGTTGCCAAGAGTCCTCTGCCACCCTAAACCCACTTCCCAACTGGGAATGCTCTCCCAGCAACAGCAAAACACCAAAGCCAAGAGGGTTATTTGAGATGCTGCAGCATCTCAGGCCACTTTTACAGGCAGTCAGTACAGGAGGGGCAATGCAAACGATGGCGTTCCATCACCAATGGGTTCCTCTGCACCTCGCCTGGGTTGCCTGTAACTGTGCACTGTTTGTTGTGTAAGGACTTGCTGCTGTGCACCATCAGGGTGGTTCTCCTCACAGCCTCATGCTTTGCTATGGAATTTGGCATGGTTGTAGCTACTTTTCCCAGGAAAACATTAAGTTTCCATTTCATCCCGCATTTTTGAGGGCAGCAGAGACAGGCTGGAGATTTGATCAGATTGAGAAAGACAGAGTTGAGGAATGCTTTTAAAGGGAAGCCATGAATAAAATGTATGCCTCAGGTATGAGGAGAAACACTTATGGTCTTCATAATGAAGGAGAGCGTGATGTTATCAAGCTACTTCATCACTCTCCCTCTCTATACAGAGACCACCTCCAAGCATTAACTCCCCCACTGAGACCAAGCCTTCAGCAATGCATTTAGAATACCCAACCATGGGGATGCTCTATAGAGACCTTGGGGCTCACTTCAGCTTGCTGGCTCTTTAGGGGGATGGATGCCCTTTGGTTCAACAAGCAAACCCCAGGACCAAACACACCCTCCCGGTCACTCAGCAGCAGAAAAAGTGTTAAAACATATCAAAACCTTTAAGTTTTCAAAGTCTTTCTGGTATTTCTCCCTCAAGGTGGAAGCGTTCCCCTCCAGATGCTTGTTCTCCAGCTCATCCCTCATGACGTTCATCTGGGCCTCCAGCTCCTGGATGCGCTCCCTCAGGCCGTGCATGGAGTCCAGGTCACTCCCAGGCTCCTGCCCAGTGCCACCAGCCTCAGTGGGCACCCAGGCATCCCCATCACCCGGGTCCATGGCGGGGGACACCTCGGGGTGCTGCCTCTGGTACTCATCCAGGGTCTCCTGCAGGCGCTGCAGGTTCTGGCTATAGTGCTCCTGCAGCGCCTGCAGCTCCTCGCCATGGATAACCTGCAGCTCCTTGATCTTGGCCTGGAACTTGTCCTCCAGCATCTGCATCTGCTCCAGGTGGTACCGCTCCATGTTCTGCTTGTCACGGACAACGGCATCCAGTTGGTTGAGCCCTTCTGTCCTCTCAGCCTTCAGAGCATCCTCTGTCCTGTTCAGCTGCTCTATCACGTTTCGGATCTCCTCTTCGTACCGTCCTTGTAACTCACTCAAGCTCTTGCTGTGTTTATGCTCTTCTTCCTCCAGGAGCCTCCTCTGAGCATCGAGCTGGGCCACCTTCGCTTTGAGATCAGCGTTCTCCCTTTCAAGCATGGCAATGACCTCGCTGTACTCACCCTGCTGCTTCCTGAGCAAGTCCTCATACTCATCCCGAAGGAGAGAGACCGTCTTCACGCGCTCTTGGCAGAGAGCATCCATGCTCTGCAAGGACTCCTTGTAGGACTTCATCTCTCTCTCGTATTCCAGCCGCACTTTGCAAGCGGCGTAACAAACCTGAGCCTGGACAATTGCATCGTGGACCAACAAAGAGGAATACCTTCCAAGGTCTCCCATGCACGAATGGTACGAAAGACTCTGGGAGATCTTCAGGAGCTTCTGACAGTCTCTCATTGCCTCCTCAGGAGGCAGAGAGAGTAAGGCAACAGATATCTCCTTCAGAACGTTAGCTTTGTCCTTTAGCTGCTGGGCAAGGTCTTCCTGAATGGAAACAAGAGCTTCACCACTACAGTCCTGCAGGCTGCCAGTCTGCTCCCTTGTGGCTAATTCCTGACACGGCCCCATTTGGAGATGGCTCCCATCCCAAGAGATCTGGGTTCTTTCTGAAGCATCTTTCTGAATCTCGAGTGCTTCAGTAATCTGGTGCATAACTCTGTCAAAATCAGGAGTCCTGTACGCTCCGATGAGCTCCTCCAACATGCACTTATGCTGCTGGAGGGCTGTTTTGGTATTGTGGAGGTCTTCTTCGATGGTTTTTAATCTCTGATGAAAAGATTCCCTCATTTTCTGTGCAACAAACCCAAGTTCGGCCTTGATCAACGCAGCATCTGCTACAGCACTGAGAAAACAGGGAGAAAAGCCCAAACCTGTTGCTTCTGGTTTGCCCTCGGCTTCTCCTTCTCTGGTGCTCAAGTGCACTCTCAGCTCCTCCACTTGGCTCCAGAACTCCCCTTCCAGCAGCAGCTTCTTAGACAGGACGCTGGCCAAACTGATGGCGGTATGAGAAACATTCACTGGTTCCAACAACACCACCTCAGCCGTGCCCTGGATCTCTCTCAGGAGCTGGGATATCTCAGAGCTTGCGTTTTTCAAGGACTCAGCTATCTGGTTGATGAGAGAGGCCTCAAAGGCCACTCTCTCTGAAAGCCACCTCAGCTGGCCCATGTCAAACACTTCCACTCGCTGCTCCTTGGAGACACGCTCCTCTTCTCCCAAACCCCCTCCTTCTGGAGCAGGGCTCTCCGTGATAAGCCTTTCACTCTGCTGATACTCGGATGGCGCCCCTCTCAAGGCTTGGATTGCGTTTGATAAGGTGGTTTCCATGCTGGAGAGATTAACAAGGAACAAATCACCTTCTTTCTCCTGGTCGGATGTGGGTAAAGACCTCAGTTGCTCCCTGCACTTCTCTAAGCAAGTCAAGGCTTGATCATTTCTCAGTTGGAAAGCTCCCAGCTCGCTCACGTGGCTTTCTGTGAGCTTCAGCTTCTCCTGCCTCTCACTCTCGAGCTGTGAGATCAAAGCACTGACTTGGGATAAGCTGGTCTGAAGCTGTTCCCTCAGCTGGGACTCGGTGCTGGCCCACTGATGGTGGAGGGCAATGAGGGTCTCCTGGTTATGGCCGTGCTGGCTCTCAAGCTTCATCGTTACGTCTTTGAGCTTTTCCTCTGTGATGTACAGCTTGGTTTCCAGGGAGTGGATAATGGAGAGATAGGTCTCAGAGTCACTTGTCCCCGATGATGGGTAACCAAGAGCTGGCTCCGATGACATGCTTTCTTCAGACAGCGACCTGTCTTGGCTCGTGTCCGACGAGGTGCTGCTTGTCCAGTTCTTCTCCGATCCATCTGGATGGATGTATTTCTGGCACTGGATGCTCGAGAAACGGATTCTTTGCCTCTTGGCCCCCATGATTCCCACATCGGGCTTTGTTAAGGCTTTCTGAACCAGCTCTTGGTCCTGGAGCTCTGCAGCTTTGGGTGAGGAGTCGAATTCCTCCGTTTGCCTCGGGCTGGTCTCAAGAACCTCATCCTCCTCCTCCTTCAGTGCATAGGTCAGAGCTGGGAGGACATCCTGAGTTGGCAGAGGCTGCCCTAGTTGGGATGGATGATTTTCATCAGCCTCAAGACTGTGGCCAAGCTCTTCTGCCTCCTCAGCACAAGGACCTGTGCCTACACTAGCCAGTTTCCTTAGAGCCTCCTCCTTGGCCTTCAGCTTTATTTTAGTCTCCTCCAAACTGCTATCTAAAGCAACCATTTTAGCCAAAGCCTCACTGAGATCTTGATCTTTCTTCTCCACAATTCTCAAGTGCATTTCCTTAACCTGCCTCAGCTCTTCTTCCTTCTCCTTCAGCACCTCCTGCATGCCCTGGAACTGATCGGACACCTCCTCCAACGACTGCTCCAGGTTGCGGTAGTTGGTCTCTTCCAGTTTCAGCTTCGCTTGCAGCTTTGCCACTTCGTGATCCGACTCCGCGACCTGATTCATGAGCTCCTGGAACCGACACTTGATCTGATCTCTCTCTCTTTCGAGCTCCTTGATGTGCTCTGCCAGCTTCTGGATGCTGGCCTCCTTCATCAGCAGCTGCTCCTCCAACTGGTGGACAAGCTCGCTGCCTTCGAACTTGGCGCTCAGCTTCTCCTTCTGCAGGATCTCCATTTGCTGCTCGCTGTTCTGCAGCTGGATCTCATACTCGTTGGCTTTATCCTCCACCTCCTTCAGGCTCCGGATTAAAACCTGCTTCTCCCTCTCACAACTCTCCAGCAAAGCCTCGTAGTTCTTCTGCAGCTTCTCCTCCATGAGCATCCGCGCTTGCTCGCTGGCGTTCAGCTGCCTGCTCAGGTCTGCGATCCTATCCTGGAGCCGCTGCACCTCCTTCTGATGGTCCCTTTGCAGAGCCTGCTGCATTTCCAGATCCCGCAGCTCCTGGGTCTTCTCCAGGAGCAAAGCCTCTGCGTTCTTCAGCTTCTGCTCGCTGGCCTTGAGCTGGGAGCTGAGCGCGGCCTCGCCGTGCTGCCACTCCTCCAACTGCTCCTTGGCTTTCTCCTTTTCGCTCCTCAGGTCGCTCTTGAGCTTGGCCAGGGTCTGCTCCTTGATGGAAAGCTCGGCTGCTGCGTTACTGAGCCTCGCCTGCAGGCTCTGAATCTCGGCTTCGTGGTGCCGGATCACGTCCTTGGCCTCGGCGTAGCTGCGCTTCAGCGACTGAATCTGCTGATTGATCAGCTCTTGGCGCTGGCATTGGGCTTCCAGCTCGCTTTGGAGGTCCTGGTTGACTTTGTGGAGCCTCTGCCAGGCACCTGATGGCGAGGCGGCCACCTCGGTCTTAAAAAGATTGATTAAATACTAGGTTAGTAACACTCTTGGCTCTCCCTTCTGAGTGTCACACCTCTGGCCAGGCAGGCCACGGCAAAAGCTCCTCGCAGTGATTTGGCTGCTACCCACATGCTCCAATTGAGATGATTTGTTCTTGGCATAATTTGTATAGTTTGGTTTAACCTTTTTTTTTTTATTATTTTTGTTAAGTTTTGAATGAGCAACGACTGCTTTCCAGTAAGAGAAAAAAAAACACGGACCACAACATCCAAACAGCTGTATAGTAACAGGCTCAAAAGGAAAACAAAATAACCCAACCAAAAATCAAACAGAACCAAACAAGAAACACACGATGGGAAAGAAACACCAGCAGTAAAACAGAGACAGACAAGAGCAAAAAACAGGGTGAGAAGGAAGGCAGGATGGTAACAGGTTGAGAAGAAAAGTGCTTTCTGAGCATGTTTGTTCGGGTTGTGGTGGAACAAAAAGTGCACAGTTCAGGTAACACAGTCCTACCGACCCAAAGCGACAACAGAAAGTGAGGTGACAGCAAGGACATCACATCCCACCCCAAGGCAGGACAGCGGCGTGGCGATGTCATGTGTGTGCCTGCCAACAGGACTTAGCGGCTGCTCATCGCATGACAGAGATGTTGGTATGTTAAAGGTTAAGACTAAGGAGGATCTAATTCCTCTACCTGCAAAATAAAACAACCCCAAACCCAACGAAGGACAAAATAAAAGAGCCCGACAAGTGAAGGGAGGGGGGAAAAGGTGTGAGGAGGATGTAAACTGAAAGAAACCAACCTTTGTGAGATTCAAACCAAAGCAATGTAGCATGCAACGAGAGAAATCACAGAGAGAGAGAACCCATGCATGAAGGCGACAGAAATGATGTCTCTTGAAACAAAATACACAGACAGGAAGAGGTGAGAGAAGCACAGCGTGAAGCCTAGGAATTTGGCCTGCCTTTGCTGTACTCTGGTTGCTGATAAGGAAAGCCCACAGATGTGACACTCAGTTATGTTAAGTTATATTTCATGCTTTACACCAAAAACATGCAAGAACATCCGCCCGGGACAGGTTAGTACGTGACCCTTCCCACCCACCACAACTGGAGCCCGGGGGCATCTCCAGTCTGTTTGTGAGGAGCAGGAGCTCCCACTGTTTCTCCCAGTAGGGATATCCCATCCCAAGGAAGCTCAGAGCAAGAGAGGGGTTACACGAGGCCGGAGAGGCTTCGGTGCACGGCACATGCATCAGGGTGCGGATCTCAGTGGCTGCCTTATGAAAACATGCAGCATCATCTATGTCAGGGCAGTCCTTGGGGGTCCTTATGGGGCTGGTCATGCTGCCAAGGAGGGGTTGGGTCCCCCTCACGCAGCTCAGGAGGGATGGGTCGGCAGCAGCCAGGCTCCTCCATCATCCCTCCCCATTGACAACATGGGAACCTCTCCAAACCTAGGCAGGATGGAGGTGGGGACCACAGTTCAGAGGGATGCTTGCCCACAGTGTGGGGCTGCAGGAACACCCCCGGGATTCCATTCCTCCACCCCAGCAGGGTTTGGTGGGGTTACTCCCTTCTGCACCAGGACTTTAATCCCTCTGCTCTCAGGGAAACACAAGGGAAATCCCCAGAACAATGAAACTGGAGCAAGCAAAAGCCTCCAGCCCTTCCAAAAACCCTTTCCAACTTGTAAGTCACAGCCTGGGTCACTTCTCACTGCAGTGATGACTTCTCAGCCTTTCTGCAGCCTTCCTCCTTGTATCATATGGCCAACTTCAACTCAGCCAATCTGATGATGGATTCAGCATCCAGCCTTTAGCCCCATTCCCTGATTTCTCCCAGGCTCCAGGCAAAGGAAGGCCTTTGCCCCAGGGAAGTGGGAGTTAGTTACTCTTCCAACACTGCCAGTTGACAAGGAACTCCTCCAAGCAAGCACCATCAGCCTGGGGACTCCAGAAGTAAATGTATTAAGAACTTCTCCAAGGAGATCACTGGCAAGGAAGGCAAGATCCTCCCCTACCTGGGCTGGCTCCACTGCCTATGGAACTCCTTCAGGGGAGATTCCTCCCATGGGGAATAAGGACACAAGATTCAGCATCCACACCGGGTTTGCTGCCATGGGAGCTCAGTGTGTGGCCACTTCCACCCAGAGCCGAACTGGCCAAGTAGATCTGAGCAGGTCAAAACGCTGCCCCTGCACAAAACAGGACTATGGACCCATGAGAGCAGCCAGGAGCTGCCCTGCAGGCGCCACGGCTCCTCCAGGCACGGATGCTCCCAGAGGAAGGGCTGGGAAAAGCCCGCTTTGTTGGGAGGAGGGGAGGGAAGGCTTCCCAAGAGACTCTCCCATCTCTTTTGCCAGGACCTCCAAAACACAATTCAAGGCTTTGCTGAGGAAAAGCACCTCCTAAGAGAAGAAACCACCAAGATCCAAGACAACAGGCTGTCCCCCTGCTCTGGCTGCAGGGAACGTGCCCAGGAGATCCGCCTGCATGTGCTGTGTTTGCCCATACAACCACCACACCAACTCCTCATCATCCAGGGGCACACTGGGCTACAGGATCCTTAGGAAGCCTTATTCCCACAGCCTGAGGGGAATAGCTGGGATACAGAAAGAGGGGAACAGCGGCTGCACAGGCAAACATGGGATAGATCAGAGGTGGACTTCGTTGAGATCCCACCTGCTTACCACGGCTGTGTTGTTTCCCCTCAGGGATGCTAGCAGGCAATGCTACCTGCTGCCTGCTGCATCCCAGTTTTGTTAAGCAGATGATTCTGCAAGGCTGCAGAATTAGCAGTGTTTGCAAGAAGGTCGAAGCTCCTGGAGCCCACTCAGTGGTTCCCATCTCTGCATCAACCAGGATGCAACCACAAGCACCCCAGGCCAAAGCCCACCATTCAGTCCCCCTTGGGCACACACGGAGAAGAGGATGGTTTCTCTCTCCTCCCCGCTCCCCTACCTGCAACACGTAGCCCTCCCGGGCGCTCTGCTCCCGGCCCAGTGCCACTTTCAGCTGGTCCTGCAGGTGCCGGTTCTGCTCCAGGAGCTCCAGGGCCTCCTTCTGCTTCTGCTCCAGCTGGAGGGACACAGAGACAGAGTCCAGAGAGTTGAGCATGGAGTCGGTCATAAGGAGCAAGGGGTTTGGAGGGGATACAGAACAGCATGAACGGGGCTTTTGATGGCACCGCTGCTTTGCTTTGCTTTGCTTTGCTCTGGGATCCGTGTTTCATTTTGCCAGGCAAAATCCCTCCCCACTGAAAGAACTGTGTTAGGATTAGTTTAGTCCTTAAAGCTCCCTGCAGCAAAGGATGAATGGCACCAGCTCGTGTCAGGCATGACCCTGGCAAATCCCAGCCCAGTTTGGATCGGCGATACTCCTGGTTACTCCATGCCTGTACCCCTAATACACCTCAATCCCAACTAACAAGCAGCTTTGTTATCCCAGGCATGGGTCGCTTCCAAGTGAGCTGAGTCTCCTTTCTCTTCCTAAAACCTAAGATTGTTTGATGTAGGCTCCACAGAAAGGGAACCTTTGTGGTGTGTGCTACAACTGAAGCCAGTTATGGCTTTGTGGCCATAACCACAGACACAAATCTCTACAGCCATACAGAAGTAGGAGCTTGATGTTAGGGTCTGGTTGACACCCACCAGTTGTGCTCATCTCATCAGAGCCAGGCTGGCCAACAACCAGCATGAGTGCAGGCTGCATTGGCTGGGAGGGGGTAACAAAGTGCTCCTCAAGAACAGCCCCTTCTGCAGCCATGGGAACACGAAAGCTGCTGGCAGGGCTGAATGGGAATGGACACGGATCTGTGCCCTGCCAGCTCCCCAGGGCACCCTACAGCATCCCCACCCCTTGCCACTGCAAAGCAGGGATGAAAGCAGCTTTTTGAAGCAGAGAAGAGATTCAGAGCAGCCCTGCGGAGAAGGACTTGGGGGTGCTGGTTGATGAGAAAATGAACATGAGCCAGCAGTGTTGCTCTTGCAGCCCAGAAAGCCAACCGTATCCTGGGCTGCATCAAAAGGATTGTGACCAGCAGGTCAAAGGAGGTGATCCTGTCCCTTTATTCTGCTCTCGTGAGACCTCACTTGGAGCATTGTGTGCAGCTCTGGTGTCCTCAACATGAAAAGGCCATGGAACTGTTGGAACAAGTCCAGAGGAGGCCACGAGGATGCTCAAGGGACTGGAGCACCTCCTGTATGGAGACAGGCTGAGAAAGTTGGGGCTGTTCAGCCTGGAGAAGAGAAGGCTGCGTGGAGACCTCAGAGCAGCCTTCCAGTATCTGAAAGGGGCTTATAGGGATGCTGGGGAGGGACTCTTCATTAGGGACTGTAGTGATAGGACAAGGGATAATGGGTTCAGGCTTAAACAGGGGAAGTTTAGATTGGATATAAAGAGGAAATTCTTTCCTGTGAGGGTGGTGAGGCACTGGAATGGGTTGCCCAGGAAGGCTGTGAATGCTCCATCCCTGGAAGTGTTCAAGGCCAGGTTGGACAGAGCCTTAGGTAATACGGTTTAAGAGCGAGGTGTCCCTGCCCATGGCAGGGGGGTTGGAACTTGATGATCTTCAGGTCCTTTCCAACCCTAACTATTCTATGATTCTAAAGCCTTGCTCAGGCTTCCTACAGTTACCCCAGGCACCCTACCCCCCCCTTTACCTCCTTCTCCAGCAGTGTGGTCAAGTGCTGCTTCGACAGCCCCTCATCGCGGTCCTCGGCATTGGCGAGATGCAGCGGCGCGATGGGGATCTGCTTCTCCTCCCGCAGCGGCGTGGTCTCCACTTGGTGCCAGCGCTGCTCGATCTCCACGTGGACGTTCTGCGGCTTGATGTCTGCCGGGACGGGCAGGATCCGATCCACCTCCATCCTCAGCGCCTCTTCCGAGCCTGCCCCATCCACAGCATCGATCATCTCGAAGCGCTTGCGCCGTTCCTCCCGCCGCCGGGCCCTCTCCCGTTCCAGCTCTCCCGGGTCGGCGTCGCTGGCACCGGTGTCCCTTGGGAAGGCGGTGGAGCCGCTGCTGGAGGAGTCTGCGGCGTTGGCACGCTCCTGCACCAGGGCTTGCTGGATGGGGCGAAATTCAGCCCAGTCAAAGGTCTTGGAGCGTCCTTCTCGCCGGCGCTCCCGGGCACGGCTCCGCTTCTGCTCCGGGTCCAGCTCAGCTTGTTCCACATCTGGCTTCTCGCTCGGCTTTGGACCAGTCTCGAAGGAAGAGCTTGTTTTGCTTTTCTCTTCCGGCAGAGAGCTGTGAGGACACAGAGAGGGTGAAGGGAAGTGTCAATGGGTGCTCGAGACAGCCAGGCGCTCCCGTGCATGCCTTGAAGAGCTGGGTGGAAAGGGGCTGCTGGAAGCCCAAGCCAATGCCACGTGGGTGCCCCGCTGCCCCTCCATCTCCCATCGCCTCTCCGGTGCAGGAGCTGATGCTGCCTTTCCCCAGGGTCACACTGGTGTGCAAAGCTTTGGTGCAAGCAACCCCACCTGCTCTGCAGCTGATCCCAACCTCGCTCCTCCTCAGCAGCTGCCCCAGGGCTGGTGACCATGACCCAGCAGCAGCCTGCGGCCGAGGCAGCCACCCCAAACCATCCTGCCAGGCAGGGAAGAGGCTTCCAAAGCTCCTCCATCCAGCACCCGGTGGCTGGCTCAGCGCCCACCACCCTGGTTGCAGGGCTCCATGCACACACACGCTGGTCGATGCAGCCATAGTCATGTACTTGCAGGGAGAAGGATGCCACCAGAACCACCAAAGTCAGTCTGGCTTCAGAGCTGCAGGGTGAGAAGCACAGAGCAGCTCCCAAAGGTAACAGGGGGGGGAAGGTTTTCCTTGAGCTTGGCAAAGTCGGGGTATGAATGGGTTGAAAACTTCTCCGTGCCACTATCTGCACTGAAGGCACAGCTCTCCCCTGGGGGACCAGCCTTGAGGGCAGCATGGGGTCTGCACGCTGCATGAGCGGTTGTCAGTGCAGCAAAGGAAAGCCATGAGTTATTCAACAAACGCCCATTTCTCAAGCAAGGAACAATTCTGAGTGCTGAGGTGGTGGGTTGGGAGGGGAGACAGGCTTGTCAAGCAGGGAGAAGTTAATAGGGGAAGGTAATACCGTTTCCAACCTATGGATAGTCCATAATGCAGGATTAGCTTATTAATACATGCCAGCCTTGTCACATGCAGGTCAAAATGAAAACAGAAACCAGCAGTGTGCTAAGCCTGCAGAGGAAGCCATCCCGAGGGAATGGGAGGCAGGTGCTGAACCCTCTTTGCTATCAGAAGCCCCTGAGATGCCTCCTGATGCTCAGCCCTGCTTGCTCAGGCTGACTCCTGGCTCTCCCTGCTTCCAATACAACCACAGCCTCCAGCCTCCAGCATAGCCTCGATAAGCCTTCTACAAGGATGCAGCAGGAAGAGCTGGAAAGCAGCTCCCCAGGCCCTTCCCTGCAGGTAAATCACTGCCACCAGGGCTCTGACCCATGGGACCACATGCACTGAGACTGCAGTGACCAGGAGGGAGCAGCACAGCTTCTCCTCCAGCCTTGGAAACACACCCCAGCAGCCAACCACCTCAATGTATGTGCATACACCCAAAACAAAGGATGGAGCAGAAGAGATGACTCTGCATGGGTCTGGGGCTAGTATCTTCCGATGCACTTTCATCCACCATCAAACCACAGGCTCAGTAGAGCTGGGTTGCAAGACACACAGGCTAAAGGCAGCTCAAGAGGTAACTCCTTTTTCAGCTCTGCCACTTGCAGCTAATACAATAAACCCAAACGGCACCACGATGAAACCTCCTCACTCTGTAACCATAAGAAGACACTGCACAACTCCAAAGCCAGGCACTCAGTCTGGAGTCAGTGATTCCAGCTGTATTTAAAATCAGCACAACAGGGATGAGACTGAGTCTTACACTGGAGAAGAGCACTAGGAATGGGGTCTTGGGGCCCCTTGGATGCTGAGGAGAGACAGAAATGATGCTGCTCTAAACACCACGTGGAATAACCTTGCTATTTCTAGAGGTGACACATCTCCCAAGCTCATTTCTCCTCTGCTGCTTTGCAAAGGGCATGGGATGTGTGTTAGGAAGCAGCCACTGGGGACTGAGTTAAGACACTCGTAAGACTGACCCAAACATTCTCATTTCATCTCCCACAAACGCCCATGGCTATTAACTCTGCTCACACATCTCGCATCTCCTCCATCCCAAATCTATTCACATCACGTGTGTGTGTGTGTGTGTGGGATCTTTGCCTTGAAATGGTATTTATAGGTCAAAATGAGAAGTTGGGGGTTTAATACAGGTGGCTGTGGGAATGGTGTGTTCAAGAAGCTGCAGGCAACTGGGGGAGCTCCCCCTCACTGGGGAACCAGTGCCCCACCATTGAAGCAGCCACCTTGTTGCTTGTGGGTATATTATATCTGCATGGCGATCATTAGCAGAGGGTAATCAGTGTCTCTGCAGACTGCAGGGCAGTGCTGAGGGCAGGGAGCAGAGCAACATCTGCCTCCCCCCCCTCCATCCCCACCAGGGGCTGACACATGCAGCAATCTAAACAGTAATTAGGACTTGAGTAACGAGTGGGTTTGGCTCAGTGGAGACATGGCAGTGGGTTAATGAGAGACAGGTCTGCAGGGAGTGTATGGAGTCAGACCAGCCCTAGGGATGGGGCGAACACCATCACCATCCCAGCACAGCCAAGCACCCAGGCTAACATCCCTCTTGCACCCCAGGTGTGCTGTGCAGACATTGGCCACCTCTCCATCATGAGCCTTTGGCAGTCTCCTTTGGCTTTCCAGCAGCCCTGTTCACGAGGTGGCTGTGGGTGTTAATGATGGGCCTGAAGCCAGGCGGGATGGGATGGGATATCCCACACCATGGCAAAGGGCTTGTGAGCAGGCATCAGTGAGCACAGCCCTTCAGCCCACAGCAACATGACTAACCCACATACCCCATCCAAACCAGTGCAAAACGACAGAAGTGCACCTATAATTCCCTTTTCCCCAGCTCAAGACTGTGATTCATGGTCTATTAATGCAGTGTAACAAGTTACTGCCCAACTGGTACCTGCGCTTGGACCCTCTCAGGAGGGTAAACCAAGCCAAACCACTTTGCATGGGCTTGAAGCAGATGTAAAGGCAGCAAGCACAGGTCTGCTGTGCTGCAGTAACCTGCTGGGCTATATCTGGCTCTTAAAAGGAAGAGAGATCCCCTCCAATTTCCTCGGTCTTCATCTTCATCTATAGTCACATCGGAAGATACCAGTGTGGGGAAATCAAGTGTCAAGACCAGGTTGCTTCTTCCCTTCTCTCTGGCTTTTATTTAAGGGAAAAAAATAATAAAGTGGGGTGAAAAATAAAAGAAAGAAAACTAAATGGAAACTGCAGGACTTCCCATCCGAGGTGCAGAAAAGGAGCATGCAGTGAATCACGAGATAATACAAACCACAGAACGTTAATACAGGAGAGAACACAGTTTTCCAACCTGGGCTTCAGCACGGATAGTTTCAAAGAGAAGTTTTTCCTGGGATTGCATGGAAATCAAACACACACAGGAATGAGGAGAGAGGTGGCTTCCCCGAGACCCCCGTGAGATCCACCAGAGCTCGGGCAGGGCTGGGAAACGGTGGCCGAGTGCCAAGCGGGATGGGGAAGGAGAGGCTGGAGCATCTCCATGGCAACAGCACCGGGTGAGAAGAGCCATTCCATCAATGCAGGGACAAACCTGGCAAAAACCTGCTTGTTTCAGCTACAGTAAGGACAGGAGACGGAGTTAATGGTGTGTCCGTGTCCACGAAGCCTGGAAGAGGTGGCCCATACAAGTGTGGCTGGCACAGTTAGCTGTGAGGAGGCCAACCACCCTTTGCCCACAGCCACAAGCGCCCACAGAAGGGACTCTGTGAAGCGAGGGGGTCCCTTCCTCTGGCACTGGTGGCAGGAGGAGATGAGAGTGTTACTACAGGGGAATGAGCTCTGGAAGACCAAAAGAGGAGGGAAGATTTGCTGGCTGGGCTTTAAAACACATCCGAGCCAAACAGCTTCTAAACTGAACCTTGGGCTTGTGCTGCTGTGACCCGCGAAGGGGATGGGCAGCACGTGCTGAACAGTAGCCAGAGGAAAGGGGGAACCCTTTCACACAACTGAATCCAAGTGGTTTCACAATACCTGGTAGGAATCCAGAGGAGCCTTGATATAGGAACAGTATTGCATATTCCTACGCACAAATTAAAGCCACATTTTCAACCCTCTTTGAAACGTGCACGCGTTTAAAGAGTAACTCAGCATATCAGCATCCCCACAAAGCGTATCCAAAATAAGCCCAGAGAGAGAGATGTGAGAAAGAGCTGCAGCTTCCAGGAATGGACAGGCTCAGAAAGAGGAGAGAAAAGGGATAAGGGAAGAGTTATTCCTGCATAGCAAACCAGACAACTGCAGGAGCTGCTCAACTCCCCCCTTTACCTTGTTACATCTGGAGCAGTGGTGGGGCGAACGTGCTTCATGATGGTCTGGATCCAGTTGCGACGAATGCCCGTTGTCATGGCAGAGAGGGTGAACTCCCCTTCCTTTGTCTAGGGAGGGAGGACGGGCTCAGAGCAGCTGATGGCACCCATCAGGGTCATCCCACACACCCCAAAACCACCCTGCACCCAGCCCCAAGCACCCAGTGGTGGGACATCGCTGCCTGGCTGTGTGGAGGTTGCATCCAGCCCCTCCATCCCTGAGCGTGCTCACAGTGGGAATTAGGCCATAAATCCCTGGAGCATTTTGGGGGTGCTGGGTGGCCTCTCTTATGTGTCTGGGGAGATGTTTCCTTTGCCACAGATGAGCATCCCCAAGCAGCAACACAGCATAAATGGCCCCATTGGCTGTCCCACAGCCAGACTCTTCCTCCTTCCCGTGTTTTCCTTACATGGATCTGGAAGCCGTAGTTTCGCTGAACCGGGTACTCAGTAACATCATAGCACGTGGATAAATCGATTTCTCCATCCAGGTCAGCTGCCTGGAGATGGAAGAGGTGAAATAAGACACAATGCTTTACAACCCCAAAGTGTGCTGGGCTCACAGGGTCCTTGGGAAGCACAAAGCTCTGAAGAGCAATGCTCGAGGACCTCGGCATCTGTGAGGACAGCCTGCCTGGGGTTGGTCTGGGAGCACCTGGGTGCAAAGCAGTGGGTTGAATGCTGATGGAGAACCCACTTACCTCCTCAGCCACTGAATCCCGGTAGTATCTCAGGCTCTGGTCGGTCAGCACAAACCAGTGCTTCTTCCACTAGGAAACAACCAAGATGAGGCAGTTACACTCCTGCTCCTTCCCTACTAGCAGAGCCCAGGCAGCTTGTCACAGTCACCCAGCACAGATACCCTCACTTCCCCTCAACAGGATGAATGGGAGGTAAGGAAATCCAGGGAAGAGGATTGCTAACAGCCAGCACACCCGTGCTGGCATCAGTGCTCGCCCCTAAGGCTGTGATAGAGCAGCACATCCTGCATCCCTCTGGGAACGGACAGGAGGAAGGCAGCAGTGGCTGCTCCCCTCAGAGCCAGCTCAGAGGCATTTATTTATTCCTTGGCCTTGCCATTTCCCCAGTGCTCTGAAGGCCTTATCTGAGCCTCATTACTGACGCCAAAGGGGTTGCTGGGTCACAGGGGAGCCGGCTGCTCCCGGTCTCATGACTAATAGAGAACGGGAACACTAAATCGGTCCTGCAATCCAAGCTGCCCCAGCTCCTCAGAAACCCAGGACATGATATCCCACTGTGGGGCTTTGAAACGTCCCCAGGACAGAGAACCAGATATTCCCGCTCCAAGACAAACACCACTTGCATAGGGCTTGCACACAAGCACTGCTGCCTGGCTCCAGCGTTGTACAAACTCCCTGTCACTGCTCTGCACCTGCAACTGGTTTCTCCCATCTGGAGCATGGCCCAATACTCACCCACCCTGCAAGGGCACTGGAGCTTTGTCAGTGCCAAGAGCAGCCCCGTGTGCAGCCAGGACATCCCCAGTGAGCGCTGGCTGCATGAAATCAGGACATGGCACCAAAGGACCAATGCGAAGGACAGAGCTTCCCCCAGACTCACCTGCCCGTCCTCATACTGCTTTGTCAACCAGCCCTTCTTGAAGTTCAGCAGGTCAGGCTGCAAGAAAGCAGAAGGGGGATCAGAGAGGAGGGCAAAAGCATCTGCACCCAGAAGCAACAGCAATAAAAGAGGCCAGTAACAGTTAAATTCAGAGAACCACAGAATAGTTTGCATTGGAAGGGACCTTTTTAAAGGTCACCTAGTCCACACTGGATCGTTATACTGTGTGGTGGCTAAATGTCTGCTCCCAGGAGGAACAAAGACTTGCTGTATGGTTTATTCAGGCTGTTCTCTTCCTAGCACTCCCCTTGGCAATTTCCTACTGCTACACCAGCATTACAGAGGAAGGAGCAGCAAGGAATTAGCAAGACTGCAGGCAGTTCTGTCCCTCTATTATATATTACAAAAGAAAAACAATGTGCTGTGGATGCAAGGCTGCAGGGTTCAAAACAAGGCTGGAAATCCAGGGGATCCAAGCACTGCATCACCCAAATGACACCTGCTCTTTACTCCAAAGAAGATGCATTGGGATGTTGAAGCCCTGAGCAAAGCAACCAAGGCAGCGTGGGATAACCCCTGCCAGCCCTCACTCCCAGCCCTGCCCATGTGCAGGGAAGGATGTGGTGGAAATGCTTTCACTCCCTCGAGGCTGAGCTCTTCCAGCTGCTCCATGTGCTGCAGAGTGGAGGAGGAAAGGACAGCAGCGTGTGAAATGCAGCTGTAGGGCCTGAGACAGGGTACAGCAATGGGATCAATGGAAAAGTGGGGTCTGGAAGGCTGTTCAATCAAACCGATGCTGTGAAGCAGACATATTTGGGTGCTCCCATTGCAGTGGGAAGGTGGGAATCAAGCCTCATTCCACAAAAACACAGGGGGAAGTAAATGCCATGCTGCCCCTCATGAATGCATGTGGAACGGGATGAGTGAACAGGCAGACAGCAGGTGGAGCAACCCTAACTGGGATGTGGCTGCAGGCAATAAACCCACCCAGGCCTGCCAGGACCTGCTGATGAGGCAGCAATAAGCCACGGACAAACTACAGATAATATTGCATTGGCCATGACTACATCCATCTCTGAAGCAGGCTGAAAGCTGGGTATCCTGATCTCAGCCCTAACTGACCCTGAAAGCAACACCACCACTTCTTCTCTGCCAAAGTGTAGGTGGGATCGTGCTCTTAAGGTCTGGATCCTGTTGAAGCCCTTTCTTATATTACAGGAGAGCATCAGGAGAAGAATCTGTATTTGGATCGAAGGTAACTGGCTCCCAACTAAGCACTTTGCAGAGAAGGAAAACAGAAGGATTACAAGGGTTAGTTCTCACTTGTTTTTTATCAACTGGGAATAAACAGAATCTCCTGGAAAAGCAGATAAACCTCTCCTCAGCAGCATTCCTACTGCACCTCTTAGTTTCCCTAACATTTAAGCCAAGCTGTAGAAGCAGAAGGAGAAGAGTGACGCTGCTAAGCAGTATATGCATGTTTCAGAGCGGGCTGCAGTGAGATACTACACAATGATACTCAGATGAAGCACTTGATGGAAGAGATACCCAATGCAGCAAAGCCACAGCTCTGCTGAACTCACAGAGCCTAACAAGGGATGAACTCTCCCTTGGCTTTTATCCTGATGGATAACCTGATCTGACACAGTGAGCTTAATGGGTAGGGGAGAGTCTTGTAATCCTGGTTGCAAGCCAAGCAAGCATGTAGGTTTCTATGTTGCTACTTTGACATCAGGAGTGGCACAATAAAGGTGTATTTAATGCAAGGAAAAGGTTTTGTTCCCGCTGACTTCCTTGCCTTCACTGGATGCTGTGCATTGCCACTTCATGCACACTTCTTGCACCTTTCTCTTACCACCAAGAAGTTACAATCACTCTTATGGCTGTGTAAGTCCACATGAGGACTCAGCCACTGCATTTTTCTGCAAGTCCTTGAATGGAAGTCACCCACCCACAAAAAATGCAGCTTGTATTTACAGTGGCTCTGTAATCTTTGTGAGAGATTAGCAAGTGTATTTATTCTGTTCCGACAGAAGGGTGGTGAATGAGAGGAAAGCATTCTGTGTTTGTTCTGTACTGTTTGCCTTCAGGTCTGGTGAGCATCTGAAATATGCAAAGGGAGGAAAGCTTAGGAGGGACGTCTGGCCCTTCCTCACAGCCTTCATCCCGCTCACACTCACCTGCAACTGCACAAACATCAAGGTAGGGGCATTAGAAAACTGGGCCATGTGTTAGCTCTGTCTGAAGACGCATCAGTCATGACCCAGAGACAGCACAGGGCAAAGAGGAGCTCTGGCTGGTGACCCCAGCACCTCAGGGGTGACCTACAGCATCAGTGTCTAACACATCGAGCAAAGCATTGAGGACATGGGGTATTCCAGGGAAAAATGACAACCAAAATGGTTGATTTCCAAGCTGCTGCTGTACATGAAGGAAAAGGACTCCTTGCAAGACTGTTTTAAACAGTAGATGACAACAGGTAAGAAGTGCAGCTCTCTCCAGCTGAGCCCCTATGACTCTCACTGAAACCTGCTCCAAATCTGCATGTATCCTATATCCTATGTCCTAGTTATGAGGAGGGAAGCAGACAGCCCAGTTCTCACTGGACCTGCCTGAGAAGGGCCTCTTGCATCCTTCCCCAAGGCAGAGGACACGGCCCTGGTGTCTCACCGTCATAGAGGACTCCGTGGACCTTCTGTCCAGTGACTTTGCCCGACGGTGCGGGGACAGAGGAGAGGCAGACACGTCCAGGATGGAGCCCACAGCTGCAGCTTCACAAGTGAAGTCCTGTGTGAACAGCGTTAGCCCAGATCAGTGCAGGAACTAGGACAGAGTCCTGCTCTCTTGGCTCATGGCATAAAAATCCCTGTTATTTAAGGGGCATCTCAGGCTCAGAACAAGTGTCATTGCACTGGTGACACATTTTTGTCCTCTCAGGCGTTAATTTGTTCCCAATATATCCAAGTGTATCTGGGACTCTCAAAACTCCCCATTTCTTTTGTTACCTCGCCCCATCCTGCTGTGTCCTGCCATGGCAGATCTGAAGTTTCCCTGTTTCTATTTTGGATGAAGGAGAAAAGACAGCCTGATTTTCCACTCTGCAGCTGGGCCATGGGAGCAGAGCAGTGAGCAGCAAACCTGAGCACATAGAGTGGTCCAGCTCCTGTGTGAGCCTGCCTGTGATCCAGATCCCCTGCTCCACCCAGGGACAAACCCTCTATAGCTAAACCTATAGCTAAACCTGCCAGATCCCATCTCCCAGACCCCACAAGAACTGGGATGAGCAGCTTACCCGTTTCCGTGGGAAAACCCTCTTCTCACTCCTGCCTTGCCGCGTCTCGCTGGACAGGGCAGCACCCGACACGTTCGTTTCCATGTGCTCTGCGTTCTCAATATCTAATGCCTCAAACTTCTCAATTACCTGGGATCTCCTGGAAAACAGACAGGAAAAGAGAAACCAGAGCCCATTTAAATCCCATAACTGAGCTCAGTTGTACAACCCCACAACTGCTTGACCCATGGGCACCGTGCTTTTGGTCCCCGTTTCTCTGCATGCCCCAGCGTGCACAAATCCAGGGGAAACCACCCCAATCTGACAATGCATCATTGAAAATGGGGACAAAACATCCCTCGTAGCCTCTTAAATCCCTAGAAACCCCTTGCAAAACCAGCAATAGCTTTATACGTGTATATTTTACAGCCCTCTGAGAGGCTGGGATTGAGCTTTGGCTCAAGCTTTGTCTTTGCTCTCCAGTCCTGCAGCTATCAACATCCCCCCCATAGGCCACAGAGCAGAGACACATCAGACCCAGCTGGGGTGCAGAGGCAATGGGTGGCTATGGGTCACCCTGTGTGTTCCCTGCAGTAAGATAGCCTGTAAAAACAGCCCCACACAGGCAACACCCAAAGGGCTGCACTGAGAGAAGGGTGTTCATAGGTGCCTCCATATAACGGGTGTGCCTTGCAGGTTGGACCAGCTGAAGAGGCATGAGATGAGGAGCACCCTGAGCAGGCACACCAGGGCATCCCCTGTAAAACCATGGGGCTCAACCCTCCTCTCAAACTGGTCTGTAAATCCAGTATGGACAGCAGGGAGCGCAGCTTGGGATCTCAGATACCGCCTTGGTGACCCACTGCACTGTGGCACTTATGTCTCTGAGGATGGAGGAGAACTATGAAGAAACGTGGATAGAGCAGGAGTCAACCCCAGACCAAACCCAAATGGGATGCTCCTAGGAAAGAGCCTTGCAGGTGGAATTAAAGCACCATTTCAGCATGAAAAGCTGCTTGCTGACCCACAGGGAATACTGCAGTTTTCAAAGGGTGTCTTAAGTCGGCATGCCCATGTCTCTCTATCAACCTCAGGTCTTTGATCACAACATGGGAACATGAAGCATTAACCCACCACCACCACACATGCCAGCTGAGCTCCAAGCTGTGGGGTTTAAAGCTCAGTTTTGAACCTCCCCAAAAACTCAGTCCAGGTGGGTTCTGGATGCAAAACCTGGACCCACTCATGCCGCATCTCGAATCAGGGCTGATTGCTCTGTGTAAACCTCTAATGTGCATGAAAACCACAACGGCAACCACGTGAGGGGAAACAGGTTGTCAAAAATAACATTCTTCACACTTCCCAGAGAAAGAACAGCAGATTCAGGGCTCAAAACCCAAGAAACATTCAGTTTTTAACCAACATTTGCACCAAATTCCATCAATGAAACCAACAGTCTGAGCACATCACATCCCTCAGGGAGCTGGGGCCCCCCACTGCTCTCAGAGCCAGGCTGCCAGGACTGGGTGCTGAAGCCCACAGGCAAAGAGGAAAGGACAAAATTGGTTATGGGAGACTTTGCTTTGTAAATCCAAACATCTCTATAAGGCTTATATGGGACATCTTTTCAGCTCCTGCTGCCTCCCAGTTTGCAGACTGCAAGCAGGCAGATCCCAGGCTTGCACAGAGCTCCCAATCCCCCGGGGATGTTCTGCTCATGAGATGCCCATTCACATAAGCCAGTCTGTGAAGCATAAATCCACATCCTCCATTCACCACCAAATGGGGAACTGCTTTGGGAACACAGTATTTGAACCTTTCTCACACTGGCCCAGCCTTCTCTGAGTTTCAGTTTAGGAGGGAGTAAGAGCTCCATGAATTAACATTGTCTGTGCCCTATTTAGGTGAAGGCCTGAAGAAAACCAAAATCAGGAGGAAAATAAAACCAAACCAAAACAACCAAATAAAACCATAAAACAAAATCAAAAGCAGGTTGATTTCTCATGAAAGGGGCTGCACCACCAGGTTGTTCTACGGCTTGAGATTGAGATGAGATGGTAGCGAAGCAGGCGAAGTAAAGGTGGACACGTCACACAGCAACACAGCAGGAGAAGGTGGAGAGCAACAAGACCTGGAAGAAAATAAGGCTGGAAAATGAATGAACAGAAGAGGAAATTATATCTCTGCATCTACATATAAAACAAAATGAAAATCATTCCAGTAATTCGTCATTAAAAAAGGGAGGAGGAAAAAAAAAAATCAATCACTGCAACCAAATCACAGGCCCAAGGGTTAATATCATCCGGATTACAGGAAGGAATCATCTTTATTTCCCATCAGCTCATTTCAGAGAGGTTACTGCTAGAGATCCTGAAGGAATGGGGAGGGGAAGGGCTGTTCTCTCCTCCCCATCACAAGGGGAGAGCTGCTCCCTCCCAACAGCAGCTCTATGTTGCCAAACCAAGGCTGCGGGCAGGTACCAAGAAGCGTTTAAAAAGCTGCGGTGCCATTCAGTGCTTTCTCAACTACAAAGCTCATCCCAAGTGGTTCCTCGGCCATGCAGGCTGTTAAATCTTTCCCAGGCCATTAAACCTGAGCTGCAGATCTGGGCTGTGAGGTGGAGGGGGGTTGTGTGGTGGGAAGGAAAGCTAGGAAGACCAGCACGTGCTATCGTTCAAGTGATTTTCTTTGATTGGAAGAAAAGGGCTTGTTTTGATTGGATTCATTCATTATTGAGCAGCAAGAAAGACAGCGAGTGCCAGGGAAAGGAAGAGGAATTTTCCCCAAAGGTCCCCAAAAATGAAGAAGATAGCTTTACAAGGAAAAAATAGGTATATACTTGGGAAAGCAGGCCCTCCTCTATGGGTAAAAGCAGCATTCAGAGCAGAGCCTGCCACATCCAGAAGCTCCAGAGAAGGGATATGAGAGAGAGAAGTCTTTGAAGCGATTTCAGGCAGCTCTTTATCAAGGGTAGAAAGAGACCCTCAGCCCCCTGACCATGCTCCTACAGCAGATCCAGCAGATGCCACAGTGGACTCTCGCCAGCATGAGCAGAACACGGGGTCAACCAGGAAAACCCACAGGTTTAGAGGCTGCATCCCTGAAAGTGTGCAAGAAAAGCCAAGTTTGCCAACCAAGAAATCCCAGTGCTTCCCAGGAAGCTGCATGAGGAAAGGGCTCCAGGTGTCTTTGCACCCCAAGGACTCCCCACCCGATGGTGATCTCCTTCCCACCCTCCCGAGATGGGCCAGGATTTATCCCTGTGGCTGCAAAGTCCCACTGGGATACAGGGACCAATGGCTGGGGACATCCCTGAAGCTCTCTGTGCCAAACAGGCTTCAAGATTCATCCACGAGGTTTCCCAAGAGCTGCCCCTGCTCTTTCTCTCTAGGGATGGGTCTGAGACGGGAATGTGGAGGCACGGCAGCCCCGTCCTGCCATGTGCCAGCAGAGGGAACTCGCACTCTGCCGCTGTGCCAAAACCCTGGAGATGATGAGCTCCTGCTTCCAGATTCCTGGCTCTGAGTGGCTGTGAGCTCAGACGGGGCGTGGAGGCAGCCTCAGGTATAAATGGTCAACATGGAAAACTTCCATCCCAATCCTGGATTTAAGTCACGTCCTATCTCTTACTGTAAGGGAATGGGACAAGAAGCCTTGGAAACGGCTTTATCTGGAGCTAAGCCTGCAGGTGTGCCACAGGGTACCTAAAATAATCCTTTCCCATCTGTAGCTCTGACACTTGCACTGATTTATGGTGGGTAAACAGAGGAAAAAGGGGAGGAAGAACCAAAAACACCACCAAAATCAAAGCAAGCTCATTTGGCTGCACTGAGGGATGAAAGGCAGATCTGAACCATGCCTGGCTGGCGCCTATGGGGTTGGCATAAGGGCAAGTGACTTCAGGCAAGTGCTCCTGGATGTGTTAGTGGGTTACTGAGAAGGATGATGAGAAATGGTGTTAAGCTCCAAGGGAAAAGCTGACCCCAACAGCATGGAAGTGAGTTATTGCATTTGCTCAACCTCAAAGAGCACAGCCTGAGCTTGGAGGAATAAAGTGAGAGGGATATGTGGACTAAGTCAACTCAAATTCAAGAAGCAGCCAAGCCAAGCTGAGCAGGGTGCTGCTGAATGGTCATGCTCTAGCGTGATGCTGGACCTGCTCTCTGCCATCATTCCCCTCCCAAACACTGGTCAGCCCATAGCTCCATGGGTACAAGGCTCAGCCCCATGGGCAGCAAGACCTGCAGGGCCTGCTCCTCTCCCTACACCCACCCTGCTCTGATAAAAGGCCCTACTGATAAAGCTGTTAACAGCTCCAGGAGCCCAGCAGGGCTGGGAAAACAGACTTTCCTTGGGAAAAGGCACCTGCCAGGAGGCATTGAATGGGGCTGACATTACAAACCGACAGCCTATGTCAGCAGCATCCTTTCCTAGGCCCATTATCTGCCTGTAAATCCACTCCTCCCTGCCTTTGGCTGGTACATCCCAGTGCTGCAGCATACCCCAGGGCTGGAGCAAGGACTGAAGGAACACGCTGTCCTCTCACCCTGGGACAGGCACTGGCCAGGGCGTCCTGTGCAAGCAAACCCATGCTCTCAGACCCACACCTGAACCAACACACTGCACAGCCAGCAAACCAGCAGTCACCAGCCTTCTCTCAGCCCTGCCCCTAGCCAAAGTGGCCAAGGGACCCATGTGGCATCCTTCTCCATCCTGGGGAAAGCCTAATTCCCGAGGCAGAGAAAGCCAAACCTGTGTTTGGCTCCTTGATTCCCAATCCAGCGCTCGCTGTGCACACTGCCAGGGCTGGGCTGGGCTTGGGATCCTCCTGCCGATCAGCACAAAGTTGTGCCATACTTCCCAGACCCACTTCCAGCTCTCAGAAGCCAGGCTGGAAAACAATCCTTTAGGGGCTGGGAAGAAACAGAGGAGAAGAGCGAGAGAGAACATGCCCGGAGGAAAACCAGGGCAAAGGAATCAGACTGGCAGGCGGCCCTCTCGCCCGGGGCCTGTCTCCTGGTTTGCTCTGCTGCCCTCCCTGCACAAATCCGTCTCTCCCAGGGCAAGACGAGCCTGTCCCTCGCCCGGAGAGCATGGAACATGCCGGAGCGTGGAGCAGGCGTGCGTGTGGATGCTCTCCTTCCCTGTCCTCCTCCACACTAAGCTGTTCTGCAGCCCTGCTTTGGCACTGCACCCGCCTCTCCTCTCCCAGATTAATGCCCTGACATTCTGCAACCTCTCTCAGCTCATTAGGCAGTTGCATAAGGCACCTGGCACTAACACCATTTAGAGAGCTAACCTAGTTAATGGTGCCAGCTGCCAGCGTGTGCCGTGCTGGGGAGGGGACAAGGAAAGGTGGGCTTGCTTGCAAATACAGCCACTGAGCATCACCCACCTCAGCCAAGCACCCCTAGAGCAGCTAGGCAGGGTGATACCCGCCTGTTGGCACTACTAAGGCCATCCCACCGCCTAGTCGGCGTGGATGAGCATCCTCAAACCCAGAAGCACTGAATACAAAGGGATTCCATCCGGAGCTGCAGCAGGGATGCAGCCTCGCTGCTGTTGCAAGCATGCAAAGAGGAGATGAGCCACTCATCCCTTACCTTCTCTCATTGCCAAAGAGCCGGGCCACTTCTTCTCTCCCGGGGCTACGGGCCCGGGTTCTCCGCTCTAGCCTCTTCCTCTCCACCTGGAAGGCCTCCCGATTACTGATCCTAATGGCCTTGGGAACGTCGGCCAGGGTGGTGTACTGCCGGCTGGCTTTAAAAGAAAGGGGACGCCCCGATTTTTCAGCTCCCCTTCCTACATCTCTGCTGCCGGAGTCCTTGTGCGTGGGGCAAGTGCTCTTCGAATCCAAGGAGTTCAGAGAGAAGCTGTGACTCATTCGGTCGCCTGCTCGGGTACCTGGGGAAGGAAAGGGCTGGGCATGCTCCTGTGAGGGCGATTTGGGATAACTGTACCTGTTGTTCGGGGTGCTGGGGCTGGGGGGGCTCGGTGGGGGCGGCAGCTGCTGCTCTTCCAGCTTCGAGTCTTGCTTGGTCTTCTCCAAGGAGAAGTATCCGCTCTCGACACGCGTTTTCCGCCCGCAGTCTATCCGGTCTCCGTTCATGCAGCTCTCATCTAAAGGACACAAAAGGCATCGAGCTTGGCTCCAAGCTGGATTCTGCTTTTAAAATCACCCTCGTTCCATCCAGGACAGGGACAGGAAACGAGAGCCCCGGCCCCACATTGTGCCACCTCTTGTACTCTTGGCTTTTCCACCCTCACCGCTCTTCATGCCCATGGTGGTGGTGGGATGGTCTGCAGGGAACTGGGGATGCAGGTCCAACTGTTGGGTTGGGCTCACGCAGATGAATCACGGATGATTCGGGTTGGAAGGGACCTTAAAGCTCATCCAGCTCCAACCCCATTCCATGGGCAGGGATGCCTTCCACTAGAGCAGGTTGCTCCAAGCCCCATCCAACCTGGCCTTGAACACTGCCAGGAATGGGGTCCAACTTCTTTGGGCAAGCTGTTCCAGTGTCTCACCACCCTCATAGTAAAGAGTTTCTTCCCAATATCTAATCTAAACCTACCTTCTTTCAGTTTAAAACCATTCCCCATTGTCCTATCACTACACGACCTAAACCTCCAAACCAAGAAACAGATGGCTGTAATCACACCTCTGCACTCATATCCATCCTTGTCCTTCCCAGCCTGGCATCAACCATAGCTCCACGGGCACAAGGCAATGGACACCCCAATCCTGGCAGCCGGGAGCAGGTGGGAAGCATCTCCCATCCAAGCAGGCAGATAAAGGAAACATTCCCAGCCCATGGGACCTGTCCCCAGTCCCTGCAGAAAGAGTTCCCAGCCCCTATTGTTCCAGGGAGAACAATGTCAAGGCCTCGGTGCCTTCCAGGGACTCATTTGGGAGACCAGATGTAAACAGGGCCCTGGAGGAGGAAACACACATAAGAGTTTGGCAGCTCCAGCAGCCAGGCCCAGGCTGGGATGTGGAGGGGCTAGAAAAGGCATTTTCCCCCTTCATTTTGTCCCCAGCCTGAGGGTACCATCACCTTTGAGGGCAGGCAGCCCCATCTCCCTGCTGGGGCAGGACTGGGCTCCACACTGTGCTTTCCAGCATGTGATGCCCATTTTTTCCTTCTTAAACTCCACCTTGTAATGCCTTGATCCAGTCCCTATATAGCAGGGATGAGGTCTGCCTCCTTCTCTTTCCTGGGATGCTCCAGGAACCAAACCCACGGAAAACTTTTCCTTCTATGGTGGTTTTCAGCCAGCTCAGCTGCTCAAACCAGGTCACAGCAGCATCACACCATCCCCATCCCTCACCTTCCTTGCTGTCCAGCACGGAATCCTTCAGGGAGCTGGCAGCCCCAGCCTGGCCTTGCACTGTGCTCTGTGCTTGGCTGATGCTGCTGCCTCCATCTGCTTGGTCTTTGCCCCTCATTTCTTCCTGCCAAAGCGTGGACTTGGTGGCAGGGACCTTCTCAGCACTGGGGATGTTGCTGCTGGTCACGGCCATCTTAGCAGGACCGGGCTCCTAAGGAGAACAAGGGACATAGCAGGGTTAGAGGGGCTGCCCCTAGAGGTATAGGTCCCACATGGCTTGGGTGCTGCCCATGATGCTCAGCCCTGTGCCACCACCACATTCCCAAAGGGAAAAGCTTGCAGATTGAAACCCTGCCCAGTGGCGGACAGGTCAGGACAGACCATCACTTTGAGACAATGAGACAGGGAGGGCTCCCAAAATCATCCAAACCTCCCCATGCATCCAGATGGAAACAGGTCCAGAGCAAAGCCAAGCCAACAACTGCTTCAGCCACTGCTGCAGCAGCACCTGGCTTTGGTTGGGATAGGAACTGCTCCTCGCAGCATGGCACACAGGATGCTCTGGCTACCAACATGTAACTCCTTGGGAAAAGCTCATCTCATGCTCACACAGCATCCAAGGTCCTTCACCATTCCACTTACACTCCAGCTCTTCCCAAAAGCTGCCTGGTGCAAGCATGGGGCTCTGCACCCATATTCATGTGCAGCACCACAGACACACAGAGAAACCGGTCTGTCAGGTCCTGACTCATGGGGAACCTGGAAATGCTCCCCTCACCTCTGCCAAGCCCCAGGTTGGGGTGACACTGCACCCTCTGCCATTGATGCAAGTGAACACAGCAATTCCCCATTACCCACTGCACATCCCTGGGCCTCCTGCAAGCTGTTTCCCAGCCTTACACAAACACAGACCAACACAAGGTTTGCCTCCTGGGACCCATTTGCCAGGACTGGATTTGCTCAGTGTTATAACTAACATCACCAAAAACCCCAAAAGGAGTCAAGCTAAAGGATACAGGATGGAGGAGAAAATGAATCCCCTGCCTCCAGCAGCTGTGTTGTTTGTCTGTCACAGCTGGTTTGCTACAGGCCACTGATAAAGAGTAAAACCCAACCAGTGCTGTTCTCCTCCTTCATTAACAGGCTGCTTGTCTGACAAAGCAAATACAACATCACAGGGAGCTTTATGCTTTAAAACAATACCCATCATCTTAACTGCTTCCCAAGGGGCTCTGGAGTCCATCAGATGATGATGGCCCTTTGGTGGCCACTGCCTGGGCAGCCCAGGTTGGGTGCATGCCCCAGAAGAGGCAGCATCTTTCACCACTGGGGTTGGCTTTGCTCTTTAGCAGATGTTTTGCTGTTGTTGTATTAAGCTCCTGCATTAGCAGATTATTTTCCTTAAAGCCACCAATAAATCAATGGCAATTAACCCCCCCCTTCAAAGACTCCGGATTGTGGGAAGCTTCCCAGCTGCTTGTTCCCTTCCCACAGAGCAGGGGGAATCCAGGAGTACGTGAGCCAGCAAACAAGGGCTGGGGACAGGGCTTGCAAGGAGCATCCTCTCCACATCAGCATTCGGGGATCTCCCAGGGAATGGGTCCTGGCTTCGTTCACAGCCCCAACAAGCAGCAAGTGACCTCAATGTAAGCAAAATCCCCTTGGAAATGTCACTCTGAAGGAATGCAGTGTTGGAGGTAAACGGTTCATGGGCATCCTGCTCCAGGGAACCCTCCTTGAGAACAGGCTCTAAGGTCCCTTTTGCCCTCAACCACACTCTCATTCACTGCTCCAAAAGCCCAGAGCTCATCACCAGCTCAGAATATGTGTTCTTATACATCCCTTCCACACACCCCCATATAATCATTTGTAGCTATGTATGGAATTAGACAGAGATGAGGTCTATAAGCAAGCAAATTAACTCTGTGTATAAAGAGCTCCAAAGAGGAGCAGTAACCAAAATCAGCCAAACAGGCCTAAAACAGGCCTCCAGTTGCATGAAGTGTGCCTGGGCACGCTCTGCTTACCTGAGCCTGCCACACCCCTGTGCAAGCAGAGAGCAACACCTCAAATCCCACATTTCAGCCCCAAATCCTGCAGGCAAAGGCAGCCCAGTCTCTCCTGCTGCCTGCACTGGAGGAAAGCAAAAGCTGCAAGAGAAACCTGCCCTTTTTGCCCTAAAACTGCAACTTTGCTTGCAGAGCAAAGGTGAAAACGCCTGCAGGATTGCACCAAACAAATCCCTGTCCTGTGGCTGGAGGGATATTCCCAGCTTCACCTGCATTGCTCCCACCCCACTGATGTTACAGGGCGAAGATGCAAAGTGACGGGGGGAGCTGGAAATAGCCCTGATGCCCCAGGAGTGCCAGGCTGCAGCCAAGGAAAAACTACATAAGAGTGAGAAAAAGCACCAATATCCATTGTTTTAATGCTTTTTTCAGCTCCTAAAGGTGTCTGTCCCTCCCTGAGCAGCTCTCAGACAGGATCTGCTGCTGGATTAGCCTGCTGCTGTCTTAGAAAGAAATCAGGCTTTCTCCGCCAACACACAGAGAGGGAGCTGAACAGCAGCCAGCTCCAGGAGAAGCCATTTCACAGAGGGGGATTTGGTGCTGCTTTTCTCCCCAGCATCCTCTCTCCTTCCCTGGACCAGCTGCCTGCATCTGCATGGGTCAGGACACAGAAGGAAGAAGGTTGCTATGGAGTACCCAACACAACGCAGCACCCATCTGGCCACAGGTCCCACATACAGGTTGGTTTTACAAGTGAGTTTGAGTCTTTTCCCAGTGCCGATGGGATGGAGAGAGCAGAAGGAAGGTAACAAGTGGAATGGGGCTTGGAGTGGATCACCCCAAGCCAAGGAGGTGATAAGTGCCACCAAGCTCCATGCTCACCCCATCCCCAAGCACCTGGGAAGCGCGTCTGCCCACAGGGAGCCAGCATCCTTCCCACAGCCGCTTCCCTTATTTGGTGCTCAGGAGCTCGGATCCTGTACAGTTTCCAAGAAGTTTCCATGGTGATGAAACGTAACCCAGAATGATGTTTTTCTGGCTCTGCTCCTCTTCTCCTTTCCACCCCGTCCCCCTCCTGAACCCAGCCTGGGTTTAGTGTTGTGCCAGGGATGGGGTGAGCATCCCCGCCCTGCTCCATCACCTTGATGGGGTACCCTGAACACGCCAGCCCCCTCTATGGGGCTTGGGGATGGGCAACTCACAACACATTAGCTTTTAACCACAGAGAGAGCAGGCATCTTCTCTGGAGCATCACCAGAGCCAGTGCTCGAGGGGCTGTGACGATCCCAGGAGGAGAATTCCAGCTTGATGCGCAACATTAACATCACCTCCCCCCTATTTTCTTTTCCCATTGCCCAAAACCTCTTTACCCACCAGAGTGATGGAAACTTGACTCAAACAAACACCGTATCAAACCCACCATAGCCCATTTTGCACCAGGGCCACCCTGAGGTCTTCACCAAAGGGCACCTTAAGACCGGGGGGGGGGCTAAGGGATGCTGTTTCCAGCCCCATGGCTCGGCCACAGGGGCCCTCAGAGCTGGTCCCCTGCAGCAGTGGGACACACACCCGGAGGTCAGACGGCCTCAGGGACGCTGCTGTTCTCAGCCCCGGCGAGGGACCAGGGTGGCCTTGGGGTCACGTTCCCCATCTGTGGGATTCTCCCCCGTTCCGGCCACGTGAGAGCCCGGCAGGAACGAGTGAGTCACGGCCAGGCCCCACTCTTTACCATTTATAGTCAAATTGAGCACGAAGCCACTGCTGAGTCCCTGGAGAGCCCGGCTCCGGCCCCCGGAGCTCCCAGCCTGGCCCTGGCCTTTAGTATTTTCCTTTCATTCCCATTATCTCCGGGGTCATCTCAAAGGGGGTAACCGGAGCCTGATGGAATTCCAGCCTGTTTCTGCCATAATGGCCCGGGAAGGGGCAGCATCTCTCCTTGGTCCCCCATGGGGACCACACGGATCTGTGTGGGACACCCAGGACAGCGTGTGTGGGGCTGGTGCCACTAAACAGCACCCAAGGGGGCAAAACGTGGCCCCGCAGCAGGCAGAAAGCAGCAGCGTGTGAGCCTGGGAAGTGATGAGCAGGAATGAAACCACACCACCCTGGCTCTCATCTGCACAGGCAGCATCAGCCCACTGGACCAGTGGGTTTGGGGGCATCTTCCCCAGCAGCAGAGTAATGCCATGGTCCTGAGAGGGAGGCAAGGACTGATGTGTCCCCTTCTGGGGTTACCTGGGGAGTTGGAGGCTCTACCTTCCTCTTCTTCTTCTGATTCTGCTTGTTTGTCCTTGGATAGACTATGAGCATCTCCAGCCACCTGCAGGCAGAGAAAGCAGAAGGTGAAGTGTGTGCTGAAGGGCAGCGCACAGGGATGGGAGTGATGCTCACACTCCTGCAACCCTGCTTCCCACAGGCTGTGGATCTCAAAGCCCACCAAGGGGGGCTCTGATCACACTGGCTAAGGGGATGCTTCCCCATCCTGCCTCCAAGGCAGGCTTCCTGCAAGCCCCAGAAACAGAGCATCCACATTTCATCCCTAATGGCAGCCTTGTGGGGTTTACAACTTGGCCAGCTCTGCTTCTCAACCTGGTCAGCGCGGTAAATAGCACTCAGAAATCATGCCAAGCAGCTCCTGGGGGACAATGAGGCAGGACAGGAGGGGAGGAGGGATGACCCCCGGGTGCTCTGGCTCTAACCGCACTCACTGCAAGAGCGAGGCCATGGCCAAGGCTGAGATGGGGCAGGGATTCAAGGATCCTGAGAGGGACAAAGCCTTCAGCAGAACCTTCCCCCTTCAGTGATGCCAACACCCCCACACTGCACACAAAGTGCTTTTGTCCAAGAGCATCACGAACTTGGCATTGAGAAGCCCATGCACTGCACAAGCTGCCTGTTGGGGGGACCCTCCTGTGCCCTGCTATCACAGCCTGACAACCTGCCCCTGCATCTCTGAACATCACCCATGGACCACTGGGAAAGGATCCTGCTTCAGCTGTTCCCGCTTCCCTCTCCTGTTCCCCCCACTTCACACACTGGGATGACCACATCAAGTGGGGTTTGGTCAAGCACTAAGTGCCAGAAGCACGGAATGAACGTAAACCAAACTCTCCCCCGGCTGCGGGAACCTTCCTGTCGTGCTGCAAGTGCAGATGGAACCCGCTTGGCTCCCAGTCAGAGCAGGACTCTTTGGGGATGATTAATGCTTGCAGTCAGGAGCAAATGAGCTGCTTCAAAATCCAGCACAGGGGCCAATGAGCAATAAATCAGCCCCACCTTGCTCTGCAATGCCTCTCCCTCCCATGCAGGGAGAGCAGGACCAGCAACAATAGACTGAGCTGTGAACCAAGGTGAAAGGAAAAGAAGAGCAAGGCTTGTCAAGGGGATTGGCTGTGTTTTGGGGTGTAACTATTGCATCTGCCTCGGTTAGAGGAGAGTAGATGGCTCCCCTGTGCCACAATTCCCCTGGCTATGAAGCTGCTGCAATCCCACCACTGTAAGTGGGGACAGGAGGGTGGCTGTGCTGCCAGAGGACACCAAGGCAGTGCACAGAGGGGGAATCACCCATGCTCACATGTCTCAGGAGAGCAGGGAAGTTTCAACACATGAAAACACGAGTCTGATCCAAATCCCAAGCTCTTGCTAGAAAAATGCCAATTTCAGCCAGTATTTACCAAAATGGGGGGAGTCACAACCAAAGAAAATGCTTGGAAATAGAAATCATCTCAACAGAAAGCACTGACTGCTGCTGCCAGGGTTTGGGTAAGCAGAAGATGCTGTACCTCAGGAAGTTATGCCCCATCCCTGGCAGTGTTCAAGGCCAGGTTGGATGGGGCTTGGAGCAACCTCCTCTAGTGAAAGGTATCCCTGCCCATGGCAAGGGTTGGAACTGGATGAGCTTTAAGGTCCTTCCCAACCCAAACCATTCCATGACTCTAAGAGTGGGAAAAAGGGAGCACTTCATCCCTTCAACCTTCTGCTTCAGTTTCAAATGTCAACAGATTCTGGGAGTGAGCACTGAGCTCCAGGCATTCCACATAGGAAATGCTCACAGAAGAGCAGCAGCACCCTCGCAGTCCCATCGCTGTGTGCTTGCAGCTCAGCTCTCCCGTAGCTCGGCACCCTTCAACCCAGCATATGAGTGATGGATAAGGATGTTTCTAGGTCACCATCCAACACCTGGAGTTGGGAAACCTACCACAATCTGCTCATTTTAGTGGCCTAATCAGCAGCGTTGCTGAGCAACTGCATCCCAGCAATGAGCAATGATATTTTAATCACCCTCAGAGGTCAGATGCTCCACTGGGACCAGGGGAATGGGCTGCATCCATCCCCACAGGCTCCAACCCCATTCTGGTGTTCACCCTGCAGCCAAGCTGCCAGCAAATAGCTGCCTTCTGCTGAGGCTCAAGCTGCCACAGCCAGCCCAGGAGCATCCCACAGATACTCCAGTGCATCTCAGCCTGCTCTCAGGGGTAAATGCCCCCAGGAATGTTGTTCTGCAGCAGGAAGCAGGATATTGCTCAATGGTAGACAATCAAACTGACCTGGAAACAGTGGCCTTCATAAGTAATGAGTGACTCAGGAGCATCTTAGCTCTCTGGGGCCTGGCCAAGGCTCCCAGCATGGCATGGCTGTGCACATGCACTAGGTATGGAGGAAGGACTTACTGCGTATGCACTGCACAGCACCCAGTCTGGAGCAAGGTCCTACCCACCCTCCTCTTCCTCCTGGCTAAGGGAAGAGCCCTGTGGTGACCTGGCCCAGCACTCACCCACTGATGATCTCCTTGTTCTCAGCCCGGATGAAGTGCTCCTTCTCCGGCGTCAGGATGCACAAGGAGAACTTCTGCCCTGTCCGGCTCTCCCCGTCCACCACATCTGTGCACTGGTTCATGTTGATGGTGCCCTGTGGGAGGGTTGTTGGCTGCGAGGGGAAGGAGAAAGGAGCAGTGGTTAAGGAGGGAAGAGCAAAGGAAGTGCATAGTTGAGCCCTAAAACCTCTTCTGGTGGACACCAGGATCCTACACACCAAGATGCTCTGCCCATGAGTATCCAAACCCAACCACATGCAGTGCTGGCATACAGACCAGCAGGCACAACCCCTGCCAGCCCAATCCAGTCCACTGCTACCAGCAAGATGCAAGACAAAGCACCAAGTGGTAGGCTTTGAGTTTGCAGCTACGAACCGTTTGGGTTGGTTGGGTGGCAGTGTTCACCTACCCTCAGTGCAGGGCAGCACTATGGCCAGACACACGTCAGGTTTTTCCCTATTAAAACCATGGAGTTGGCCATGGAGGGACCACAGCATGGAAGGGATCTAGTTTGTCTGATGGGCTTTATAACACAGTGTCACCCCCCAGCCCACTTGCTCCAAGCAGACACAGCACAGTGGGGACTGGCTGTGGCCCCCCTGGGATGTGAAGGGGCCCAGAGAGGTGTCAGCACTGACAAGAGGTGACAGGTCCATCTGGAGCGGTGCTGGCTCATCCGATTACAGCGTGGAACCCGCTCCGGGTGCACAGGGCTCTGTGTCACCAGGCTCAGTGACACTGAGCTCCCCACTGCATCCTGCTGTGAACCTGCACCTGGGGCATAAATGACCAGGCAGAGGGACCTCTCTGAGTGGCCAACAGCACCAAAGGAATCCAGATCTGCTCATGGCCACCTCCTTAACCCCACCAAAGCCTTCTTGTGCCCTCCAGATAGCCAGGCCAAGGAGGGATGGATTTAAAGATGCTGTTAAGGTTTCTACCATGGAAACCGTGGCTCCCCTGCCAAAAAACACCCTTCCAAAAGCAGCAAAGAAGGGGTGAATGGGGAGAATGTGAGGACGCCATGAAATTCAGATCAGCCCAAGGCCCTGGTTTACCCCTTTGCAGGCTGTGGGAAATAACCCCATTCCCCAGGAAAAGGGCTTTCCCTGCCCCAGGAGCATCCTATGACAGCCCAGGGTGCGCATGGAGTTATCACGGGTGCTGCAGCATCAATGCCCAGCACAGAGAAAGAACAGGACCAGTTGTACATCAGTGACACCAAAACCTCCTCTTTTCCTTCATGGAAATCAGCATCCCCAGACCCCAGGGGATGGAAGGAAAAGGAAGGAGAGCAAAGCCAAGCCCAGAGCCTGGCACGGCGCAGGCACCGCCGTGGGGAGTCGCCTCCTAAGAGGATTTTTTGTCTTAAGACAACAGAAATAAAACTGGAAGCTATAAAAACCCAATGGAAAAACTTTCTTGTGCTCCAAGCAGAGCCTTAGAAACCTTTGTGTCTCACTCAGCACAGCCAAGGCCTCCAGGACTGCAAGGGCTGGGTCCAACCTCCTTCCCCACGCAGAGCACCGGGGAATGCAACCAGGAGAGGAGAAAAAGGGGATCTCTCCACTTAGTCCCTCTTTCACCCCTCAGCTCCCAGGCAGGCCCTGCAGGGAGCTGGTACAGGAAAGGAGAAGCCTCCCTGCTCTCCTCCCTCTTTAACCCCATGGCAGTGTTCAGGGCGGCTTCCCCGGAGCTCACACCCAACCCAAGCGTGCCCGGAGCAGAGGAGCCGGTTTGGGGCCCCATCACCACCGAACCAGCCCATGAAGTGGTTTTGCCACACGCCTCTCCTTGTGAGGGTGAGGGCTGGCATCATGCACAGCCCAACCCATCCCTGTCCACTGCTGCACCTCCAAAGGGCTGCAAGCAAAGCTGGTTCTAGCCCCCCTTGTGCCTGTGGCAAGGGACAGCATCAGGGATGAACCCACCACCCCGCAGCATCCCACAGCTCTCAGTAGCAGATGAAACCTGACAGACCAGCAGCCTGGCTCGCTTGGGATGTAAATCCCTTTACACCATTCTCTTCCTTCCTTGGAAGCAGCACAGGCACTTTGAAGCAAAGAGAAATGCAGACGGCATCAGGTGGAAATGTGCACGCACACACAACCTCCACCGAGGAAAAGGATGGAGCTGGGGCAGCACTGATCTCCAGGAGCATCCCGAAATCACCCAGTATCCCAATGGAGGAGCTGGCCATGGCACAGGGCTGCTCTCCCCAGAGAACAGGGCCAGCCTGAAGCTGTGGTAGGGGTGTGGGCACAGGGGAGATGGGAGAGGCTCTGAAGCATGGGACAAAGACATACAGACTCCTTTCCCATCTACAAGCACCCATGTCTGTGCTCGTGGGTTTCTCAGGCCTGGGGATGCCCCAGGAAGGATGAGCAGAGCTGGTCCCCAGGCTGGTCCCAGTTCAGGTGAGGACTGCACAGCCCCAGCAATTGGAAGAGAATAAATAAATGCAAAAGCAGGGAGGTTTTATACAGCAGAGACACCAAACCAACAACAAGGCTGGGACCTGAAGCAGCCTTTTGAAGAGCAGATGCTTTGATACAAGCTTGAACCCAGCCTCAGACCCCAGGGCCATGGGGAGCCTTGGTGTCAGGGTGAGGCAGGAGCGGATGCTCAGGCTCAGCTCTGGCTTCTCTGATCCCCACCTTGGGGACAGCCCCATCCCCAGACACTGACCCTCCCTCTGCTATTCCCATTGCTGCAGTCAATGGGATGGAGCACACAGCTGCCCCACGACTGGATCTGATGCCTGGAAGCCCAGCAGAGTGCACCAGCACAGGACACCATTGCGGGCACCATCACAAGCAGCATCTCTTCCTTGGTGCCTGCAGCCCTTGCACCATCTGAGCAGCTACAGCTCTCCACGCTGCCAGTATCAGCACAGGAACCAGAGCCAAGAAACAATGGGGTTGTTGTTTCCTGCTGGTATGACAGATCCATATTTACACACGCACGTGCTCGCAGTGTCCTTCTCTGTGTTACACAAAGCCTATAGTACGCTCCCCTCCCATCACCAGGCACCCAGGAAGGGAGTCACACCAGCTCTCCCCATCCACAACCCCAGCAGCCTCCAGACAAGATGCTCTTCGGATGCAGAGCCCAGCAGCTGCAGCAGCCCCCACTTTATACACTGGAGAGGAAGGAAAATATGGGCACCTATTATAAGCCCCAAAAGAAGCCATTCCAGGCTGGACATTAACAGGGGAGACAAACGCTGTGGCAAGAGGATGCACAGTGCTGGATGCTCTGTGGGTGATGAACACACAGGCATCCTGTAATCCAACAGGGTTTATCTGCAAAAGTCCCTCATTCCCACATAGTTTTGAAGGGCTGAGGTAGAAACAAGAGCATTATTTAGGTCCAGAAACGTCCAGATTTTCCCCAAGCACCTTCCCCATCGTTTCTAACACATTGCAGGAGCTCGATCCAAAACCACAACAGAGCCTTTGCTCAGCCAACTGCACACAAGATGTTTTCTGAGCAGGTAACCCCAGGGTCAAGCTCCTGCCATAGCCTTGGTGGGCCAGGGCCAATGCCCACGCCGCTCTCCAGGGCTCTTACACAACGTGGGTTGATGAAATCTGGAACACAACCCTTAAAGAAAGGCGACGGGGCAGGGGGAGGAGGCAACCAAACAAAAGGCACATTTTACTTCCTGCCAAGAACCAGGAGGGGAAGGGAAAGCAAAACCCCATCACCATTTGTCTACCTCGCATGGCGGGATGGTTGCCTTGGCACCGGGGGCTGTCCCGGCGGGGGATCATGGCTCTGCCGTCCCGTTCCACTGCGATGCTGCATGGGAAGGGTTTGGACTGGCTCTGCCCTGGCTTCCAGCACTGCTTGGGGGAGACACATCCACGCTGCCTCCATAAATGCTTCATGACCAATGTTAATCCTCTGAGCTCAAATATTCATGAAGGCGGCTGCTGAGAGCGCGTTGCTCATTCGCAGCGCTCCTCGGTGCTCTGCAAAGGCAGCTGCTGAGCACAGGGCCACAGAACAGTTAGGCTGGGATGCTAAAAGCTTCATCCATCCCCAGTGTCACCGAGTGCGGTGCTCGAGGTGGGATGCAAGCAGGAGCGTTGCTGTGGAGCAAAACACTGCCCCGTCGCATCAGAGCAATGAGACAACCATGCTTTGGGCAAGGGTACCAACGCAGCTTGGACAGGCTGCTCCTGACACAGGGAAACCACACCAGAGCCACATCCACCATTCCCACCAGCAAGAAAGCACCAACTCCTTTAAAGTCACAGAAAGCTCCCTTATCAGCTATGTATGGCATCCCTAAATCCCAGATAGGGATGCACCAGCACCAGGGATGCCTCATCCTGATGCTGGGTGCTAAGCCTGCTGGTGCTGATGCAGTAGCCGTGGTGTGCCCAGCGCTACCCAGGCACCAGGCTGGCACAGGAGCAGGGCTTTAATGAGCCTTTCAGGCTTCCTGCCACCAGGAATGAGGTTATTGATAGGGCCACAACGCGAGCAGAGCTCTGGGGCAGGCAGATCTTATTACACTTATAGATCATCTGACAGGCTGAGCATCCTGGGTTTATTAGATCAGACAAAGGCTCTTGAAAATGAGCTCTGCAAAGGATGGACTGAAGCAGCCACCCATCGAAGGGGAGCAAGAAGACTGTGCTCCTCTATCCCCACACAGCTCTCTGCTCTCCCTGTGCCACCCAAGCAGGAGGCAGGCAGCCCTTCTTGGCCACCTGAGCACACGCTTCCCATCCACAGCCTTCTTCTATCAATGGCTACTGCTCAGTGAAGCCAGTGAGAAACCTCTGGCTTGCTTGGGCCATGCCATGCTCTCCACATCTACAACCCCAGCAGCCTCCAGACACGATGCTCTTAGGATGCAGAGCCCAGCAACCCCCCCTCATACAGTGGAAAGGAAAGAAAGAAGGAATGGGGACCTTTTATAAGCCCAAAGGAAGAAACCCCAAGCAGGACATTACTGGGGAGACCCAGATGCTGTGGCAAGAGGATGCACAGTGCTGGATGCTCTGTGGGTAATGAACTCCTGGGCAAAAGGGCTGATGCTGCAAGTCAAAAGGGTTTAATCTGAAAGAGTCCCTCATTTCCATACATCACACAGCAG